TTTGATATTTAAACGAATTTTAGAATTATACGTGTTCAAATAAAGGCATGTAGAAAACAAACTCAACCGATTTCAAGGCAAATCGATGATGCCGACATCAGATGCAAACTGGAGTCACACTTTGAGCGCAATTTTTGAATAGGTACATGCTTGCACATGAATTTCAAAATTGAACTTGAAACAAATAACAATATTGTGAATTCATTTAAGGTGTAGTCTACGTGGATCGAAAAGAATAGGAAACACAGAAAGTAGAAGGCAACAAGATCGTCACATCATGAACATGATGAACCATTTCCACATTAGGGAAAAATGCGCATGATTGATTTTCCTTGAAATCGGTTGAGTTTGTTTTTGGCATGCCTTTATTTGAACACGAATCATTTCAAAACCCTTTTGAAAATCAAACCAATACTAACCAGGGATAAAGTTAAAATTCCAAGCTTTAAAATGGTGTAAAAATAATGGCTGTACGTGTTTCCGCCGTGACGCTAGAGCCTAGCAAAAAAAAATGTTGCAGGTATTTTGGGACTGGCTGTATTGCCCCTCAGCATGTTTGTTGAAATAAACATGTTGTTCAATATATTGCAATCTGTCCTTTATTCTGACATGTATTCTGATATGATTGGCAATATGTCCAAAGGGGTATGGCGTCCTCCACAGGGCGTCCTACCTGAGGCATATGAGGAAGTCATTTGCAAAGTTGACAACCAGCCCAACAGCACTATTGTTTCCACAACAGAAATCTGACATGACTAATTTAGTTACCCCCTTTTGCAAACCCTGAAATTTTGTATACATATCCCGACAGGCACAGGTGGTGCACACACCTGCCTGAAATTAAATTATTCAACATGTTATGCATTTGTTTCAAAAAAATTATCTCCTTTGTCTTTTCTCAAGACAGATGACCTGATTACATCCCATCGGCAATGTCAGGCATCTTCTTTTTGTCACCTCCAGGCTCATAGGATTCAGTGGCTGAGCCTTCTTCCTGTCCTTCACTGACATTTTCTATTCTGTTTATTTAAAGAATGAAAAAAAAAAGTACACAAAGTTGATTTGTGATGTTCAGTGTCATAACTTTGCGGCTGGTACACGTCAATGTTAGGTAAGTGGTAACAGGTATTAACAGGTAATTCAATGCAACCCCCCCCCATAAAAAAGGGGGGGAAGAGTAAAATCCCAAAATGGAAAACTTAAAGATATAGTCCATCATTTGTTATTTGTGCATTTTGTTCATTTGAAGCAACAAAAGTGTTAAAAATCTAAAGAAGGGTGCTGAACAACTAACCTGATGAAGTTTCAGCTCAGCTTCAGCTGTATATTTTGAGATAAACAGCATTCTAGGATCTCGATTTCAAATCAAAAGTTGCTGAATCATGTTTTGAATTGGGCCTGAACTCAGCGTCCGAGACACGTTCTCACTGAGCCAATTGTAGCTCTACGCGATGTCGCGCACCGATCCGACGAATTATATATACGGTGCGTCCATTGGAAAGCCCTTCTTTCGTTGATTTCTTCAAAATGACAGCTTGCCAGAGAGAATAACTATCTTTCAACCAAGTATGTTTGTCAACAATAATTACGTCAGTTACTTTTTGGATAGTTGCAAATGATGGACTATAGCTTTAACTTGCATTTGCAGGAAAGATTTCTTAACTGTTAAAATTTGTAATGCCTTAAATCTTACAGGAAAATGGATCTTCATAAATTGTAACATTTTTTTATGACATTCTACAGTTTGTCTGTTAAGTTTCTGTTAAGTTGCAGTTACTTGTAAATGCTATTTTTGAGATATTTAATTGCGCTTGATGAGTTAAAATGTAAAAGACGAATTTGCAGTGTTATTTATTGGTTCAAGTTGCATCATAAAATAAATGTAAAATACCGTAAGTCTTCATTGGCATTGTCTCCATGTCGTGTCTGCAATAAACAAAAAAGAGGATTTTTGTTAAGTATTATTAATTAAATGTTTGTCCCTTTTTGCAGAATGGAAGTTTGCAATAGGGAGACGTAAAAACTTTATATTAGATTTAGCCGTCCACCGATGTCATTTTATGTGATTGGCAAGCTCAGTAGTCAGATGGTTAAAAAATATCTATGGTTCGAGTCCCACCGAAGCAAATTTGTCAACAAAAAAAATTTAACAAGCTCTCACACAGAGTATACAGCGCTTATAAAATTACATCAATGAACGGCAAAACCAAATGTGATGCGATCAAGCTAAATGAGTCGTTTGTCGGCAATTATGATTTTGAGATACAGCCCAAAATAGGTCAGCAGGGGTGGAAATTTCTAAATTGACTTTTTTGTAAAGGCTACATATGTCCACTTTCATGTCAACTATTTTGTCAGAGAAAAACTCATGATAAAAGTAGTTAAAGTGTGACATTTTTGCTAAGGAGTTAATATTCAGTAACCTGAAATAAAGCATGTTTATTGTTGCTTAATAAACACTTCAATTTTGAATTGTTGATATCTCAGTTTGATTTCTCTGTTTTTTTCTTTCTGATCTGCCTGGGTTCTAAGTCCCATAACTTCTGAACAGAAGGTCGTATTCACATGGGGTTTTCACCAAATATATACTGAAAGATAGCTCTATTCAAAAATGTAAAAAAAAAAAAAAAAATTGAGAAGGGCCGACAAACGACTCATTTAGCTTGATCGCGTCACAAATGTTAAAAGTTCATAATGAAAGTGATGAATGAAAATAACACCATGTATTGGACAAGTTTACATCATTTCAACATTGGTCACAATGGGTACAAATTTCTAAATGTAATCCCAAATTTATGCAAACAAAAGTGATGGTACATGGAAGTACAACCGAATTTGTAAATTACACATGAGATATTTCTATAAGCAACACTTATATTTTCCTCACAACACTTCTCCAATATGATTCATGTGCATAAAATAAATCTGTAGCGAGATGTGGAACATCTACAATCGGAGAAAAATAAAACACCGGATCTCATGGAGATGTATGTTGCTGATGGTATTGCATGACATCTTAGACAATTGTGATAGAGTGTCTTGCCCAAGGACACAAAATATGATCCCATGGTAACCATGTGCTTTATGTGTAGCAGTATTTCTTACCATTATTTGCCACACCAACTGACATAAAAAAGATGAAATCCCAAATGAATTTACAGTGCAAGGAAAAAGCACGATGTGAATTTTTTTTTTTGGTGAAAAACAAATCGCTTCACGGCACAAAGATGCTGGAGTTTTTTTTATTTTTTATTTTTATTATTTGCCACATGTGGACTGACACAAGAAAGATGAAATCCCCAAAAGAATTTACAGTGCAAGGAAAAAGTATGATGTGATTTTTTTTTTTTTTTTGAAAAACAAATCGCTTCACGGCACAAAGATGCTGGAGTATTTTTTCAAAGTAAAGATCATTTGGGAAGGTGGATGGTGTCACAACTAAAACATCGGAACTTGCATTGGATTTGAATTTTGCACATTATTTTTTTTTAACATGAGGAAGCACAATGAATTAAATGACAGAATTTTCCACTGCTGGGTTGGCCAGATTTACGGTACCTTTGGTAACTGTCAGTTAAAAACACTGGGACGCTGTTTGTGTTTTGATTTCAGTAAATGTTGAGTAATACATTTTTCACAAACAGCGACCTTGTGTCTCAAAAGGAACCCATGGACAGTCCGACACATGCACAAGGACTCCCTCAACTGAGTTTGGGAGACCACTAGGAGGGACAATCAATTTGTACCCTCATTCGAAGACGCTATCAGTTTAAAGACTTCTCAAAGTGTATGCACACAGTGTGTCCCCCATTCTGAGGTCTCGAAAGTGGTCAAAACACTTGTGAGTTCATGCAATCATGAGCCCGTAACCCTTTCCTTTATACATCCATGGGCGACTTTTGTCAACAAGAAACCACCAGCCCCCTGCTGCTTACCAAAGAAGATTTTAGTAGACAAGGTAACAACACACAGAACAGTGGAAAATATCTGTTTAGGTTGTTAACAACCTAAACAGATATTTTCCACTGCTTCTTAACAAGGTGGCATGTCAGTACCGGTAAGTTTAGCTGCTCCTACATCAACCAAATACCAGCTGAAAGAGTGTTTACCGTTCATTCTAATGCTGTAGTTTATTGACAGGTCACCATGACAAAAATGGATTGAAAAGTGCTTCAGAAGTGTCCATGCACAATTTTCAGGTATGCGTAACTGCCATTTTGGGTCATGTGGTGAAATGGCTTGCAGTTAGGACCAGATGAAAAATGAAAACAGGCAGAAGTTTCTTGTTTTTGCACATGAATGGCCGTGAGTTTACATCACATGAAGGAGGAAAGTTCAAGGAATAAACTGAGCAAACAGTACAGGGAAAATCCTATATATTAAAAGATCCAATGCTGTCTGACGTCTGTCTGTCTGTCTGTCTGTCTGTCTGTCTGTCTGATGTACATGTATGTGTCACGTTTTTTTGTAATGGGCCTAAAGAGTATGCAAACTACAACGGCTATAATGAGTGCGTTCGATTACCTCCCCCAGCTTACTCGCGCCTGGCTCCTCGCGTAATGACAGACATGCGCAGTGTAGCTAAATAAACAAACGGTTTCGGGTAAAGTTTTGTGCAAGAGCTGGAAAGTTGAACTTTGACATGACACAGGCTGCATCCGAATCAACTGTCTAGAGCTAGGTCTAGGTCCACGCCCATTGAAAATACGCGGGGACGCGCTGACAATGGACGTAGCCGTAGCTCTGGAAGCCCGTTTCGGACACGGCCTGAGGCGCCCGCCGGACGTCACGTTGGCAGCCATGTTTATTGCATGGCCTTATGGGATACTTAGCCCAAGTAACCGGCTCGGTGAGTTGGTTACTTGGGCCAGGCTCGAGTAAGCGCAAGAAGTCACATGAGAGGTAAATCGAACGCTGTCGCGCTTGCACGAGTAAGCGCGGGGGAAGTAATCGAGGCGACTAATAAACAAAACATATTGTTGATGATGAAACATGTGGCAAATTTGCCTAACCAAGTTTTACCAGGCCCGCTGGGGTCAACATGCAGATTGAGGTCAACCAGCTAGCTAGTCTAGGTTGAACAAAAACGTGAGGTTTGAACTACCGTAATTGAGACTTGAACAGCGTCTAGAGATCTCCCCATGACTGACTACACAATTTTTCAGTACTTGGAAGAGCCAAGTCAATAACAATGTGCTAAAGTATTAGGAGAGGGTTTAATCACCTAGCAAATTTCAAGTCTCATGCGAGATGATTAGTAAAGACAACCTTTGAAATTGTACTACAGCAAGCAGCACCTATGGTATGGCATTGGCATGATTGGTTCATCATCTACATGTAAATGAGTGACACATGGAATGAGAATGATTTGCATGGACAGAGGAAACGCTCCATTTACCAAGGACTTCAACCGAACCACATCGCCGTGATTCTCTCCAGAGACTGGGCTTTTTCTGGAAGTGGAATAAAATTGTGTCGCACCATCGTGAGGAAATTTATTTTAAAAAAAAATGTTCATTGGCTTTTCGGGCTTCTCTTGGAATTAGCAGTTTTCACAGCTAGTCATATATTTGAGAGCGTGTCAGGAAAGTGGCTGAAAGTCCTTTCCTTTCCTGACAATTTTTATTTTAGTGAAAGTAACTCAACTTTAATTGCTTCTGAAGTTCTGGTTAGGGGTGGTGGGGGATGTAATCTAACGATTCACCATATAATTACTCTTCACAGGTTTTCTGTGTTTCATCAGCATTTCTAACATTTCAGATTGCTGAGCTGCATTGACCTCAATCTACATGCAACAAGAAGCAAATGTGACATGAAGTTACAATTTTCTTCAAGAGTTTGCTCAGGTTCGAATCCCACTTCTGACACCTGTAAAATTCTTTAGGTCACTCTTGGTTATTGGTTAATGGTCTGTACAATGCACAATGCCTTTACTAAATGTCACAACTCTTGAATTGTTGCCATTAATAAGCAGGGACACAATATCATAGAGGGGTCTGTATCCTTGGCTTATACAAATGAAGTGAACAAAATTCAGGTTCAATGCATGTTTAACCGATCAAATTGAGAAGTTTCTGTAAGTGTTGGCTTAGGTTCGAATCCCACTTCTGACACCTGTAAAAGTCTTCAGGTCATGATAGGACTCTACTCTGACTTCTATTTGGATTCAGTTCGATTCCCACTTCTGACACCTGTAATATTCTTTACGTCATGACAGGACTCTACTCTGACCCTATTTGGGTTCAGTTCGAATCCCACTTCTGACACCTGTAAAATTCTTTAGGTCATGATAGAACTCTACTAGTGACTTCTATTTGGGTTCAATTAGAATCCCACTTCTGACACCTGTAATATTCTTTACATCATGACAGGACTCTACCCCGTATTTGGATTTAGTTCGAATCCCACTTCTGACACCATGTACGATTCTTTAGGTAATGATAGGACTCTGCTTTGACTCCTACTTGGGTTCAGGTCGAATCCCACTTCTGACACCATGACATTTTCTTTAGGTCATGATAGGACTCTGCTCCGACTCCTACTTGGGTTCAGGTCGAATCCCACTTCTGACACCATGTACGATTCTTTAGGTAATGATAGGACTCTGCTCTGACTCCTATTTGAGTTCAGATGGAATCCCACTTCTGACACCATGACATTTTCTCTAGGTAATATTATTTTACATGGTACTTTCCACTGGATTATGCAGTGCACCTTCACAATGCTGGAAAAGAACTGATGCTATAGCCACAGTAATGACACCAATTTGCATACATTTAGATTTGTAGAGATAAAATGTGTATCAAGAGCCATCGACTGGCCTGCAAGGTAAGGCAAAATATTCTTCACCATACGAGCCCTCACACAACACAACTAAAGAAAAAGACCATCACAAAAAAACCATGAAGGCTGTCTGCCTGTCAAAGGCAAGGCTCTTTTTTTTTCCAATTTACTAAATAACCTTCATTTATGCTGTGCATGCTCCAATAACTTAGTATCTGTCTATTGCATGAAACTAGAATTTGATTGAATATTCAAGTACCGACATTAAGCTTAATATCATGTACATGTATGTATCCATATATTTTTTTCGAGGTAGCTGACTAGCTAATATTTCACAGATTTTAAAGATATGCACATTTTGGGCTAAACTTCCTCACGGAATGATGCCTGAAAAGTGGCTGTCCACAAAATCGTGGCATAAATTGACAAACAATCAAACCATTCCACTTGTACGAATGAATAACATCGCAGACGTTTCTCGTCATTTTCTTTAGACTGCTCACACGTTTTCGAATATTCTAATTGGTAAAATGCTGAGATATTCGGTGATGATCAGCAAAGCCCAGACTTCCATTGATAAAGAACATTTCACCCTTAATATTCCTTGTGTTTTTTTATCGGGTGGTGGAATGGATTAAGCAGAGGGCTTAATTTTATGTACAGCTGTTAGTTATGGAATGATTGATGGACCAAAATGTGTTATTCATGCTGATTATAACATCAGTATAAATCTTCAAAGTTTTACAAAATAACCTTTCAATTTATGTGCCTAAAATGCAAAATGTGGATTCATAACTGTAAATAAACGACCATATTTGGGAATATGCACCTGCGGCCATGCGCCTGCAGCCGATTTCACGAAACAGCGCGTAACTTACGCCATGTGTAGGACTTGCGTAACAATTTTATTGTGCAGCTGTGCAATAAACTTACAAGCGTAGCTGTGCAACGTTTTAAATATATAATAACAGCATTTACTACGGCTGTGTATGATTTTGTTCATTCATGAAAAAGTCGTTGAATCACCTCCGCCCGCCGTTTTGAAAATAGTTTTGTCAGTCATTCTTCGGAATCACGCGGGCACCGTAAAAACTCGGTCACTAGTAAAAAGCAATTCATTTACTTGTATCAACCTTGATAAGTTGTGCAACAACAGGCTCCACGACGATGACGATTTGCTGGTAAAACGGGTCATCGGCAGTCGCTACGCCACATCTTACGCCACCTTAAATGACTGTGCAAGTTACGCCATAATTTGTTGCGCAAGTCGCGAACTTACGCACTATGGAACTTTCGTGAAATTTGTCATAATTGAAACATTACGCAGCGTGGAATGTTGCGCAACCTAAGCAATAAAGTGTGGCGCACAATGACTTGTGCCATTGCGTAAAGTTTCGTGAAAATCAGCTGCTGCTGTTGGACTCTTAAACATTCAAAATCTCCACTGTATTATGGAAGTGATCCATGATCGTAGCAAGCATGCTGCTTTGTTGCATTATATACAATGCACGCAGGATGTGTCGAATGAAAGGTACACCGAAAATATTGGGACTACAAATTTAACATCCTCAGACTGACAAACCACCTTTCAAATTGCAACCACATTGGCAGTGTTCAAGTTCACGGTTTTAACGAAAGACCCCGTTATTTTTTCGATTACCTTATAAGACGACATTCTCTAGTGGTACAAAAGCACGAGGCTACTTACGCATTGTAGTAGTCTTCATAGAAGCGCATCCGCCGGTAGAACTTGGAAAGCTTGACAGCAAAGATGATGCTGGGAATGAAGAGGAGCACACACCAGCCCAGACAGAGCCAGAAACCGTTCTGTTGCAGGGGGGAAAAAGAAGGGGGTTACAGTCATGCTGCGTGCGATTTACTTGGCTACACTTCCGTAGGTGCCCGTGAAATCACCAGTTATAGCCAAGTAATTTGGGGACGTGGCCTTAGCAGTATAGCACTGCTAGAGATAAGGGCCCACTTTTGCGAGTTCTGCTTACTGTGAGCAAAGAACTTTCGCAATCTCCAGCAGAAAAACGGTCAGCTAATTTAACATGTATGTGAGCAAGACATTTTGGCATTTGCCTGCTCAAACATCAAGTCACGGGCTTACCGGGCCAGTGCGAAACCTCTATGCTAGTTTGTACACACAGAATGGTGATAAATATAACACAGCAGGAAAGCCATTAAATGGGGCCCTGTTGCATTAACACTTTAGCCACTGTAGCACCAAAACCACTCTACCTATAACTCCCTTTGGCACCTGAGACCACCCGGGCATTCTATGGTTTTATAGATTCTCCAGTGAATAAACACAATGTAATACAATTTTAGTACAGGTGCTAATGGGTTAAAAGGTTAACCCTCCTACGCAAACATACATTCCGTGCAAAGTTGTCCTTTCAGTCAAATTCAATCAAGTGACTGTTTTCAACACTTAACAGCTCCCAGCTTTACATGAAGCAGGACTGACTGGCTGGGATGGTTTATGTAGCTTGAAAAAACGTGCTTTGACTGTAGGTGATTGATAAGACAGCCAGGCCCGTTGTCAAGGGGGGGCCTGGTGGGGCCGGCCCCCCTCGGCGAGCAATTGCCCCCCCCCCCCCCACGGCAAAAGCCGTACATGTGTATTTTTACGGTAGTGGGCCCATGTTGGTACTTTGGCCCCCTCTGACGCTAAGGGCTGGCGACGGGCCTAAAGACAGCTGTGCCTACCACTTGCCTACTTTTGTCTGTTGACTGAATTTGACTAGTCACAGTGCTTGCTTGAAATATGATCTGACAGTTGGTGACTAGCCTGTGTAAAAGGCATGGCAGCGGAAGTGGATGGAATGTTTGACTGTCTGTGACTGTTTAAACAGTAGGAGGTAATGGGTTCCGAACAATAACAATCACATAAATCTGACAGATGCAAAACGCTATTATACAGATATCCAAAAGAAGCAGAAACAATGTCAAAAAAATTACACCCCTCAAAAAACACGTTGAACAGTTATGATAAAAATAAAAGGCTATTTGAAAACCACATGACATGTGTAAAACAAGGAGACTGCATGATGAAACCTACGATATTGTCTGAATAAAAAACAAAAACACGATTTAAAAAAAAGGAAATAGATAAATGGGTTTGGAATGCTACCAAGAAAGAAATGAAATACTTACAAACGAATACACCATGTTGTTGCAGACCAGAACCTCCAACGAGTCGTACAGATTGGCGATAGGTTTACAACCGCCCACCTCGTTATTCACCTGTAACAAATGTTGCAAAAAGCAGTACGTCATTTCCTGAAAGCTTCATCATTTTACAGAAATTTCATCAAGAAAATTATAAATGGTCTTCTTCTGATTTTGTTATTAGTTCAAGGATTGTTTGTTGGTATTTATTTCGGGAGGACAACATAAGAAAATACCAGTCTTTACTTTTGTTTGATTTGAATCCTTAAAGGCCAATAAAATTCCACAACTTTTCCAAGACCAAATTATGAAATCCATGACCTTGTTCTTCAAAATGCAGATCATAACTGTAAAGTTTGTTCCGTGACAAGTGCTTAACACAAATGGGGATATCATGGGGCACAAATTTGAAATCAAAACGCTTGTATCTGCAAAATGTGTCGCATGACGTCGGGTATAAAAATCAGTTTTTGGATACTAAATTATGAACATACAAAGTTGAAAATTTAAAATAAATTGGTCCTCACAAAATTCCATGGCTTTTGTCATGTTTACCAATTTGCATGACTTTTCCAGATCTGGAAACTGATATTAAAATTCTATGACTTTCCAGTTTTTTTTCTAGGCCAAGCGAACCCTGTCCTTATGCAACTTTAATATTGACGAAAGAAGACCTTGCGTTGTCATTTTATTCCTGTGAGATGTGGATAATTTGTCATTTTATCTTCTTCCCGTTTTCCACGGTAATTTGACATAAATGCCCATAGGGACAGCTGATTTACGTTTCTATTTTTAATTTTTGTTTTGCAGGCCTTGGGGGGGGGGGGGGGAATAGAGTATCCCCATTGCATCCAAATGCCATGTATTGTCTGCGAGCACTTTGGAGATTAACCCTTTGTTTTGTTTTTTTCAAAACGTTACGAAAAATTATACCGATTAGATATAACCTAAACCTACTGGCAATATAAACAGATTACTTCTCCTTACTCAATCTCTAATTACACTTTCCCCTATTTGTCTAACTTTGCCGGTGGGTAGAAGGTTTTTGTGACATAAAATCGAGCTTTTGAGCCCTCCCAGGAGACAATTGGGAGTTATCCTAACGGCACTCTACCTTTCATCCCGTGCTACTGAACTACATTATACACTTTGTCTGATGCACTTCGAGCCCAGAGGTAAAAGAGAAAAACAAGTTTGTGCCAAATCCGCACAATAAACTGTGAGTTTTTTTCTTAGAATATGTTTACGTTTTCCTTTATATGTCTTTTTTCTCTTGGGGGGGAAGAACAATTTAACTTGTGGAAGCCTGAAAGATTACAAAAAAATACCCCGCAGATTCTGTCAAGGGAATTTTAATTTAGACTTAAATCTTACACAAAATATAATACATACACATAAACAACAAAAGAATATTAAGGAAAAAGAGATGGAAAAAAAAATGGAAATGACAAACATTTTTTTTTTTTTCAAGTTTGAAAATGAACTTCCCTCATGCTTGACCGAGTTTTTCAATAAAGTGTCAAAATTTGGTCGTAAAACAGCACTCATGATATTATTCTTACCATTGCACTCATAAACATTAATTATTTGCATACTGTACCACCCCAAAATGCCCTGTCACTTAAGCTCGGTTCATACTCGGCGCGAACGCGAATTGGTGACGTCATGGCAAGTATTCGAGCTGCGAATTTGGAAAAGATTTGAACACATTTCAACTCGGGCGAATTTCGCAGTGAACATTTCTTGACGTCAAATTCGCTTCGCATTCGCATTCGCGCCGAGTATGAACCGGGCTTTACTCCCTGTACTGTCAGAAACCGCTGGGGCATTTTGTGGTTTTATGGATTCTTCAGGGAATGAATACAATGTAACACAATGTAATACCATGTGATACAATGTAATACAATGTAATACAATGTAGCACAGGTGTTTATGGGTTAATACATGTAATGAGCTTGTACCCACCTGCGTCAGGACATACAGGACGTACTGGTCCACGTAGTCAATGATACCGTCCACAAAGCTCTGAACAGCCTGGGTACAAACACAAAACAAGAAGTCAAGTGCAGCAGCTTAAGGTAGCAAACCAGTAAATAAACTTCCATAGACCCCAATGGTAAATGCTCCCACTTCAAAAATTCGGGAAAAATACTCACAACTCTCCAAGGTGTTCAAGACACACATCAAATTGAAGCTTATTTCATCATCTTTCATTTTCTTTTCAATTTTTGGGGGTCAACTGATGACTTTTAGGAGAAATATCCATCTGAAGATGATCACCCCTGAAAATAGTCCTGAAGCCCATCGCCATTTTGAAAAACGATGCCTACACTCCATTGCAAAATAGAGCGCTATTAGGGTCCAAATTACATCCAAATTACACAGAACTGCAAGCTCCCAGTCCTGTGCACGGCTTCCACCCATATTTTTTACAAACCCTGAAGTTCATGGCCCACAGCATGCTCAAATACTGAAGATTTTGAGGGCATGCAAATCGTGATTTGGCCGGCGTAGGCAATTTCGGACCGATTTACTGGTCTGCACCCTTAAACACCAGAGACACCTTTTTTTATTTTGCTATCTCATAGCTGTAGTCAACCTTGTCCCCATGGCATTGAGCAGTATGCTCCTCGCCCTAGGGGTGCAGGCCTGCCGATTGACTCCCATAGACTTCAGTCATAATTACGCGTACTGCCAAAAATTATTAAAAAATACTCACAACTCTCCAATGTGTTTGACACACCCATCAAATGAAAGCTTATTAAATAATCTTTCATTTTCTGTTCAATTTTTGTTCTGTTATCTGACAACTTTTCGGAGAGAAATTCCATCCAAAGTTGATCACCCCGAAAAGTAGTCCTGTGGCCCATCGCCATTTTGAAAAATGATGCCTGCGCTCCATTGCAAAATAAGGTGCAAATTCATGAGAATTTTTACAGAAATACGAGCTCACACTCCTGTGCACGGCTTCCACCCATCTTTTTTACAAACCTTCAAGTTCATGGCCCACAAAATACTCGAATAGCAAAGAACTTGAGGGTGCACAAATTGTGATTTGGCCCACGTAGGTAATTCTGGACCCATTTACAGGTGTGCACCCCTAGTAACGGATCACTGGCATATAATTAGGTGCAGAATAGTCGGGTGCCTTTACAACATTACAAGTCAATGTTTTTGTTTTTATGGATACAGTGTCTAGGGTTCAGACTGAAACTAGTTGCGGCGTCAGATGGGAAAACACATGATTTTTTATTCAAAGTTCCAATGCGATAATCTCGCTCATATTCAACATAAGAGTTTTATGCTAAATATGATAAATATGACATTTTTTTGAGGAGTACTGGACATAATAATGCACGATGAAATACACTATAGTAGAAATGGAAAACATGTAAGATATAAACATGTGAGATATAAAATCATCATGTTCCCTGATTAAAGTCATAACTCTATTTAACGAATCGTAATTCATTGATTCAGGGCAAAAGGAATAATGAAGTTTCCATGCATCCCAACATCATTAAATAAATAATAATGACAGGGGGGGGGGGGTGGTTAAGGGGGATATTTTCCCCCCCCCCTAAATATTTTGTTAAACCTGCGGTTTTTTTTACAAGTGCCCTTTTTGACCAGTGTACCCCCAAATATTTGTACAGTGCCGTTTTGGGAATTTCGCATGATGGTTGTGCTGCTCTGAAAAGCGCCACCTATTGTCTGATAGTGTCCATGATCACCCGGTGTGAACAGCCCCATACTTTTTGATTTGACGGAGGCCAAGTGTCTATATTTCAGCACGGATGGGCGAGTGCCATTTCCACAAACTTCCCCCCCCCCCCTCCCCTTCCAAAAAAAGGACTTTGGAATGCCACTGAAGTTTCATTTGACTTACCACGCGGAAAAGATCGGGTCCTGTTGTGTGTATGTAATCTTGAGTGTCCTCGATGTTGGTTAAAGACTCGTTGACTAGCGGCTGTGTACAGTAATCAAGAGAAAAAAACACATTTTTTTCTGATCCCCACAGGGCCAGCCAAGTGTCTACTTTTTACCCGACTGACCAATTCACTCACTCATTGATTGTCACTTGCGAGCCGGGCAGTGCTATTGTATAGGATGACCCCGTAGGGCTAAATCTTGCCCGCTGGGCAGACCAGACGCATGTAAACACTTCCAGTGAATAGCCAATCTGAATCTATTAGAATAGAATTGTTGTGCACTCTGGGGACCAGCTTTATTAGCCTTGCGTTATTTTGTTTATATTAGCCCCCCCCCAAAAACAAATCTCTAGTTTCTGGTATGGAGCTTGCCCCAAAAGTGGTGCGGCGACATGGTTTTTTTTCTCTTTTTTTCTCATACTTTTTTGTCTTCAAATCTCGGCCGATGTGGCAGATCACGCCTCAATCTCCTTAAAACTCTCAAAAATATCCTTCAGGTTGGAGCTTGAGGTGACCTCAGGCCATAAGGCTTGAGAATTCTGTGCCCACTTACGATCTCGACTGACACGAACATTCTTCGGGAAATTTGGATAGTCAAGACAAAAATCAGAGAAAACGGTAACGCCAGACCATACAGCCACATCGGCATTGTGCATGTGCTGCCAGGCTGGTCATTAGTCTGTTCTCTTACATTTTGCGCAAATTGGAAAGCGTTTACAGGTTCCAGATACAAGACCATCGCTCCCTCAGTCTGGCTTCCAGATGCACAATTACAAAATTACAACACCGTCTGCAAATGGTGCCCGACTAAATTTATAGTGCAAAATATATTGGAGCCCAGAGAGGCCACAAAAAGCTTATGAAAGATCGTAACCTAATCTAAAAACACGTTAAAATTGTGCAACAGCAGGATTCCAGTCAAACCAGTGAGTTTGGCGGTTTTGAGTCATCATCTTACATTGAGAAAAAAACTTTTTAATTTTACCAACGCATATGGCTACTTCGATGCGCGCGCTGACCAAAAACCGGAGACTTTTTGGGGGGACCTAACTGTGCCCTGTCACAGTACAAGCAACCTTTGGTAACGTTCTGAACGACAAACAACAGATTAAGAAACACGCAGTTAATAGAAGATTGATATATACCCACAAGAGACTAAACTGCCACACGATTGGAAAAAAATACAAAATCCAAATCCTCACATGTCCAAATTAAAGTCATCCATCAGTTTTTGTATAAAATTTGCATACGCAGGGAAAAGGAAAAACCAGCTTTGACATTGTACTCAGAGATTGGTTGTATACTTACGCTCAGGTCGCCGGCTTTGGCCAGTAAAGCGTCTAAATTCCTCTCCAGGGAATTCTGACAAGAAAAACAGTGAGTCGGGTACATATGAGTCGGGAATTAACTTCAGTTAATTTACATATCAGTTTACATAAAAACAAAAAAAAATCATTTATATAACATGCATAAATTTCCATTGGATTGGACAGCCGTTTTGAGGTAATGGCCTTCGAAAATGTAAATCCTAATCCCCCCATAAAAAAAGGGAAAACGTGGGTGGATAAAACTGAGTTGAGACAAAAATGAGGCCGGATCTTTTTTGATATAGCAAAAACAATTTTTTTTCTGAAATAACAAAAACAATTTCAGAGTTTGAATGTCAATTTTTTTTTGGGGGGGGGGCTTGGGGAAATGTGTTTTGTTTTATACACACTGCACTGATGTTTTTGAAAGTTTCATTCAAATCTGGGTCGGGCGTGGGGCAGTTTTTATTACATGATGTAGTTTTGAGGAGAATGACGGACGCAAATGTACTATGAGCAATCATCTTGAAAGTTTACCGTGTACATTACAAAAGTCAAGGAATGAACTCAAGTTTTTCAAAAGACCGTGCAAAATTGCCCAGAAATACAAGCACTGCACTAGAGTCATAATTCAATATCTTTCCAATTGTATAATTACTGATTAAAGGGAATGTACATCATTGGCTTTTGCTGTAATTTTCAGAAATGAACTATTTGAGGGGTTAGTATAATAGATCAAATATTGTTTAACTGACATGTTTGAAGTTTTGTGTTCGAAAATGCTTGAAAAACCAAGAAAAACAAAAATGTTTAAGTAGTCTGGTTCCCTGACTCCACTAAAGATAAACTGGATCAATTTATAGATGTCCGAAAATTGTAAGGTAAAGGAACCAGTCCAGCTGGCCTGCACCCGTTCAAGAACATGTAACCAATAGCAAACAAAATTTGGACTGAAAAAAATTGTAAATTTGGAGCTGTAGTTGAAAAATAGTTAGGTTTTTCCAACGGTGGTCGGCCGACCATCGTTGGAAATGTATACAAAAATACAATATTCTTGAAAATGACTTGACACCAGGTGCCATAATTTTACAGGATGCTTTAGACTGTCATTTACCAACATCCTAGTAAGGTATTTCATAAAAACTTGGTAGTTTTATTTTTCGATGTTTGCAAATGTTGTATATTCCCTTTAAAGACAAGAGCACGTTACAAATGCTTTACCACATAGCTAGCCATTGGCTCCACAAAGTCCTTCTGAATGTTCCGTAATGTGGTGGCATGCTCCATTAATCGAGTCCGATTCTGAAAAAGAAAAGTAAACAAAATTACAACAAAAAAAATATGATACTTTTTGTACGTTCATAACAAAACAAAAAGCATTTCCATATCTCTATTAGACCTTAATTGTATTTGTAAATTAAATATGTACATTTTGCCAATTAATGAGGATCAAGAGAATTTCATTCTCATACCGGTACGCATCCTTGCACAGACATTCCATATAATTTTACAATGGGTAAGCTGCATACTTTTCGTCAGTATTGAATAGGTATAGAAAGTTGACAAATTACAGGAATTAATCAAATTATGGGGATTAATTTGTCATCTTTCAATACCTCAGGCAGCTAATGCAGATTATAATACGCAATATTAGGCCCCCCCCCCCAAAAAAATACTCGGTCTCTGGTCAGCGCGCGCGTTGATTTTAATCATAACTGATTTTAATCACAACTTTTTTTTTCTTCAAATTAACACGGAAGCTACAACAGCGCCCTCTATTGCCGCACCTCCTCAAATTTTTGTACCAAGGAGCACCAAGGAATGGGGAAATTGCACCAAGGCAAATGATAAAGGGCACCAAGGCAAATTATGGAGGACACCAATGTATAATGAGGACACACAAAAGCAAAATAGTACCCACCTTGTCTGTACAATACAAGCTTGAAAAAAAAAAAGCCACCCCAAAAACACAAAAAAAAAACGCGTCGCCGCATCAATTCCGGAACTTCGGTCTGACCAGAGACCGATTATTTTTTTTTTTGGCCTCACCCACCTTCTGTATCTTGATTGGCGGAGAGTACGTCACATGGCATTTTTCAATTTTTACTATCTAGCTGTGCATAAGAAGACTATACAGGGCAACCCCAAAAAATGCAACCCCAAAACATTTGCCTTTAAAAAGAAATGGATCAGTGGATGTTTCTGTTTCTGTTTATGAGAGTTTTTCTTTCAAATACTGAAAAAATCATGAAAACAGCACTTTGGGTTGCTGAGGAAATGCCACGTAATACACTATGAAACTCAATACCGGAGTCTTATATAGCGCACGTATCTACCAACAATTAGGTACTCAAGGTGCTGGAAATTATGTCTATTATTAAAGACAGGTAAATGAAGTTTACGAGAAATATCAGACCCATTACTTAGCACCTTATAAGGGTTTACAAGGTGCTGCGGCGCATATTGCAGCCACTGCCAGAAACACCGGGGCAAACCCCTTCTCTTACTTGGGTTCTTTAACGTGCATTACACAATACACGGGACCTACGGCTTTACGTCCCATCCGAAGGACGAAGCAATAATGGTAAAGTGCCTTACTCAGGAGCACAAGCACCATGTTCCCACGGTCAGATTTCGAACCCATGTACCACGGCACACGAGTCCAACACCGTAACCATTGGACCACAGCACCCCTCAACTTACTGAATAAGGCAACGGATCCACTGCATATCCCTCCAGCCGGCCAGCAAGGTGTGTGAGATTCACCTGTGTCACCCCTTTTTTTATCTATCAAAGAATTTAATAAAAAGGGGAAATTTATCATTTATTCCAGCCTTTTAGGGATGCGATAATAAAGTTTCTGTCAAGTAGGTGTAGCAATGCATTTCAGTTTATTACAGGAAATATATATACAAACATTTGCGAAAATCACCGAACTGTTAGGGAATGACAGTCTTAAGCATCCTGTGAAATCATGGCACCTGGTGTGCTGTCATTTTCAAGAAAAAATGTGGCATTTTGTATCAATTTCTTTTTTAAATACTGCCTCCAATTTACCATATTTAGTTAGGCCGCATTTTGTTTGCAATCGATTACACACCTATGAACGAGTACAAGCCAGCTAGACTACTTCCCTGACCATACAATTCCCCGACGTCTATAAATTGCTCCGTTTCATCTTAAGTGGGGTCAGGGAATCAGACTACAAGAATTTTTTTCCTGCATCTACGAACACAAAACTTCAAACAAGTCAGTGTAACAATATTTGCTAAATTATACTAACCTCCCAAATCCATCCATTTCTGAAACTTACAGCAAAAGCAAATGTTGTATATTCCCTTCAAGTGCTTAATATACATTTGGTCCACAAGGCGATCAAAAAGCAGATAGTCGCTTCAATTTCTATGGCAAAACTGCAATTGCGAAGTTCACAAAACGATGACCAATAATTCATAAGATGGAATTTTGCGTCGGGGTGATGTAAATCAAATTAGGTTTTGCCCTTCACCGACGTATAAACACTGTATACTCAGTGTGTTACCTCCCGAGTGAAAGTTGGAAAAAATCACTCGGGTGGGACAAAACCTAATTTCAGATCAGATTCGAACCAGCCAACCGATCCCATTAGCTCGGTGGTCGAGTGGTAAGACGTCTGCACACTGAATATGCAGTGTTTATACGTCGGTGAAGGGCAAAACCTAATTTGATTTACATCACCCCGACGCAAAATTCCATCTTATGAATAGTTAATGCGGTACCCGCTGCTATGTACATCAGATTGGAACCAGCCAACCGATCCCGTTAGCTTGGTGGTCGAGTGGTAAGACGTCTGCACTAGAAGACAGGAGGTCGTGGGTTCGAGTCCCATCCAAGTGATTTTTTTCCAACTTTCACTCAGGAGGTAACACACTGAGTATACAGTGTTTATACGTCGGTGAAGGGCAAAACCTAATTTGATAACCAATAACAATAACAAACCCCCAAAAACAGGGAAAACAGTTCTGCACCGTACAAACTCGTGTTCACATTCGTTTTCCCACCGAGTATGAAACTGCCAATAATCCTGTCTCCATCATTAAAATACTTCATTTCAAAAACATGAAAATTGCTTTTTGTTTTATTGGCATGTAGTTGGGCTCTTACCTCCTCCAGATACTTCGTGTAGTTGACGTCGGCCACTCCGGAATCGACAAAATTTCTCAAGGCCGTCTTTGTCTCAGGATCCAGAATTACCACTTGCGACAGGTCCAGATTGATGCCGTCTAGTTTGGTCCCAATGTCCGGGTATAACTACAATCCAAACGAAGGCAAAGATTGAAATCTATCGTCGCAGAGCTGACATACCGACGAATAAGCGAAAACCCTGTTTCGAATAGTTCGCGTTTGAAGTTGGACTTTTTTTCTAGGCATTGTACATGTATTTTACCCTTAATGTTTCGATAATAACCATTTTGGTGTATATTCGAAATAAAATAGGAAACGTAGTATCCATCAGGTTACTTATTTAATCAGAGAATTTGTGCGATATGTTTTTATTTGATCGTAAACGTGTTTGTCAAATTACAAAATCTGTAATAGCCGCTTGTTCTTCACACTGTTTGTATGCTGTTCGTCAGTTTGTCGGATCGCGCGCGCACTGCATACAGCGCGCGCGCAATCCGACAAACTGACGAATAGCATTCGTTGGTACTTTGAATGCACACCTTACATTAGCTGGTTACCAGTGAAATTCGGTATTCGTCACTATGTCAAATTATGGATTTGTTATTATGACTGATACGCCACAGGCGGGCCTCAGAATCTCAAAATCCAGACAAGAATTAAGAATTTTGGCATAAATGCTTGAAAGTGCAACCTTTAAAAACCGCCACAATGACAAAATCTCAAAATCGCCTAAATGGTCGATTCGCCGTTGTGTCATTCTTTGATAACAAACGATTTCCCATGAATATGTCACAAGTCGTACCTTTCTGTAATCCAGCGCTGCGGTTATGTTGTAGATGTTCCCAAGCCTCAACGCACTGTACAAACCCTCGTCAATTTCACAAGAGCTGAAAAATTTGAACCAGGTGAAAAAAAAAGTAATTTTTTTAATATAACCCTTGAAAATGCAGCTTTGTGTCTCATTTAACTTCATTTTCAATTTCCGTTTTGCCATTTTCAAAGGCGCTTCGCGCCAGGATTATTTTTGCCAAAAATTTAGATTTTCGCAAAAGGCAACATTTCCAGCCAACTTCTGATATACAGCCAAACGCCACAAATACTGTTTCGCAAGAGTCATTTCAACAGTATTTGTATGATATTTCTTGCCGAAACCTCATATGTTATACTCAGGGGTGTGCACTGGAGCGTAAATTGTACAACGATAGGCCGTGCACAACAGATCAACACACGGTCCACCTCCACAGACTTCACAGACTTTGTGTGTGTGTGTACAAAAGGCATGAGGGATTAGCGTGTTAAGACGTCACCCGGAGGCGAGTCAAGGCAATTTTCACGTCTTAACCTGTCAAACGTGCCTGTGTATAAAAACAGCCAGTGCATGTGTTCACGTCCTCCAACGCGAATTGGTTAATATTGCAAATTTGGTAACCACTTCTAGGGGAGTCAGGTTGGCGTAGCTGTACTTTCCCCGCCTTCCACCGCTGTGACCCGGGTTCGAATCCCGCCTGGGCCACTGGGTTTTCAGTCCCTACCTGATTTTGTGGGTTTTTCCCAAAATATTCTTCTGGGCTTTTCCTCCCACCTCTAAAACTGTAACTTCTTCTCATTGTCTTCTCTCTACAGGTTTCTTCAGGCTTGCGAGCTACAGTGCCTAGGGCGCTTTTGAGGAATCCTTGGTTTCATTACCAGAAATGATTAATAATAATGAAAATAATAAAAAATTACCCTGGATTGGTCATTTGGGAGACATCCCCATAGACTTGTGCACAACATTTTTCACACTTAAATGTGCCCTAACCCAATATTCCCTTGTCCTTTTTACACGAATTTCAGCATGTTTACTAATTACACCTCAAACAACAAATATAACCTAATTGCGACAATAAAATTGTGCCTCTAAACCGATGTCTCCCATCGTGCGAAGAAATTACGATAACGTGTCTCCTTAGTGGTACCTTTACACGTATAAGTATCACAATATTATTAAATTTTCCTGTAAAATCCATTTTGAGGTGACTTACATGATCAAGCTCTCGACAGTCAGCGGGTCCTTTCCTTTCCCAAACAGATTATCGCTGAGCCAGTACTGCGATGTCTTGTCAATCAGGTACGGATAGTCTATGACCTAAAAGTCAAAAATAAAAGAAAGCATAACTCTGTGATGTCAACTCTGCGTGGCATGTGGCACATGAGTGCGCACCAAATGTACAAGGCGAGTCAAAAAGAAAGTGACCGAATTAGAAAAAAATATCTTTAAAAATATGGCTTGCTCCATTTCACAAAAATAATATAGGGATAAAGTACATGTTAGGCCAAAAAAAAATTTTTTCGGTCTCTGGTCAGACCAAAGTTCCGGAATTGACGCGGCCACGCGGCTTTTTTTTTTTTTCTTCAAGCTTGGATTGTACAGACAAGGTGGGGTACTATTTTGCTTTTTTGGTGTCCTCGTGTACATTGGTGTCCTCCATAATTTGCCTTGGTGCTTTCGATCATTTGCCTTGGTGCAATTTCCCATTCCTTGGTGCTCTTTGGTAAAACAAATTGAGCAGATGCAGAAATAGAGGGCGCTGTTGGAGCTACCGCGGAACATTTTGGAAAAAAAAAAGATCGACGCGCATGATTAAAATCGACGCGTGCGCTGACCAGAGACCGACTTATTTTTTTTTTGGCCTTACCTACTAGTAACTGTGAAAACTCTATTCCCAAGTTTTGTCTATTTTAATCAAAAGATCACAAAATTCAGCTGTCCACCGCTGATCATTTACCATTCTACGAACTGATGAATACCCATTAAATACAATGAAACATGGACGTTTTCCCACCTCCGTGAATGAAGAAAAACTTGCAAAGGAAAACAGACAAAAATCGCCATCAATATTTCAGAAAATAAAAAAGAGTTGACTGGTTCCTCATATTCAAAACACAAGATCTGACAGTAAAAATTACAGTCTTGACTCAAAAAGTTAAAATCTCATTTGTATTTGAATGCCTGTGTGTAAGCTGTAATTCTCACTCAGCTCAATAGCTTCCAATGGCATTCCATGCGTTTACCTCTTTGAAGATGGATCTGGTCGTAATCGGCTCGCAGACGACTTTCTCCGACACGCCGCCCAGTAGGAAACACAGTGTGGTCAGTATCATGATGAAGGCGGAGAAGATGAAGGAGAAGGCCACGCCCCTAAAAGAGTCATGCATCAAAATCATTGGAAATTGCTTTTTCTTAAATACAGTAAACTCCGGCTAAGTCGGCACTCTCGGGACCCGAGAATTTGTGACGACTTTTACGCGAATGCTGACATCTGCTGTAAGTGCCGACTTTAATACATGAATGGCCTTTTTGCACATGATTCATTGAACTTGTTGGCTTCATATTATCCCGGTTTATCTCTTTAATGCTTGAGTTGAATCCATGTTCCTTGCTCTATCGTTGAACTTTTGAACTTCTTACAATAAAACACGTCTCAAAAATCATCCAAAAACACTTTGATTGGGGACCACTTAAATGTGTATCGTTCCTCACATGTATTGGCTCCAGAAAAAAGAAAAAAAAAAGTCATGCCGACCGACCAACCCAGTTTTTTTCTAACTATGTGACCCGAACCAAATGTATAGTTTTGTCGGGCCTGATCTGCATTTGACTCTTCATTGGCATGACTAAAACTCTGAAGTCTAAACGGTGTCCAAGTTTCCTTCTTACTCAGAGCTGTAACAGTCTGCAGGGCCCAATTTCATAGATAATTTCAAGGTAAGCAGAAACTTTGCTTAAGCACGAAAAAACATTGCTTAGTAAAATTAGGTTACCGGCCAAAACTCCATGTGATGTACATTGCTTGTGACTGGTATTTAGCTGTTGTTTACTTAGCATAACAATCGCATGGAGTTTTGGCCGGTAACCTGATTTTATTAAGCAAGACATTTTTGTGCTTAAGCAAATTTTGTGCTTAAGCAGCTCTATGAAATTGGCCCCTGTCCTGAGAGGGTTTTAACTAAATGTGTTAGTGCTTACGCGAGCAGCAGTGTCCCACCAAAGTTGGACAGGCATGCCCGCTCGGTGGGCCTGTCTCCTTTAAACCGGCCACACTCCCCAAACATCATGCCCAGGAAGTTGCATAGGACGACGATGAAGATGATACTGGAGAGGGCCATGCCCACGTAAAACCTACAACCAAGCAGTAAAAGCACAGGCCAATGAACAAACAAACCATGGAGGTAAATTATCGTTTAAAGGGACCATGCAATGTAATTTTTTTTTATAATGCAGCCCTTAACAATGCACCTGTTGCATCCCGTTTAACCGTATTTTCAATTTTCGTTTTTGCCATTTTCAAGCGTTTCTTGGGTGCAATTTTTTGTTTTTATGCTAATGCCAATTTCCATATTCATGAGCAAAAGTGTGATTTCATTTCAGGCAGAAACCTCTATGTTACAGCTATTTCAGCACAAAAAGTTTCCCGAATTTTGGATATTTTGCCGTTTTAAATTTTTCTTTTCTTTGGCGATTCGTTGTTGTGTCAGTACATGGCAGTAAGCCAATGAATGAGCAAACTTTTCTCACAAATGTTTAAAAAAAAACAGATTTGTTGATTAAACAAATTAAACTGAACAGTGTCTTCCTGAAATGACATCACAGCAACAGCGCCCTCAATTCAAGCATGGACAATTTTACAAAGAAACGCACTTCTAAATAAAATGAGCCAAAAACGGATGTCAAATAGTTTTCATACATTTAAAAGGAGTAGAAAGTTGCACAAAATGTGTTCCTAAGAAAAATTCATTTCATGGACATTTTAATTAGACACTCACAGAATTTCAAACAGAACTTTCTTTGCATAAGCTTAAAGGGAACATGGGATCATTTTCGAAAATTCAAAAATGAAACTGCCAAATTATTATGAAATGATAATACCTGATCGTAAGTAAATAATAGAATCAAACATTGTGTGAAATCATTGCGCCTAGTATGCTGTCATTTTCAAGAATAAACCATCATTATCCTTGCGATCGTTAAGATCTAAATATCGCACATAGAAACCTATGCCTTGCATTGAGAACAAGTGGTCCGCGGACCGCATGTGTCGTCCTTTTCTGGATCGATCCATATATGTTTTATGTTCTTAAAAAAAAGTCTAATTTTGGGCGATTTTGAACGACCTCAAATGACCCCTACATGACCTTTGACCTCCAATTTTGGAAGTGTGTTGTGATGAACCCCCACCCGAGGATCACTCCATTCAAGTTACATTAAAATCCATCAAAATCTGTAGCGAAAGAAATATTTGAAGCATATTTGAACAATGACCCCTACATGACCTTTGACCTCAGTAATCTGATGAAGAATTGTGTCTTCCCAAACCAAGGGTCACTGCATCCAAGTTTCATCAAAATCCACGAAAGCATGTAGAAGTTACACATTTTTTTTTCAAAACTTTAAATACGGGTCTACTGGTCTATATGGTCATATGGTCATACAGAATTGAGGACCGGTTAATGTCTCCCAAAACTTCGTTTAGGCAACACAAAAATGAAGATGGATTTTCGCAGTTTTCTCAAAAACTGTAATATCAACTGAGCTAAAATCTTCAACAGGTTAGGTTTTTAAATAATGAATAATGAAAGGTTTGCGGAAACACCATGTGCTAATAATTTCTCAACTAAGAGAATGCTTCTGAAAAGAACCAGAGGTATAAACTCAACGTTCCGGTCAGTATGCTCTGACCGTCTTCAGGAGAGTGCCTAAACTCTAAGAAAGTGAATACTTAAGTAGCAAAAAGCGAAATCAATGAAGTGTGAAGGTTAGGTTTTTTGCATTCTTCTTTTGATTTTGAGTGGTGTTACTATTGGAAAGGAACAAAATGCATAAACAGCAAATGATCCTTTACAGGGCGATTCAAAAAAGCGAAACCCAAATGTCAGGACTAATATTTTAGTGAAGTTCTGCATGTAGCACTTCCTAATCTACCGGTAGGATATGAAAGCCCAATTCATCAGCTTTCTTTTGGTACAAGAATCATTCACATCACTTGAGTGGTGTGCATTCTTTCAGCAAAACGAAACAATTTCACACATATCCCTAAGTGATTTGTTTTTTCGTTTTGCTGAAAGAACACTTACCTTTTTGTGATCCGTGGACAGAACTTGAAAATGGTGGTTGTGTTTAAAATTCCGTAACTTAAAAATTACATGAGTGATTTGAATGATTCTTGTACTGACAGACAGCTTATGAATTGGGCTTTCACATCCTAGATTTTGAAAGTGTTATATGCAGAGCTTCACTAAAACAATAGTCCCGACATTTGGGTTTCGTTTCTTTTTCACTAACCCTGTATACTTTTAACATTAATGAAGGACTATTTGGCCATACCTGTATCTGTCAAGCATTTGGACAAATGCAATGACGTCGTAGAGCTGTTGCGCTTGAGGAGCCGTGGAGTCACTTGAGAACAGTGCTAGAAACTTCTCAATCTCCTGTCAGAATACAAAGATGAACCCCAAAAAATTACAGCTTTCTGAAAAAAAATCACTGCATCAAGCCGATCACGCTATCTAAGTTAGTCTAATTGCCAAGTTCCATAATACAGCAAGTATTACTTTACCTCATACATATTCATGACCAAGAGCTGAATTCTCATTGGTCCATTCTCCATCACTTGCCGTATGCTACCGGTATTTTTGCTGTTTACCAAGCGGGCGCGCGAGGATTCACGCACAGGGTGAATATGCATGCGTAGTAGATTGTCGCATGGGTTACCCGTGCGACAGTCTACTACGCGTGCACTTTACGAAGCAATCGTGGAATTGTCACACGTGTGTAGTACGCAGGTGCAAACATCGACCCTGGCTACACATGAAAAGATGGCGGCACACGTAAATTTTAAGTAGTATTTTCCTGAGCTCAATGATGCCAACTGGAGAATATTGTGGACAATAAAAATGCCTCCTCTGCTAAAAAAAAGTTTTCCACAATGCGGTATAAACTCTTAGGAGTCACTGTATTGCAAAAGAAATAAACTTTTCTGAATCTGAGCTGGACAAGTTTCTCCGAAGATTTTATGCCTGCGAGATGCATAGGCCCTACTGCAACGGGAAAAGTCGGCAACTGAATATACATGAGGTATAGTAAAACTAATATAACATGGGTTATTTTGGGTGGACAGGCGATATTAGCTCCCCTCGGTATTAGAAGTTGACAAAACTAGTTCCCTTGGCTTCACCTCAGGAACTAGTTTGTCAACTTCCATTACATCGGGGAGCTAGTATCGACTATCCACCCTAGTTGTTAATTTGTTATGTAACTTCGGCCTGCGCACTAACAAAAAAGTTTTAAAAAGTAAAGTCTGTCGCGAGCCAATGTGGCCCATCAGGCCGGCGTTTATCTCCGGTTTCAGTGGCATGAAACAACTGAGATTATTTCTACTCCCCCTGGATGGGATGCTAGTCCATCGCAGGTTACTCCCCAGCTAATGCCGGTACCCATTTACACTCCTTGGTGGAGAGAGGCAAAAGGGGGTGAAGTGGCTTGCCCAAGGACACAACATATGGCCAGCAGCTGGATTCGAACCCCGGACCCTCTGATCATGAGTCACGAACCCTAACCACTAGGCCACACACTCCCCCTGTGCACTAAAAGCAGTGTGCGAATACTTGCTGTCGTGTGCTAGTAAAAACGTCATTGGGAAATGTCTTCATCCTGGCTCCCTGCTGTGCATTATGATGCCCGCAGCTATTGGTAACCAGTGATGGAACAGTGCCTGTGCCCCGGTTCCAAGTAGTCCACCAAAGCAGCCTAACCATCTTGTAGTTGAGTGACGTCAGTCAAATTATGGTTGACCAGTCCTCGTTTGAACTTTCTCGTACGTGCAAATGTGTTGAAATACGACAAATTTGAACTCAAGTTTACTCACAGGTGAGAGCTCAAAGGTGATATCGTCAACCTCCTGCTGAACACTCTCCTGCAACTTTTCAAGTTCATCCATGAATTCTGAAAGAAAACCAAACAGAGGGCTACTTTGGACGATATATGAATGTCAGCAATGCTGTGGCACATTAAGAGGTTCTTAAAAGGCGTGGGGGGGATGGCGGGAGGACGGGGAGAAGACTCAATGTTTCAGACACTATGCTCCATCAGAGGACTTAGCATCTCCTGACCACGGAGATGATGAACGCAGTATACTGTCCGAAAAGTTGAGTTTCGCCAAAGTGTTCTGCATCGTACAGCCCGTCCCAAAATACCTGCACCATTTTTTTTGCAAGGCTCGAGCGTCACTGCGGAAACAGGTACCGCCATCATTTTTATATCATTTTAAAGCTTGGCATCTTAACTTTATCCCTGGTAAGTATTGGTTTGATTTTCAAAAGGGTTTTGACATGATTTGTGTTCAAATAAAGGAGTGTCAAACACAAACTCAACAATTTCAAGAAAACTCAATCATGCGCATTTCTTCTAATGTGGAAATGGTTCATAATGTTCATACTGTGACGATCTCGTGGCCTTTTAATTTCTGTGTTTCCTTTTCGATCCACGTAGACTACACCGTAAATGAATTCACAATATTATTCTTTGGTCCAAATTCAATTTTGATATTCACGTGCAAGTATGTACGTAATCAAAAAGTGCGCTCAAAGTGTGACTGGAGTTTGCATCTGATGCACTGCATCATCGCTTTTTTCTTGAAATCGGTTAAGGTTGTTTTCAACATGCCCTTATTTGAACACGAATAAGTTTAAAACTCTTTTTTAAGTATCTAACCAATACTTGCCAGGGATAAAGTTCAGATCCCGAGCTTTAAAATGGTATAAAAATAATGGCGGTACGTGTATCTGCGCCGACACCAGAGCCTCGCAAAAAAAAAAGTTGTGGGTATTTTTGGGACGCACTGTTTATTTAATACCTGTGACTGATTCGCAAGTGATTTTTTTTTCTAATGGTAAATTGCTGAGTAAAATATTCTGGTAAGCAGATCGGGGTTGACCTGAAACTGAAAACCTGCATTTTGTTCGGTCTTTCGTAAGCAAGTGCTGCAGATTACAGGGGTATAAGCCTGAATGTTATGGTCTGTTGAACATTTAGTAATTAAAAGCCACATCCTCTTTGAGTGATCCCGCATTGCCATTTCCCAGGTTTGCAGCAGGGCTAATGTCGCTAGCTTTGTGAATTTGGTGTGGAAACATGGCTTTATTGCTTACTGGTCCCATGAGCAAAGACAATGTGAAATCGGTCGACTGCTAACATGGAGCTTGAAAGCTCAGTCTGCTTTGGTATTCTGGATTTCATTGATTCAATATATAACTCCATCCTATTTCCTTATTCAACCTTATGCAGGGTGAGTCAGAATGATCTGGACCCAAGTTCACCATTTCTTGTGGCAAATAGAGTACATCGAGAACAAAATGAGCATTTTTATATTAATGGTTTATAAGCTTATCTTCCACAGAAATTTTGAATTTTTCTAATTAGTGGCTGTGGTGAGGAGTTATGCCATTTTCATTGACCTGATTGAAGTGGCTCATTTTCCAGTCTGCACACGGTATAGGTTTTGCCTTTTTTTAAAATGTGTCAACAACTTCCAAGTCAGTCACCATGGCTAGGTTTTTATTTGTTATTACCCTGCTTCACATCAGTACTCGATTTCAAGAAATTTGTTGAACCATGGAACCGTGGTCAGAGTGTTTTTTTTTAGCGCGTGTTGTTTGCTAGCGCTTTTCTTCAAAATGGTACAATGGATATACATGAAACTTTCACCAAAAATGTCCAAAATACCAGCTTATAACATATCTCATTTGCACTTGTTTTTGATATTTTGAATATTTTCTTTAATTTGGGTCCAGATCATTCGGACTCACCCTGTATTGGTTAAGCATGTATATGATACAGTTAATTTTGATGGTTGTTACAAACGGTTGTTACAGCTTCTTCAAAGCGCATTTTACTTTTATTATTTTTGATACAAATTTATGGATTTGTTATTTTGCTATTTACCAGTCTTTATTTATGGATGTATTCTCTAAAGGAGTGTGGAATAAATGTCTTCTTGAATTGAATTGAATTGAACGATGTCTTGTAAGGCGGAATTATGTCCAACGTACGGTCAATGACATCCTGGCTTTCGTTCTTGACTTTGTTAGGGATGTCGTCCAGTTCTTGCTGGCCCTGATCAGCCTTGTCTGTGATGTTGATCTTCAGGGCATCGTTGACTCGGTTCAACTCGGCCGCAATGTCAATCTACAACAGAACAGGGGGGAAAAAATGTGAAGTAAGACTTCAATAAAAATAAAAGAATCTTTTTTCAGTTCAGTTCAATAAAAAAGCTTCAATCTAAAGGACTTGCGATACGTACAGACAATGAATAATCATTTTCATTTTCTTTAAAGAGTACCCAAAATGTGCATTTATACTCAGTGCATGTATTTAATACCTAAATGCTATTCCTGAAGAAATAAAAGAACTTGTTGAAGTTTGACATTTCTAAAGTATATACATGCAGACACATAAACAAAAGATGCATTGATTCTCTAAATTTTATCATACATGTTTTTGCACAAGAGCACAACTTGAACTTGCATGTTGTAGTAAAAAAAGAACAGTTTATGTAGCTGATTCACATGTATTTAACAATTGCTAGTACGTGTAAGAACATGCAGGACTTGCCATCGTGTGAGTCACACATATCCTTAAATTGCAGAGGCCCATTCATCATGTACATGTGAGCAAGCACACTGCTAGCGCATTAAAGGTAGAGTCGTAAATTTGTAATTTGTGCATTTTTTTCCTTTCATTTGAACCAACAAAAGTGCTCAAAATCTAAAGACGGATGCTTAAAGGGAATGTACAACATTTCCTTTTGCTGCAATTTTCAGAAATAAATGGATTTGGAGGATTAGTATGTTAAAGCAAATATTGTTAAAATGACTTGTTTCACGTTTTGGGCTTGTAGATGCTGGAAAAACCGAGAAAACCATTCATGTTCTTGTAGTCTGGTTCCCTGACCCCACTTAAGATGAAAAAGAGCAATTTACAGACTTTGGGGAATTGTAAGGTCAGAGAATCAGTCTGGCAGGCTTGTACCCCTTCACAGGTGTGTAATCAATTGCAAAGAAGACGCGGAATAACTAATTATGAAAAATTAGGAGCAGTTTTTGAAAAAAGCCAGTTTTCTCCAACACTGGTCGGCCCAGCTTCGAAAAAGTGAGTTTTTTGTTGCCGTTTTCTTCAAAATGACAGCATGCCAGAAGGAATAATTTCCAAAAAATGTGTCACTTGACACGTCTTTGGAAACAATTTTCATTTGTTTTCTTCAAAACGACAGCATGCCAGAAGGAATAATTTCACAGGGAGTTTAGTACCATTACTGTCTTTAAACCAAATAAGATTTATCACAATCATTTGGTCGGTTAACTTTTTGGATAGCTGCAAGTGGTCTGCTCCACCTGTAAGTGCAAGCTTACGAAGAGCGCGTGAGCACCGTACTACCGTACCTCACTTTATGGCTTCTAATAGCGGTCATCACATTAACCTCTGTGTTTGGTCCGTAGTAAACAGGATGTGTAGAATAAATTTGACAAGTACACGTGTGCATTTGCCCCTTGATCCGCGCAAGACCAAACAACTTAAGACCAGCTGTTCCCCTCAGCGTCACAATATTTGTTGCTTTGGCCATTAATTACTTGATTGAGCATTTCCTATGAAGCCTTGACCTTTCTGAAATTTTTCAAATTTCACATACATGTAGCTTTCGATTACATCCCAATATGTGGTAATATGTCGGGTGTACTTATGACTTGGCAACAGAACGGAAGGTCTTTTTACATGTAGTGCCAATCATATATTCATACATTTTGTAAAGATTTGGTTCGGCGGGTTAACCCTGGAACACCAGTTCACAATAAGAGAATAGATATGTACTTTTTAAACAAATACGTTTAAAACTGGCTATGGTGTCTGGACGCTGATAATGGCCCAAGCAGAAGGCTTAATGGCCTTTGAGTCAAAACTTCAAAACAAGTCAAAAATTATAAATTTCCAATGATCTTGTTCAACAATTTTATCTCATTTTTTTATAAAAACATCCCTCTAGTTATGTTATGGTATGTGCCTCTTGCGAGTGGTCATAAGCATCTCCTTATATGGAGATTGGCGCGGGCGTGGCTCATACTGGGCAATGTGGCACAGAACGCAGCGGTGCCAGTGAACTGTGAATTTAGGACTCTCGAAATACGGGCTCATTGGTAGTATTGCACATGTTTAAGTGAAGATTGTGAACGTTCAACCTGTGCAAGGGTAAATATTCGGAGGAGTCCAAATATCATGTGACACCGGAATAGTGTTTAAAACCAGCCAGTCGGTGTTTTATCAACCGTTTAAAACCACCCACGTGACAGGCTCTCAACCAATAGGAATGGGTAAACTGTCTTAGGTATTTATGAATGGGTTTTAAAACTCTGCTGAAAGTCAACAAAATGCACCAACTCAAAATATCTTGTACCGTTTCCCAGCCAAATCACTAAATTTTGTCAGCGATAATTGTTCCCCTGCCGTACAGTGGGAGATGGAGGGGAGAAAATTAGGACTTACAATTTTGAAATCTGCCGCTGTATTGACACGATTCAGATCTATCTCATCCTTCGGGCAGACTTGCCCGGGCCCCGGCACGCACTGGATGGACTGCAGCGTGGCGTTGATGTCGTTCCTGGCCAGGTCCAGGGCCTCCTGCAGTCTGGAGCCGTTCTCTTTGAGTTGGTTGACCGACTGGTTGACGGCTATCAAATTAGCCTGAAGGCCTATTGACTCTGAAACACAGATGTGGAAGGAAAAAGCGAACCAGACGGGACACATGTGCATTAGGGTATTATCCAAGATTGTCCTACTCGATCTCAGAAAATTGCCAAGATTTCTGGGCGATTAGAAAAATAAACTTCAGTGATCACACATTCTAAAGGTTTTAACACAATTGGCATCAGTCGGCACTCAAAAAAATTAACAGTCGCAAGAGCCAAAAAACGTCTGTGCTGTGACAGAATGTGTTGACCGACAAGCTGGAATCAATGTGAATCATGTGACTTATGTGAAGTTACCGGTACGACGTCTTGCGCACATCCGGATCATCTTATTTCAATGTGTAGCCAATCAGCGCGTGGCAGATACACAGATTTATAACAATCATGGCAGCCGAATGAACAGACATGGCCGTGGAAGATCGTTGGATTGTTATCAATACGCGCACCGCCAGACGCATTTTTGAAACTATCCCTTAGTAGGTCGTTTTTTAATTCGGCGAAGCTGTAAACTGGTGCATGCGAGTGTTGATCTACATACAGGCGCGCGTGATTGCTATTATTCGTCATGACATCGCGCAGACCTACAATCAGCTTAGTGAGAACGTGTGGGAACGCTGATTTCGGGCGCAATTCAAAACAGGCTCAGCAACTTTCAAATTGAATCAAGTTCCTAGAAAGTTGTTTTTCTCAGAAAAAGTACAGCATTCTCTGAGCTAAAACTTTATCAGGTGAGTTGTTAAGCAACCTTCTTTAAAATTTGAGTACTTTTGTTGCTTCAAAAGAAAAAAAGGCGAAAATGACAAAAAGATATACTCTACCTCTAAAAAAATAACATACATTAATAAAACAACTTAACCCTAACCAAATGCAACCCATCAAAGCCCAACAGCAGTTTTTGTTGAAGCCTGGTAGGATAGGTTCAGTACCCCTAAACTGATGGTCTTTTACGTTGGGTTTGGCATACCTCCAGAAACTAAGTCCAACAGTGTGTGTGTACGATTTCCCATGTGGGTGTTGGAATTTGCCAGGATGGGTATGGTTCCTAGTAAATTATGCTAGAGAGTAAGGATAAAAGGTGGCTGGTGAAATGCAATCGGGGAACAACCTCTGCTGACATTTCTTCGTTTCTTTAGGAAAGTTTCCTGTTTAGTGGAAACATATCCTAGATAAGGCCTCTCCTGCCTGGCATTATGTCAAAGATTACACTGAAGACGTTACGTCAACCACATAAGGAGCTGCCTTGTAAGAGGGAGCTGCTAGTCCACAGACCAGAAATTGAGTTAATTCCAATGTTCCTGTCTTATATACCTCTCCCAAGCCGGTACACGGATCCTAAGGCCGGGTCGACCTTCCTTGCAAAGTTGTCCCGTACAGGTTTGCCTATCAGCTTATCAACATCTGCAGACCAAAAAAAAAGAAAAATCAACTGTAAAAGCTGTGCTAAGCAGTTCTTTTTTTATTTTTTTTATTTTGTACATAGAAAGCAGGTCATGGACAATGAACAGAATATTTGTGCATAGAGCACTTGAAGCTTGTGCATTGAGTATTGAAAAGGCCAGGCAATTCGGCACGTACCGGTACCATTCTCCCCAGAATTCAATACGCATCATTGAGTTTCTCAAACCTATTCAAATACATACAATACACAATTCTGAAGTTGATGGAATGGATTTCATAAGTTACAGTGACAACAGCAATGCCACAGGATCATGAAAATAATTTTCTTGCTCTTCATCAACATGGCTCAAGAAACGGAGGGCAAGCTAACACACTCAAGACGTGAAAGAAAATGCAAATAAGGGAATAAGTGTGTGCTTGGCCGGTTTTAAACACTCTGTTTAAGACCGGATGGAGTCTGGATGATAATTACAAGAGGTGAAGGTCAGGGGTTAGGGTAAATACGTTTTCAGTAAAAAAAATCAAAACTTTCAGTCCAAAAGTCAAAACAACTAAAAAATCCCTAGTTTTTGAGTAAAACCCCTACCGTATTTCGTGAAAACCTTGTGGAGACGTATTCATCTATAGAAGTTGCCCTGTGGAGACATATACAATCTTTTGTTCCCTATTGTGTGCACGTCTCCAGAGGGCACGGTGTATCAGATCCAATACATGCAGTGTATCCTGTCCACGGGTCTCTCGAAAGTGGTAAAAAGCCCCCTCTCTGTTCGCGCACGGAGCACATTGCGTAAATCATTCATGCCGTTAATTTCCACCAAAGATTGAATGCATTTCCGCATCTGGCAAATTTTGCCACAAACATTTTCGACATCAAATTTGCTTTTCATAATGTTGAGTACAAACTTTGTTTTGACATTTTTTAACAGTTACTTGTATTACAGGAATTTGTTATGTTACAAATGTTTCACATGAATATTCTAAACAGATAAGCCTCCCATTCTGCAGCTTACCGCAACAGTCAAAATATTCATTTAAGAAATATCAGAACCTAAATTTTTCGATTTCAGATTACACTATTTCTCTACTCAAATGGTTTCACTTCAAATTTTTGACAAGACCTTCAATTATAAAGTGCAACGCGTGGGATGTTGGATCACGTTTATCACCCCACCCCGGCTCAAAGTTCAAGTCGGACTACTACGTGTACTAAGTACGTGTATGCGCATACACATACATGGCCATTCGCTAAACATTTACCAGAGCTTTCGTTATATTAGCTGCTTGGATAAAAGGTTAATGCAAATATATTCGTCAGGAAGGCCAAATGCTTAAAATATCGTTTGGAAAATAGAAACGCAAACATTTCACTGAAAGTAGGAATGATAGTATTCATAAACATCTATTAAAAAGAGATACATGTCAACATACGTGTACAAGTGTTTATTGCCAATACGGGTATTGGCAACAAACGCGCATGTGTGCGTTTGTTTATCCATCGAGGACACACACGTGCAACATCATCGATGAAGCGAGAACAGAAACCGAATCGAGGACTCCTCGGTTGGAAAACATGTACAAAACCAATGAGAGCTGTTGCGAAAATGTTCAAGTACAAACAAAGGAAATGGGAAGAAGAACAAAAGAAAATCCTTGATTTACACCATCAACAAACAGGTGTGCTCTTGTGCGTGTGGGTGTCTCTGTCTTGTATTACGCTCGAGGACAGACACACAAAGGGAGAACAATTAAAAGATCCTTTCAGTCCTCGAACGACAGTGCTTTTGTTCGAAACTGTCCTCGATTGTACGTTTACGTGCTTAGTCTCTGGGAAAGTGTTAAAGTACAGGGACAAAGGGAAACACAATAGGTTGTCCTCAGGCGTATAGTAAAACACGACTGTGTGTACATGTGTGTGCAAGTAAATACTTTTTAGTGAACATGTACATGTGGTGTCTCGGTGACAAAAATCATCACAAATTCTCATTCAAATTTTGTTACAGAAAAAAAGGAAAGATGATGCATAACTCTGGCCTATTTGCCCCCTCCCCCCCCCCCCCATTTTTTTTTGAAGGTAATGTATCTTCTTCATCGCTTTGAACGAAATGAATTTTATATAGAAATATGTTCTCATTTTGTGCACGTGGACCAAAAGTACATTAAGCATTATGTGTGTAGCTACCAGTACATGCACATGTATCTGCAGATACAGCGTGGGTTCAAATATTCAAGAGCATGCGATAACACCTGACTATATTGGTGATAAATTGGTAAGCTGCACGATGAGTCATAGCCGGTGTCCTTAATACTACCAGTGCTCCACAATGGCAAATCATTAACCTTTCTTCCGATAACACATTTTTTTTGTACATTTCCAAATGAAATTTCAATATTTTGGTTACAGAAGGCCATTGATTTTTCACTTCAGGCATGTCAGGGGAAAATGGACAGAATTGAGGTTTTTTTTTTCTTTTTCTTTTTACCAATAAGCTATTCAAACATGAAAAATCAAATAATTTCTTATGTACATGTTTTACTGATTGATAATCAATGCGAACATCAACCACCTCTCTTTGTTTTCTCTGTTTTTATTATATTTTTATGTAATTTATTAAGTTTTTTGAGTAACCTAATTCAGTAATAATTTATGGAAATCTGCTTTGTCACGATTGACAATTTTTGGAATTCTCTTGTTGCTAGATGACCCAACTCATTCAAATTGTGTGATTACGCAAGGAAAATAATCTTCGTCTTAAAGGGAAAATACAACATTTGCAAACATCAAAAAATAAAACTACCAAATCATTTTGAAATACCTTGCTGGACTGTTAGTGAATGACAGTGTAAAGCATCCTGTAAAATCATGGCACCTGGTAAACTGTCATTTTCAAAAAAAGTGGTATTTTTGTATCAATTTCCAATGCTGGTCGGCCGACCAGCGTTAGAAAAACTGGCTTTTTTTCAAATACTGGCCCCAATTGACCATCACACTTGTTTGCAATCGATTACACAACTATGAACGGGTACAAGCCAGCTAGACTGGTTCCCTGACCTTACAATTCCCCAATGTATGTAAACTGCTCTGTTTCTTCTTATATGGAGTCAGGGAACCAGACTACAGGAAAATGATTGTTTTTCTTGGTTTTTATAGCATTTTCGAACCCAAAACCTCAAAAAAGTCAGCGTAACTATATTTGCTATATATTTTCAACCCCCCCAATTCCATCCATTTCTGAAAATTACAGCAAAAGCAAATGATGTATATTCCCTTTAAACCAGGGGAAAAAATGAAAAGGATAAGTTTACACGAGGAAAGACACAAAAATCAACAACCTAAAAATGTCTCCGAAGTATTAAAAATGCACGCTTTTCATGATTTTGTTCATGCTGTGAATTGCTTGCTCTTATGGATTAGCCATGAGTTTTTGGAGGACGTGATCAACATAAGGGGGGTCAGAGTGTCAGTCAATGTACATGTTTGTATTTGTTTACCGCTGGCACGTCAATTGACTCAAGTGGCCTGATAACGGATGAGATATTGAACCATTTTAGCAACAACAAACAATCATCAGGGACATACCAGACACTACTTTCTGAAACACTATTAAAGAGCAAAAGTATTGAAAATTGCAGTCTGTCCAGCATTTTTGGAACGATACATTTTTTGCTTTTAACATCATTTTTTGCTTTTTTCCAGACTGATAAAGTCACACACAAAAATGACAAAAGCAGACGTGGACGAGTCACATCTCTGTTTGAGCAAATCACAGAACCATAAACTTGAACTTTTTACTGGTACTTTGAAGAAACGAAGGTGTTAAAAGCAAGAAATATGTCTTTCCAAAAGTGCTGGACAGACTGCAATTTTCAATACTTTTGCCCTTTAATAGTGTTTCAGAAAGTACCAATTTTCTGGAAAAAAAAAAAAACGAAACAGCTAGATACCAAAACAGTTGAAATTATCCTTCTAGAATGAGAAAAAAAATCATAACAAGAAAACTTGCCTGCAACCATACAAAAGAAAGTAAAAAAAGCCAAACACACACAGATAAATAAAACACACACAAAAAGTAGCACCTTTGTTTATGGTGTAAATCAAGGATTTTCTTTTGTTCCTCTTCCCTTTTCCTTTGTTTGTACTACTAACTTTTTCGCAACAGCTCCCATTGGTTTTGTACACATTTTCTAATCGAGGTCGTCCTCGATTTGGTTCCTGTCCTCAATTCACTGATGATGTTGCACATGCGTGTCCTCGATTTACACCAAAAATAAACGTATACATACAAACAAAACAAAACAAACACTATAAAAAGCTTCCTTTTCAAAATATCAGAAAAGAATTTTCAGCATAAATTTGTACAAAATGAACATAATGTAGAACAACCCCCCCCCCCAAAAAAAAAACCTGAACAGTGCAAATGTTTTGAGTGCTGCTCTCAGTCTAAAGCAACTAACACATTTGTTTCCAAGGTTTGTGTGATTAGCTCCTAATCCCGCCAAATCCCGGCTTTCCTATCCAAAAAGGAAGCATCTGATTGGACGATGCGCGCAATCTGGACACATCTTAAATGAGGCACTTACTAAAGAGGTCTTTCCAAATCAGACTGGACACGAAGCCAAACTGCCGGAACGCCAAGAAATCAAACTCCTATAAGAAAACGAAAAGAGAAAGAGAGAAATAAAATAATGGTCAAAACAGGAAATTAGCTAACGACCGTCGGCAGTGCTGCGCATCTAGACAACATTTTGCTTGGTTGGTAAATACTAATTGTATAAGATTGTCGATACGTCTCTCAACAATGATTTCTGTCACATTGTATTCTAATCTTAATCATTATCATTAAATTTACACTAACTTGTTTCAGCAAGTGACAAGATGTCACACTGAAAACGTAAGCCTTCATTATACAACATTTGCAAACACCGTAAAACAAACTACCAAATTTTTACAAAATACCTTACTAGGATGTTGATTTATAAATGAAAGTCTAAAGCATCCTGTAAAATTATGGCACCTGGTGTGAAGTCATTTTCAAGAAAAGTGGTATTTTTTTATAAATTTCCAACGGTGGTCAGCCAACCATCGTTGGAAAATCCTAACTATTTTTCAACTACTGCTCCAAATTTACCATTTTTTTCCATCCAAATTTTGTTTGCTATTGGTTTCATGTTCATGAACTGGTGCAGGCCAGCTAGATTGGTTCCCTTACCTTACAATTTTCCGGCATCTACAAATTGATCCATTTCATCTTTAGTGAGTCAGGGAGCCAGACTACTTGAACGTTTTTGTTTTTCTTGGTTTTTCCAGCATTTTCGAACACAAAACTTCTAACATGTCAGTGTAACAATATTTGATCTATTACACTAACCCCTCAAATAGTTCATTTCTGAAAATTACAGCAAAAGCCAATGATGTATGGTACATTGCCATTAAGAACATTGGTATTGGCAACATTTTGCCCCTACAGGGTGAGTTTAAAAAAACAAAACTCAAATGTTGGGACCATTGTTTCAGTGAAGTTCTGCATGTAGCACTTTCAAAATCTAGGATATGAAAGCCCCATTCATAAGCTTTCATTCAAATCACTCATGTACTTTTCAAGTTACGGAAGTTTAAACACAACCACCGTTTTAAAGTTCTGTCCACGGATCACAAAAAAAGGTGGTCTTTCCACAAAACGAAAACAATTCACACATCCCTATGTGATTTGTTTTCGTTTTGCTGAAAGAACACTGAACTTTCTTGTGATCCGTGGACAAAACCTTACAACGGTGGTTTTGTTTAAAATTCCGTAACTTGCAAAGTACATGAGTGATTTGAATGATTCATATACTAAATGAAAGCTTTCGAATTGGGCTTTCATATCTTAGATTTTGAAAGTGCTACATGCAGAACTTCGGTAGAACAATGGTCCCAACATTTGGGTTTCGTTTTTGTTTGACTCACCAGGACATCTGAGAAAGTTCCGAATTTTAAACACAACCACCGTTGTAATAGGTTCAGTCCACGGATCACAAAAAATGTCAGTGTTCTTTCAGCAAAACGAAAACAAATCACATAGGGATGTGTGTGAATTGTTTTCAATTTGCTGAAAGAACGCACACCATTCGAATGAAGTATAAAATGGCCTTTATCTTGAATTAATAGTGCGCACCCCTTTCCCATTCATATTGTAGTCGGTTTGTTCATCGTGTTTGAAGAGTGAGTAAACATGTCAACAGGTGACCTGCAGTTGAACTTGCTGAGGCTCACACAGAGAAAACACTGCACGCATTTGTCATAAATCAGGTTGTGAGCAGAGGGGACACGCAAACAAGTCTACTGGCTGATAATTAATATTCTTGCACTGCCAGGGTTATGTACTTTTGACAGCTCAAGCTGGGGGGGGGGGGCGGGGAATGCAGGTATCACAATCATTTCAAACATTCATCCTGCCTACATGTTTGTTCACGTAGAGGATGTCTGTACTCTAAGGGGAAAAAAGGCATGTCCGTGAAAACAATAAAGGGTCAAATTTTGAAATACGGTGTACACGTAGTAACTAATAAATTATGCTGCTAGTGATACAGCCAGCCTCAAGTTATGACATGTTCGTTGTTTACAACCACATCCAAACAGTCAGTGAGTGGAGCCCCGTTCATCACACACTGCCTGATGCAGCGTGATGCAGCGTGCGGTCTAAATACTGCCAGCACATTTTGACAGAATTGACAGTTTTTGAACACGCCTGCTGGAAATGTGTTAAAGGGAAAATACACCATTTGCAAACATCAAAAAATAAAACTACCAAATCATTTTGAAATACCTTGCTGGACTGTTAGTGAATGACACCTGGTATACTGTCATTTTCAAGAAAATTTGTATTTTTGTATCAATTTCCAACGCTGGTCGGCCGACCAGCGTTGGAAAAAAACTGGCTTTTTTTCAAATACTTGCCCCAATTGACCATCGCACATGTTTGCAATCGATTACACACCTATGAACGGGTACAAGCCAGCTAGACTGGTTCCCTGACCTTACAATTCCCCAATGTATGTAAACTGCTCTGTTTCTTCTTATATGGAGTCAGGGAACCAGACTACAGGAAAATGATTGTTTTTCTTGGTTTTTATAGCATTTTCGAACCCAAAACCTCAAAAAAGTCAGTGTAACTATATTTGCTATATATTTCCAACCCCCCAATTCCATCCATTTCTGAAAATTACAGCAAAAGCAAATGATGTATATTCCCTTTAAAATAAGCTGGTCAGTAGCGGAGCATTGCCACTTGGTTGTTATATCCCTAAGTCATTAAAATATTTTATTTTAATGTTTCATTTGAAAAACAAAACCTTTGAAATGACGAGCAAAAGGTTTAAATTGAAAATATTTAGGAACATCTCAAAATCTTTTAGACCAAGTAAAGAAAATTCAGAGTTTCTCGCCAGTTGTTATTGAAAAAAAAAGGAGGAGGAGACCCTTTTCTTTTTTCCAAGATGCCGGATTTTCCAAGATGGATTCCTCCATTTTCTCAACTCTTTTCTTGATATTTGTGTTCAAAGGAGCCGTCACCCTTTCTAGCAGATTCTAAACTTGCACACATAGCTACAATTTTGCTGGAAGCACAAAAATGTCAAAACATATTGCAAATCTATGATTTAAAATAAAGAAAAAGGGAGGTGGCCAAGAAAAAAAGAAAGTGGACAGGGATGAGAATCTCGGAAATTTTTTGACTTGGCCTTACACTTCCTTGGAAGATATTTTAGCTATCTGTGCCGCACTCATTTTGCACTGGCTTAGGCCGTGTCTAAAACAGGCCTCCCCAACAAGAAACTAAAGATTTGGAAACAAGAGAAATTTATTTTAAATCTGGGCCAAAAATCAAGTTTTCTTACCTGAAAAGTATGCTTGATGTAAGCACCCAGGTCGTCCAGGTTGGTGTCTATCGTGCCTTTGATGTCGTTCACTGACGTCGACATCTGGGAATTGGCCATTACAACTCCGGCAAGACCCAATCTAAGGCCATAACAAAAAGAATGAACAAACTTTCAAAACTCTGTCAGAAGCTAAATTTAATCTGTTGCTGAGAAGAAAACAACTTTTCAGGCTTAATTTTAACTTAAGGAAAATGCAGCTTAAAGGTCATGTACAACATCTGCTTTTGCTGCAATTTTCAGAAATGGATTTGGAGGATTAGTACGTTATAGCAAATATTGTTAAACTGACTTGTTTCACGTTTTGGGCTCAATTGTAGATGCTGGAAAACCAAGAAACCAATCATGTTCTTGTAGTCTGGTTCCCTGAACCCACTTAAGATGAAACAGAGAAATGTATACACTTTGGGGAATTGTAAGGTCAGAGAATAAGTCTGGCAGGCTTGTACCCCTTCACAGGTGTGTAATCCATTGCAAAGAAAATGCGGAACAACTGTTATGATAAATTCGGAGCGGTTTTTGAAAAAACGCCAGTTTTCTCCAATGCTGGTCGGCTGACCAGCGTTGGAAAAATACAAATTTTCTTGAAAATGTCAGCACACCAGGAGATACGATTTTACAGGATGCTTTAAACTGTCATTCCCTTACAATCCAGTAAGGTATTTCGTGATTATTTGATCATTTGGTTTTTGATGTTTGCAAATGTTGTATCTTCCCTTTAAGAGATAAATAATTTATTGGATACATGTATTAACATATATTAAGCAGGGTTCAACCTGAAGTTTTTTTTTACTAGCCAGCCAGGCTACTGAAACAGACTCTTAACTAGCCTGCGGGCATTTTCACTAGACCGCATGCTTTTTTTCTATAGAGTGTCTCATAAACAACAATGTGCATACATGTAAAACGTGTATCCTGAGGCAACCTTGTCAGTGTTTTTAATAAACAGATCTAATAATTGAACCCTAAACAGTTAAAACAAATTAGACACAAATTGATACAGGTTTGCTTTCTGGATTTAATGATTTAGTTCTTCCTGCCTTTTCGTCTCTGCCATAGCCCAATAATTTTTGACTCGCCAGTCGGGCTACAATTTCTAAAAATTACCGGTACAGCAAAAGTAAACGCTGTATGTTATCTTTAAAGAATGCTTAAAGATAAGGATTAATAAAGGAATTTAATGCCTGAAACTACTGAAACACATTTGGCTGGGAAAATTCATAAATACGGAATCCCTGTTCAAAATCTCCACACCCAAAATTTCAACTTACGTCATTAGTGCCGTGATGAACAGCAACAGGATCCCGAAGCTGACGCGTCGGCACGTCGTGTTGTACTTGTCCCGCTGCAGCATCTTCCCGCCGCAGTTCTCGCAGCAGCGACAGCAGCAGAAGATGAGACCGGTGATGGGCATGGCCACCACGAACAGCAGAGCCAACGAAAAGCAGGCGATGAAGCCCGCTGAATAACTCACAAACTGAAAAAGTTTTCAAGAAAAAAGGTGATTTTTTTAAAATTTTAAATGGGTCTTTCTGAGATACATGTAATAGGTGTATTTTGCATGTACTGTTTTGTTTAATAAATTATCAAGGCCAGCATGTTGTTTTCTTTGATTAAATATAAAAATAAGCTGAAGTACACTTCAGAGAGATAAGGAAAATGATTCAAATGGTCCAGAGAAAATAGTAATGATTTATTTTTCATAACATGAAAGTCCATGTCCACCATAATAACACACAGCCCAAACATAACACTGCATACATAAATGTATGTACAATGGTGACTTAAAACATACAAGTACCGATATTTTAACAAGTATTTGTTCTACTTATTTGAAAAGATTGAAATTGTAAGTGAAACATGAAAAAGGACATTTGTGATTTTTTTTTTTACTTTTTTTTTTAGTGGTTTTATATTATTTCTCATTGCTCAAAAGTACAACGTTCGTCTGTTCACCTTGGAATCGTGCTAAGGGAAATATTCAGCCAACTGTTTAAATATCATAAACATTTTGCCTTTTTATTATTTCCCCGGACTCTTTTTATTAAATGATATGATTACGATGTGTAGGTTAAAAAGAAAAGGTTTGTATTTTGATTTGTACATGTACTTGTAGCTTTAACAGTGAAAAAGCAAACATGCTTCAAATTCACAAAAGCTGAATATTTTAACTCGGGTGAATTGTGCAGTGAATGTTTCGTTCTTCAAATCAAATTTGCTTTCGTGAATCATGAACCGGCCCAAAAGAGATCTACATTTACATAATGGTGAGACACAGTTTTCCTTCCACAATTTCTACACCTTTTAAATGTCGATAGCGTTTTTCTCCCTTGTGAAAATTAATAATACAAAATCCATTCTTCTCCCTAAGTTCCCCCTCCCGGTAATTTTACAAAAGTCATGACAGTAAAGGGAATTGCAAACGTGTGCAGCAATATTATCAGTGGGAACAGTCACACCAGGGCATACATGTATTGATAGTCTCATTTGCCTTGGTCCAGGGAAAATTGAAATCTAAACCGTGCATCCGCATATTGAGTATAATTCACAGAAATCAGTACTGGGTGTGTCAGTAATTAGATATTCTGTGGGAATAGTACTTTGGTTGCTACGGGTACATGTACAGAATCTGTGGGCGAGGTGTTATAATATACAAATATTGAATGCTTGGGGTGGTGTAGTAAAACTAGCCTCTCGAGGTGATCCATGGACATTCTATTCGCCTCGGGAAAATAGAATGCTCCATGGATCACCGAGGGAGGCTAGTTTTACTTCACCACGAGATAAAGCATTCAATTTTTGTTTTATACCACTTCATCCACAGATTCTGCTTGGTTTTAATATTCTAAATTATTTAAATCTGAACATGATTAAAATAAACTTCAATTTCAATACAAAATTGGTGGAAAATGTATTTCTCTCAGATCCAAACCACCCCTTCACGAAATGTTTGAACCCAACTCTGTGGCGCGCTCTCTTTGGAACAATACGCGCTTCGTGCAACGCACACACCAGCATGCATTTGCACACAAATACCGCGCCGTGGGTATAGTACTTCGGTCGCTAATGGTATAGTACTTTGGTTGCTATGGGTATAGTACTTTTGGCGGTGCACTGAAAGATAGCAAATATAGCAAGTACCATGTGACTTGGTCTCGGCCAATCCGAGACACAGAATCTGTAGGCGAGGTGTTATAAATCTAACTATGTTTACAACCATATATGGTAGCTCAGGTGAAACCAGCAATTGATGCATCATCGATCATGCAAACCAGGAAATGTTGAGAAAAATGAATTTCAAAAAACCAGGAAATGTACTGAGAAAAATGAATTTCAAAAACAACGCACATACATTTAGGAAAACTTGTGATTTTTCATACACGAGCAGATAAATGGCATTTCCCTGTTTGCATTTGGTAGATCAAGTGCGCATAAATTTGTACACTAACATGTCCAACTCCACATACATTGTACAGTATACATTATGTATGTTCTTTCCACATAAATATGATTTGAAACTTTGCATGGTGGTAGTGAATGCTAGGGAGGTTTGCGGTTACACCATGTGGAACAATCTCTTTTGAGGAGAAGTGTGGTTCTGAAAAGAACAGGCTGGTTGTGAAACTCGACGTTTCGATCAGTATGCTCTGATCGTCTTCTCTCCTGAAGACGATCAGAGAATACTGATCGGAACATTTTGACATGGGTTATTTGGAAGGTCCCTTTACTGTCCATGCAGAGCAGTTTTCTTGAAATTGTGCCTTTTTTAATTTATTCGTTTTGCCAGTTATAAGAAATCCCAAGTCAAGAACTCCAAAATTCACTGAAACTGCATACAAGTTGGAAAATTTAAGAGAAAAATAATTCAAATATGTTGAAGAGCACAAGGAAAGGAACTTTCAGAAAAGTTTACTCATGTGAGTGGAAAAATAAATCAAAATGTGCCACGTCTAGGAGATGAGGCACATTCAGTGCCCTATTAATAGATTCGCTGAGAGTACGGCATCCTCGAAGTCATGGACAAAAATAAACTCTCCAGGAAAAACAAGTGAATCATCCCCCTAGACATAATCTCTCTATGCCTCGTTTGTAACCAACTAAAAAAAGCTGAACCCCCTCCCCCCCCCTCCCTTCTGTCAGCAAGGACTAACGATCTTTCCCAGCGGTCCCATTCCAAACCTCGGCCTTAAAGGGAATGTACAGCATTTGCTTTTGCTGTAATTTTCAGACATGGATGAATTTTGTGGCTTGTATTTTATAGCAAATATTTTTACACTGACCTGTTTAAAGTTTTGAAGTTTTGTGTTCATAGATGCTGGAAAAACCAAGAAGAATGCTGTTCTTGTAGTCTGGTTCCCTGACCCAATTTATAGACAGTCAGGCCTTAATAGGTCAGGGAACCAGAGTATCTGGCTTGCACACGTTCACTGATTGTGACCGATTGCAAACAAAATGTGGACTGACTAAATTTGGTAAATTGGGGGCAGTTTTTGTTTTTTTTAAAGTTGGCCGACCATCGTTGGAAGTTCATACAAAAATTCCACTTTTTTTTTTAAATGACAGCACACCAGGTGCCATGATTTCACAGGATGCTTGAGACTATTATTCACTTTCAGTCAAGTAAGGTGCATGTATTTTGTAATAATTTGGTAGGTTTTTTGTTGCAAATGTTGATGTACCTTTAATCTTACAGCCTAGGCTACAAACTTCATGTTAGGCCTCTGATGAAGTTAAGATTCAGCCATGAGTCAATATTTGGGTCTATTTTCAGTTACTGAACATCAAATCACAACAGTCGGTGCCAAAGTATAGAGAAGTTCATTTGGTTCAAGAATTAATGGTTTCTAATCCATTCAGGAAGCCGAAATCAGCAGCAAGGCCGAAGTTTAGAAAATGGCTCGGGACAGACAGAAGACACAAAAAAATGATTCTGTGATCCCTGAATCCTCAACGTTTACAGTAGCAGGGACGGGATCGTGTAACCTCTCGGCAATGCAGCGATTAGACGAGGGAAAAATTTATGGCGGGTGTGGCCCTGCGTACTTGATTCTGGAGAGCGTGTATTTTTATGAGGAAGGAGAGGTATCCAAATAAATACAGCATTCCATGTGTATACAGTGACAAAAGCAACAGGGTATTGATATTTTGTAATTGGGGCAATGTACCGTGTCCTTCTTCTTTTTTTGGTAGTGCATACAATTTGGCACTGCAGCCAAGTTATCTTTTGAATAAATTCACTGTGTACCGATGCAGCTTGTCCAGGGATCAAGGGGTCAACAAAAATTCCCCATTTTGAAAAGGAATTCAGATTTTGAATGAAGCAAAGCCTTTTTGAGTTACTGAAGAATACAAAATATTAGACTTGAATGCACGTACATGTACACCTATCATGCCTATACATGTACATGTACGTACAATGCATACGTACATGTACGTACAATGCATACGTACATGTACACAACATATGCACAAGTCAGTGTCTGAAGATTTTTATCATTTTGGTGGAGAGACAATCTTCTTAAATTCTAACATAAAACTATTGAACAGAAAATATTGTACATGACAAACATAAATAATTTTTTTTTTTAATTTTCTAGTGGAAGAAGCAGAATTTAGGACTTTCGCAAATACAAATTTGCATTTTTGAAACATTATGTTTCCAAAATATCCAATGAAAAAAAATGGCCAGGGCAGGATTCGAACCACAGCAACAGAGATGTAGGGGCAGAAAGTACAAACTGTTCCCTGGGTTCCACAGAAGCTGAAAACTTATTTCTGCTCAAAAAACAACAAAGTACTTTCTGAACTCTCCTTAAAGGGCCGGTGCAATATTTAATTCTTTTTTTAATACAATCCCTGGAAATGCACCTTTGTGTCCTTTTTAACTCTATCTTCAATTTTTGTTTTGTCATTTTCAAGGGTATCGGTACTTTGGTGCCTTTTGGGTTTTTATGCTAATGCAAATTTCCATATTCATGAGCAAAGGTGTGATGTTATTTCAGGCAAAATCCTCAATGTTACAGCTATTTCAACACCAAAAGTTTCCAGAATTTTGAATATTTCGCTGTCGTAAATTTTCTCTTATTTGGTGATTCGTTGATGTGTCAGTACATGGCATTAAGCAATTGGGCAACCTTTTCTTACAAATACATTTTGTATTTTCACCCAGCAAATTTTTTGAGTTTGCAATTTGAACAGAAAACCTCTGAACTAAAGAGTGTCTTCCTGAAATGACATTACAGCAACCAGCAACAGCGTCCTTAGTTGTCCAGAAAAGCAAGGACAATTAAACGATTAAAGAAGTGAACTTTTCCATAAAATAAACCAAAAAACGGAGGTCAAATAGTTTTCATACATTTGAGAAGAGTAGAAAGTTTCACAAAATATGATCAGAAAAATTCTCTGTTCATGACCTTTAATTACAAAAATTATCTCCTTATACTTACATCCTTGTAGTCTTGTAGGGGATTTACTGTGCCATTGATAATCCCTCTCAAAAGCTCTAATAAAGAAAACAAAAAATAATCAAATTATGTTAATTTGTTTTTCCAAACAGGGCACATGTACTTAAAACCTCATATATTCAGTGTACATGTACAATGCCTAGCTTTTCATTTACTCAAGAGGACAGGGTGAGTAAAAAAAAAACCGAAACCCAAATGTCGGGACTATTGTTTTATTAAAGTTCTGCATGTAGCACTTTAAAAATCTAGGACCTGAAAGCCCAATTCAAAAGCTTTCTTTTAGTACAAGAATCATTCAAATCACTCATCTACTTTTCAAGTTACGGAAGTTTAAACACAACCACCGTTTTAAAGTTCTGTCCACGGATCACAAAAAAGGTGTTCTTTCAGCAAAACGAAAACAATTCACACATATCCCTATGTGATTTGTTTTCGTTTTTGATGAAAGAACACTGAACTTTCTTTGTGATCCGTGGACAAAACCTAACAACGGTGGTTGTGTTTAAAATTCCGTAAACTTGAAAAGTACATGAGTGATTTGAATGATTCTTATACTAAATGAAAGCTTTTGAATTGGGCTTTCATATCCTAGATTTTGAAAGTGCTACAATGATGCAGAACTTCACTAAAACAATGGTCCCAACATTTGGGTTTCGGTTTCTTTTTTGACTCACCCTGTACATTTGAGAAAGTTCGCCTCGAAAGCATTATTATTGGCAGACTGCCAGATTTCAAGCTTTCTGTTTGCGATCATTGTAATGCAAATGAAGCATGTGCCCCACCTGGCTTTTCATGCAATGTTCCGCTGATATCGATAATAACAGATATCATTGAATACATCAAACATACAATCCTAGGGGATAAAATAACATACATAGTAGAATATGATCTGTGGAGGACAAGGAAATAATACTTAACAATGAGAGTTATTGCTTTAAAGGGAATATACATCATTTGCTTTTACTGTAATTTTCAGAAATGGATGGAATTGGGGGGTTGGAAATATATAGCAAATATAGTTACACTGACTTTTTTGAGGTTTTGGGTTCGAAAATGCTATAAAAACCAAGAAAAACAATCATTTTCCTGCAGTCTGGTTCCCTGACTCCATATTAGAAGACACAGAGCAGTTTAAATACATTGGGGAATTGTAAGGTCAGGGAACCAGTCTAGCTGGATCGTACCCGTTCATAGGTTTGTAATCGATTGCAAAGAAGTGCGATGGTCAATTGGGGCAAATATTTGAAAAAAACCCAGTTTTTTCCAACGCTGATCGGCCGATCAGCGTTGGAAATTGATACAAAAATACCACTTTTCTTGAAAATGACAGTATACCAGGTGCCATGATTTTACAGGATGCTTTACACTGTCAATCACTAACAGTCCAGTAAGGTATTTCAAAATGATTTGGTAGTTTTATTTTTTGATGTACATTTGCAAATGTTGTATTTTCCCTTTAACTGTTTTTAATTCCTGACAAGCTCAGCATCCAGTGGACATCAGATGTTTGCAAAAAAAATGCCGTGTTAGGCCTATTAATTGAAGATTATAAAATTATAATATTAATAAACATCATTCATGACCATTTTTTTTTAAATTAATGAACAAAAAGTAAACAATATAGTTTTTAAAGACTGCCATTGAAAATGCACGTAAAAGTCATTTTGAATAAAAATGTGAGATTTGTGCCAAGTGCGCAATCGTACGTCGGGAAATGTACAGGGATGGAAAACAGTGCAAATCATTATCAAGAATGTCGCTTTGCTGGCTTTAAAATGTTAATTTATATGTGAACTAAAACCATTTTTTTTAGCAATGAAGTTCAAGTAGCAACATGCAAAACATTGATTGGAAAAGAAATAGGCCTATCTGCACAGTTTTTATTTTTGGATGGATTTTATGTTCGTTTCCTGCAATGCTATTTGGCACATCATAGGTGCTGCCACAGGAAAGGATGCAGTGGTTAAGAGCTGTCCATGTAAAGTTCAACGCATCCTGTTTACTGTGTGACTAACCACGTTCAGCTGTGGAGTCAAGTGAAGTCAGAGGCTTTTAGTGGTATCAAGCATTACCTGTCGGAGCTGTTTGCAAAAATATGATTCGTAAGCACCAGCGACGTAAACTAGGGTTAAACTTCTGGGGGGGGGGGGGCACCTGGAGTGCACCAATACTTCAAGGGGGCAACATTTCACAAATTTATAGCACATTACACGAAAGTCTCGTAGTCCGCGACTTGCGCAATAAATTATGGCGTAACTTGCGCAATCAGTTTAGGTGGCGTAAGTTGTGGCGTATCGACTAAAAATGAGATATTTTACAAGCAAATCGTGATCGTCGTGGAGCCTGTCACTGCACAACTTACCGGTATCAATGTTGATACAAGACACTCACAGCTTTGTGTTTGAAGTAAATGAAATGCTTTTTTACTTGTGACAGAATTTTTTTGAGTTGGGACAGGGCACAGAAATGTGCGTATAAGGCAAAATTCCCCTGAGATAACGCAAATTTAGATAAAGCAAATTAGGCCTATAGGCCTACTTTGCTCCATGACATTAACTCTTGGCAATAGACATTTTAACATTAGTATGGAACAAGTCGTCTCCGCAGTACTCCGCCTAACTTACACTACATGAAAAGGTCTTGCCAAGTTGATCGTCAATGTCACAAATTGTAAAGAAGTTTTGTTACGCTCTGTTCAACATAAAAACCTTGCCATAGAACTAAAATTCAAAAGAGCCCTGTAGATATTTTTAGACTTCTGAGCATGAGTGGATGAATTGCAAAGGGGCAACAAGTGGAACCTGGATATGGTACAGTGCCAAGTACAATGAAGCTGTTATAGTATACAAATAATGAATGTTTGTGAGTGCAGTGGTAAGAGTAATTTCATGAGGTCACAGATGGAATGTTCCATTCCACGAGGCGAGCCGAGTGGAATGGAACATTTTCATCTGAAATTATTTTTTCCATTGCACGAACGTAAAACATTCATTATTTGTTTCATATAACACCTGAATAAATCCTTGTCATCTGATTGGTTGACTTTTAATAGCCAATTTATTCAGGTTAAAAACTGTTTAAAAGTTCGACAATTCATCATATTTATATTAATGCAAACTGTTCAACAGGTTAAGAACAATCATATTCAATTTATCTCAATTTAAAACAGCGCCACCACCAGCAGCAGTTACACCATGCAATGGAAGTTCTATTCACCGAGCAATAGAACTTCCATTGCACTGTGCGCTGCGCGCCGTACGAATAATTCAATGACATGTGATCAACGATCCACCAATCAGGTGACAGGGATTTATTCAGGTGTTGTATTTATAATGTACATTGTAATATTCTGAAAATGAAATTTAGAACTCAAATGTCTTGGTCCTTTCAAGTTTTATGTTTTTACAATGTAGCTCAGGCTAGACTCTTTCTCACTTTTGTTGATTTGTTTAATCATTCTAAACATAGGCCTAATTTGTCCATTTTGAAACTTTAATAAAATATTGAAAAACATGGGATATACATGTAGGGGCCTACATGAGATTTAACTTGTGAATGTGAGTGTACCTTTTTATGCCAGAAGACAGCTGGAAACATCGTCGCTGTACAATTTTATTATTATTTTCTTCGTCCATGGATACTCCAGGTGCACACTAAGGATACATGTATTTCACTTTCCACAAAATGATTATGTTAGGATCAAAACTCCCTTATGTAGTTTTATGTAAACGTCAGTTCACTCAACTCAGCAAGCAGTTTCAGTCTGATATCCCTGTTCAAAACGTTTCATTTTATTGAAAGATGATTTCTTGAAATTATTGATGGTAGCTGAACCCAAAGAAGGAAAATGTTATATAGGCCCTAACCCTTTCTTACTTAACAAGTACCAAGTGGTACAACCCACGGCGGCCGGGTAGCAGCGAGGCCGGGTAACCTGTGTAGATGGCTACACGGCACCGCCCATACACCCAGGCCGTACTGGTACCTCGAGACGAGAGTACAGAACACGAAAAGGAATGGGGCATGATCTATTTTGCAAAAAGTATTTTTTTGTATGCAAATTAGACGCATGCGCTGCAAAACCAGTCTTCGAATGAAAAGCTGTAATACTTGCAAAGCTGCAGTAGTCAAGTTGTATGAATACAATATATGGCCAAGTAAAGTGTCCACCAACCCACCCACCAACCAACCAACCAACCAACATAAGCAGCTCCAGCCCACAGCATGTTTCTCACCGCCGTGGGAAAAATACACACATTTATTGTTTAAAACAAAAGCCAGGCAGCCGTCCAGAGGAGTAACAAACAAATAAATTGAAGCATAAACAAATCAAAACAAATCAAATAAACAGAACCAGAAAAAGAGAGAACTCAAATCTGAGCAAAACGGCACTTACCCCAAGGAAATTCATTTGGAGCCACCGCGTGGATAAATTCCGACGCCACAGTGAATACTATGTCAAAGGTGAGATCGGGCTTGTCCGTTGTTGTGTTGTATTGCGGGTCGGGCGGCAAATCGCTCCACGTTATCGAACCGTTGCTGGCTTTTATGTTCCCCTCCGCCTCTCCGACAAAACTTAAACCCACGACGCAAACCAAAAGGAGAGCGTACATCTGTCTTTGTGGTCTCGTATACTCCATGGTTGGTTGTTCTTGGGTTTTTCTCTTTTCGTCTTTTTGACTTTCCAGATAGCAGAAAAAGACAATCAAAGAAGGCCCCGTTGGTTGTACACTGCGATGTCCTTCAACGACTGTGCGCCTGTTTGTCGAGGAAGTTTCTGCAGTGGCTTACACTTGCTGAAACGGAAGCAGATCATGCATTGATGTTCCCTGAAAGAAAATAGCCAGGTCAAGTATTTCAGTAGGTTTATTTGATAATTTTCACTTCCTTTGTCTGTACAGCAGATCAAGTGACATATATCCAGCTGAGCACCTTTACACAAATGATGTATACACCAACAACAGAAACTAAAAAGAGCAGCTTTTCTTTTGAGATGTGGCTCAGTTTCGGGTCAGGATTGTCTTGCACAATCGAGCCAGCCAGGATCGAGTTCCTGATAGACTTAACACCGTCTACCTTAGCCAACATGGAATGACGTCAAACACTAATAAAAGAGGATGTTCACGAATGCATGCCGTGGTTCTCTTGAACCTAACCACAGGCTCTGCAACAGGAAGAGGGTTATATTCCCACGATTAACGGGAGGTCATTGAAGGGGAAAAAAGACTTTGTTTTTTCTTTACGTTTTGTTTTCACCTCTAGAAACAAAGTGCAACTTTATAGCATTCTTTTAAAACCCATCAGCAATGTTTTGTCTTTGTTTTGAATCCATACAAACAGATGTCAAAAGGCTGTAGCATGCTTGACATGGGAAACAAAATAATTGGATTAACTTGTAAAGTTTATTTTACATTTTGTGGTCATTATTGATTTGTTTTGTTTTGTTTCATATTAAGTGATAATCTCTGATCTTCTGATGTAGATGCACTACGTACTATTCTGCACTACCAACAAACGAAATTTCATTTCCTTAACGTGATTAAGTAATCACAATATGCGCATTTTCACAATTTTCTTTTAAAATACAGCACCACTACCTGATGACAGGAATTTTGACATATTCTACAATCAAGTTGGATTAAGCATCAGAAAATCAGATTTTCTACCGAAATATACTGTTCAAATTGACAAAAGATAGTGTAATTAGACATAACAATTAATAAGAATTAAAAGAAGTCTGCATTTTTTTTAGCAGAACTAGTAATTTTGGAATGACAAAAAAAAACAATCTTGACAATGGTCATGATGGTCAGACCATTTTGACTGCATCGTACTATTCATTAGACCTGTGAACGTGGTTAATGACGGCGACGCCACGTTCCTGAGTCTAACTAGTATTCACAAATCATATCTAGGCCTAGGCCCTAGGCCTACATGTATGGGCCCCCCAAAAAAATTGCCCAAAACTTTTACTATTAAGTATAGTCGTGTTCCCTAACGTGGCGCACTTCGAAGCTTACCCAACTTTCCTTGTGTAGTGTTGCCAAACCTCTTTGTTGACAAACCTCAAATTCATGCAGTAAAATACTGGTACTTTTACCTTATTAATGCTTGCTATTTAACATCCGTGAACAATTTCGGTTTCATAAAATTTAAGCCGAAATTAAAAAAAGGTGGCGTCCGGAAATTGGGCACAAATTGGCGGAGTGCTCCCTAACGTGGCGCACTTAAATAAATCTCGGAAAATTCCAAATTAACATTTAAGAATTTCTGTAAACTTGATCAATTCTGATAAATCATTATTATTTCTACTTACATACCCAGCCAGATGTTTGTCAGAAAATTATTTTCTTATTTTTCGGGGCATTTTCAAAGGTTTCACTTTGCACTTGAAAATAAAATCGGAAAATCACGCCAACATAAATTTTTCTTTTAACTTTGTAGCGCCTAGCGGGTAAATAAACTCGCAATTTATGAATGGGAGTGTTTAGAACTTGATGAAATGTCACTTTCTGTGAAATTTCAGTTAAAACTTTTGCTCTAGCTAGGCGCTACAGGCGAAAAATCAAAGTGCGCCACGTTAGGGGCCGCGCCACGTTAGGGTACATCAACAATAGTAGGCCCCGGAGGGGCCCGTAACTAAAATAAAAACAACGCAGTGGCTATTGTTACGGCAGCCGTAACGCATTTCCCATTTTCTATCGTTACGGTAGACTGCAACCTGGCAACTTTTATAAAAAAACATGACAAGAAAATATAAAATTAGAAGGAAAAAAGTGAATTTGAACTTTATGAAATTCGGACTTTATTTCCCTTTTAAAAAAAATCCTCCAAAGCCTCAGGTTAGAAAAGGAAAAAAATTCGAGTGCAAAACTGAGATTCGAACCCGCAACCTCGCGGTGCAAAATCCTTCCCTCTATCGGCTGAGCTGGCGCACTGCTCGATAAAACGTGGAGAAACAAATAATTATATACCCGCGTGCGTATCAAAAAAATATCGTAGAGGGCGCTAAACAACGAGTGCCGTAACGATAGCCACTTCGTAAAAACAATCGCTGTGATCAAAGTAGAGTCAGGATACTGCATTCTTACCATGGCCTGTCCTAAGCAAGAGACAAAAAGTTCAACCAAATCACCTGTCAGTCCACCCTTAATTACAACCAAAGACCACGCCCACCCAGTCACAACCAAAGCAACAATGTGCAATGCAAGAGTTAGGCACGCGCGCACGGCGCAGTTGGCCCCTTTAGCGCCCATTCTGAAGCTCACTAAACTGGAATTGATTTTTTTTAAGTTATGAATTACGGCTTAAGTTACCGACAAATATTACCAACCTGGTTACATGTCAATTCCCCCAATCAAGCAGATACGTCCTTGCAAAACATCTACCTTGCCTGAAAAGGAGGTTTCCCCACTCCCTCGTCTCGATAGCAGTTCGATCGTGTTTTTTCTTCAGCTGTCAGTGTCACCTTTTTTTTTTATTTTCAGCTTGCAGCGCAGCGCCGGCGTGAGCTAGCTGTATATCGCCCTCTTGTTGACGAACGCAAATAGTCTGGTTTTGGACTGTAATCCTCCCTTACATTTTGTATCGAGGGTCGGTCGCGTCGGAAGCCAGATTCTATAAAGTTGAGCGATTTCGAAGCGAGAAACGAAATTCCGTGGTTGAACTTTGGCATTTCAGCTAGCAACAAGAGGCTATTTCTGTCGTTGAGGGAATATTTTGTTGCCATAGCCAACACTAAGTAGGTATAATGGACTTTCTATTTGGGCACTGGTGATGAAGTGACAAATGTAGCATGAGAATTTTAGATTTTTCGTAAGGAGGATCGGAGGGGCCGGGGGAATGGGGGGGGGGGGCGGAGGGGGGCGGGGGCTGCTAGTTAGTTGTGGTGAATGTACTCGATCAAGTTGATGGCAGGGGCAGGGGAAATACAGTGATGCAGTGTGAACATTATTTAGTCTAGGAATATCCCCTTGCGCAAAACAGGACTGCGTCTAGCTCTACTGAGTGGAGCATTGAATTACGGGTACCCCTCCATACAAACGGAGGGGTACCCGTAATTCAACGCTCCACTCAGTAGAGCTAGACTGCGTCTTGATCTCCGGATTCTGACCATTCAGCGGACGGCCATTCTATATCTGGTCTTTCGAATTTCGTGAGGCCAAAGGCATTTTAAATAAATTTTTCGGTTTTCATCACCGCCCGCCCAGATTTTCACGCCCGCCCAGATTTTGTTTAGATTTGACTTTTTTTTTTACAGTGTGTAGGCCTACATGTAGGCCTATTTTCTCAAATAAAGTGTATTTTTTCAGACAATTTATCACAAATCCTTGGGCGACTCCGTAGTTTCCAACATCATGAACATGCAGGTATTGCGCATGAGACTGGATTTGGATGTAAAGTGTTAATTTACTGGCACTATGCCTGGAACTAGTCCGAAAATTTGGGACTCTCAATACTGGTACTAGCTTGTAAAAAAAAAAATGACCTTTTCAATTTGGACAAATAATTGCTAACTGGTTTTTTTTCTTACAAGTCGGTTTCTTCTGACCAATTAAGACAGGTCGGATGGAGGAGGACGACGAATTTGATGCCATCTTCCAAGACGGAGATGTGGAAGCAAGCGATGGAAACGTCAAGGCTGAAGCAGTCAATTACAAAGTGTCTATGGAAAAATACCAAAAGGTAAACAAAACAAAAAAAATACCCGAAAAGAACTAAGTACAGAAAATGTGGTTAACTTCACAGTGTTGGATATTTACATATTCCAATTCCTTCCTAGTCCGAAAATTTGAGACTCTCAATACTGTTGTTGTTGTTGTTTTTTTCAGAAATCTTAAACATTTCTGAAAATCGTGTTGTAACCTTGATTTTGGTTTCAAAAAAATAGAAAAAAATGTATTTCCATGCTGTGTTTCAGGTGGACATTTTCCAAACTTCAAAGGACTCGGTAACGCCCTCAGACAACCTAGAAACCCAGAGCAGAGCAAGCAAGTATCGAGTCATTTCATCAGAAACGAACAGTCAACAGCAGGCAAGTTCAATTTACCAACATTTTTAACAAAAGAACATAAGCATTATCTAGGGAGGAGCAGTGCTGGATTAAGTGTTCCGTAGGCCCTTCCGTAGACCCTACTGTGCAACTAGGCACCAACACCAATTTCATGTTGATGCTAAGCTGTACTAAGCAAGCCAGGCAACGCTGTGATACTTTGGAAGGCCTCAATTTTTTTTGTTTTGACACAGTGCTTACTGTGCCCTGGTGAGAAGGATATTTAAATATTGGGTCTTGTCCTTTAGAAATTTTGTCGTTGAAAGGCAAAACCCAAACACTAAAGACCCATATTTGAATAAAGAAAACAAACCCCTTTTCTTATGGGTAGTGCCATGGTCCAGTGGTAACTGTGTCTGAATCATGTGGGACGATGGTGGTTTGAAGCCCAACAAGGATCATGGCGTTTGTGTTCTTGGGCAAGACACTTTACTGCAATTGTCTCTCCACCCTGTTCTTTACCTATGAGGGTTATGAACAGATTGCACTGATCGTACACTGCTGTCAAAAACGAATTTTATGTCCCAATGAACAATGGTAAACCCAACATTATTATTTTCTAAAAAATATCTGGAAAATCTGATTCAGGTTCACCATGGAAGTTCAGAGGGTTTTAATAGTGACAACCATGACGCTGCATGTACGCATCAGGACGACACAAACGAGAGAATTAACGGTCCGTCGGTCGAGAAGGACCCAAACGCGTCATCCCGGACTACAGAGAACGGTACAGTGGGAGACCAGCGGCAGGCAAGGTACCAGTTACATTCCACCCCACCGAAGGGCGGAGAAGAGAAAAGGGAGGGTGGCGAAGAGGAGGAGGACCCAAGCGGTGTGTTGAGGACGGAGTTGCCCAGGGACAGGGCTGGGACGGGCGGGGACCCAACAGAGCAGCTGGTCCGGGCCAAGGCGGAGTGGGAGGCCGTGGGGACCATCCACCCAGGTAATGCAAAATAGCCAGAAAATACCTGACTATTTGTTCAAATAAACCATAACACTCCTCAATCCTCCAAAATGAACCAGGCAGTTTTGGAAGATTTTGGAGGATTGAGGCTGAAAGGCAACGAAGTCTGTCATTTGATTTTGGAGGATGCAGTGTGCCCAGGTCGTAGGCTGTACCCAGCATTGTTTATGTTCAGCCATGCGCAATTGAAGCCCAGATTGTACTGGATCACCCACACTGCTTCTGAATATCATTTGCACTACCTCAATTTAGAAACAGTGATTGTTGGAGGATTTTGAAAGATTGAGGCAGTTGTCACCCCTTCCACTGTACAAATCCAGGATGATTTTTGAGGATTGAGGCTGAATCCAGTTCTTACATGGAAGCAGTTGGCGGATTTTGCTGGATTGAGGATGATTGCTAGCCAAAAGGGTCTGGGCGGGTAGGATTGATGATGTATTAGAGGGTAGAAACAAAAACAAATATCGATTTATGGAATTTTTTTAGTGATGGAAATTTGCAACATGGGGAGATGGAATTTTTTTTTAAAAATATGTATTGATCTTCACCAACATAAGTACTGTAAACTCAGTCCTGTCTGGGAGCTCGCGAAAAGAAAAAGAACTACAAGCTTGCTCGGATGGGACTCGAACCAACAACCTCCTGCTTACCAGTGCAGACGTCTTATCAACTGGAGGGGCGTTAGTATAATTAGCAGAAAGATGTTTCTCCTATTCCATTAGACTATCATCTCAACCTACTTTCCTGAATATCCACAAAACTGTAGCCCTTTTTAAAAATGAAATTGGCACAATACGTCCCAGGTGAACTTAAAATGGGTTGGCAATTGGAAGTCTGATTGGATTTGCTTTGAGTGGATATAATATACTTAGTCAGCAGCATGTACCTTGAGTTTGTGATTATTTTTTTGTGTTTTTTTGCTCACCAAAAGGAGACGAGTCCAGTGACGAAGGTAATTGAGTCAAGTCATAACTTGTGGTGGTTGCGTTGGTTGTCAAAATCCATTCAACAGGGGGAGATTGGTGGGAGTCAAATGTGGCTCACTCTATTAACATCAACCCAGTAACTCCACCTACCTCCTCCAAAGTTGGATGGGTTTTAGGTTTTTTTTAACATCCCACTCATCCACAGGTCTAAATTTTGGACCACATTTTCTTCCTTCCAGGATTTAGAATTTTACTTGCTCGTCGTTCAGTTGATTTTGTTTTGTTTTGTCTTACCAAGTATTAAAATCATGTTGAAGACTATAAATTGGTTGTGGAGGTTTGTGTCATTAAATTTTCAGTAACATTTATGGGTGAAGTAATTGTGAGATTCATTACTTAACTATTAAAATCATAACACACAGCTACCAGTATTCACAGCTATTTCGTTTTCATCTCACACACTTACATTACATATTTTGTTAATGTCTTTATTTTAATTTTTTAATCTGATTTGATTGCTGTGATTTGTTACTTTTGGACCCCGGGGAACAGAGTTGTAGTCAAGTCCATCAGAAGTCTATCACAAGTCAAATCATGCTTCAAATCACAAGTAAACGTGACAAAGGATGCCTTCGTCGCATTTCATACAGGAAGCTTGTGACTTTGCTTGAGAACGGATGACTTGAGATTTGACTTGCGATTTTGACATGATTTGACATATGATTTGAAATGTGTCTTGACTTGTGATGTGACTTGTGATTTGACATGTGATTTGACATGATTTGACTTGTGATTTGACATGTGACTTGACTTGTGATTTGACTTGTGATTTGACTTGTGGTTTGACATGTGATTTGACTTGTGATTTGACATGTGGTTTGACTTGTGAATTGACATGTGATTTGACTTGTGATTTGACATGTGATTTGACTTGTGATTTGATATGTTATTTGACATGTGATTTGACTTGTGATTTGACATGTGTTTTGACATGTGATTTGACACGTGATTTAACATGTGATGTAACATGTTATTTGACGTGATATTGACATGCGATTTGAAATGTGATTTGATATGCGATTTGAAATGCGATTTGACTTGTCATTTGACTTGTCATTGATTTCTGAGGACATGCCTTCAACTCTGCCATGGAAACAACTTGTTTATCATCTTAACATCGTGTGCAACCCCAAAAAACATTGAATTAGCATTTTGACCAGTTTTTCCTTTTCAATTTTGAAATAAATTGCCAAAGCCATTTCAAATGGCCACAATTTTTTGGCATAAGTACATTGTACATGTATGCATTCCATTCAATTTGAGCAATAATAAGGCAACTGAGATGATAAATAGATACATTTTCTGATGGTGTCCCCAGTGGTTTTTTTTGTTTTGACTTTGTCACTTTTCACGATAGCTAGAACTACATGTAGTAGAACTAGTAGTGAGTAGTTTCTTGCCTTTTTATAAATCCATGCTGTATTTGATTGCACAATTCTTGTTATTGGATTCAATTTTTTATGTTATACAGTATGTTGATCAAAAGTGCTACACCAGACTCTGTATTGCACAGCCAAATAACAGTCTCTTCTAAGAAAAAAGTTTCAGTTGATCCAAAATGAATTGAAAGTTGAACAAAGAATTTGACTGAAGCGGGGTATGAACCTGCAACCTGTGGAATACTAAACTGATGCTCGACCAACTGAGCTTTGCAGTCGGGGAACCACCAACATAGGGCTGGAAAGCTCAGTTGGTAGAGCATCAGTACGATATTCCGGAGATAGCAGGTTCAAAACCTGTTCCAGTCAATGTCTTTGTTCAACTTTTGAAATATTATCTAATGCACCTATTCAGTTTCCCAATTTGAAAAATTGATCCAAAGTTGTTAGAGATCCATTGTGATCCTGCATTTTTCTTTTTTGGGGGCTTTGGGTTTGTTTTTATTTTTTTTTTCTTGGGGGGGGGGGGTTCTGCTGTTAATTACCTCACCTATCTATACACAAGTGCGACATCAAAGATAATCACGTTTCTTTCTCAAGAATTCCAAGCAACTTGAATTCTATTTTGCTGAAGTTTTTAAAAAATGTTTAAACCCAACTTTCTTGCTCGCTTGACTTTCTCAGGAAACGAAAGCACTATCAATGTGACTCCACTGATCTCCTTCAATGAGACGCTCGCGTTCTTTCAGAGAATCAACATGCAGCCCTATCTGGTGAGAACATAAGAAAAATAGAAGACTTTAATAAAGGGTTCATGACATGAATTTTACAGTTGAGCACATTTTGCGCAGATATCTATTCCTGTGAAATGTAATCTCACTTCGGAACTGTGTTTTCTTTCCGAGTCTAGTTACTAGGACTGGAAGGACAAGTGTAGTCACAAACTCAGAGGATGAAATTACAGTCACAAATCGGACATCTTTAGATCATCCAGCAGATCCGTCAAAGCAAAAAAGGATCTGCTCAATCAAAGTTTTACTGAAAGTGCGTTCCGAGATATGGAAGGAATTTGACACTCTGCCTGGACAGCTCAAAATTGATCATGCAAGTTCCTTTTGTCCAAACAGTCTTATTTCAGCCTCTGCAAAATGTAATCTGAAAGCCGTTTTCAGTAATAACTTGTATTCAAGCCATTTTTCACTTTCTTTTCCTTTTTTTATCTGGATGTAGGGTAAGATCAAACCCACCGTTCACAGAACAGGCCTTGCTGCAGTTCGTCACTTCATCCTGGGGCCTCCGAATGTCAAAGCCTCCCTTCATGATGAGAGAAACCTGGTCTTTGCCATTGCACAGTGTAAGTTTTTTAGGGGGATGTTTACATTTAGCCTTTTTATATGTTTTGCTGGGAAGCTTCCAGCATTCCCGACAGGTTACAAGAAAATAAAAAGACCAAAAGACAGACGAACACAAAGTATTGCCTTCAAAAAACAAAGCGAAATGATCACTACCCAAATCAGTGTTATCCACAAATGGTTTAGAACGGCAGGCTGTGTTGCTGATTTATCTAGCTTGTCACTATTTTGACAAGGCCCAATTCAAGTTACAAATAAAAATTACAACATGTCATTTCATGGATTCCCACTTGCCAAAAATGTGTAAAAACGTTAAGATTTAAGCACCGTAGTGTACTGGTTACTTTTGTCAGTGCCACAGTTTTCAAGATAATTCGCTGATGATACTTGGTAAGAAGGTGTAAACACAACAGGGATATCTCATTAACCCTAACCTTACAGAATTTAACTATTTGACATACCTGCTGGGTCCTGTTGGATTGAGCAGTAAACCCCATGTATCTATTCCAGTTGAAATTTGTTGGATTCAGCAGGCAACTGAAAACATAAGGCACAATTGGATTCTGTTGGATGGAGCATGCCAGCCATTTTATACTTTCAGATAACCAACAACTTGGCAAGTTGGGTTGTGTGGGACTGTGTTGGATTGAGCAAGAAACTCATATGAGTAACTGCTGGGCTCTGTTGGATTTAGCAGGGTAGTCCTGGGGAACTACTAGGGGGTTGGGGTTAAGTCATCAATAGAGTGCTTTTGGGACACCCACCTCTTTTCCAGCTTTTGCCCACTACGCTGTCTTACAAATTTTATTAATCCTTGCAGAGCACTGCCGGATTCACAAAAGTTTGGTGCTAATTGATAGAAGGCCTACAGAAAAAAAGAGTTCCACTGTTTAATGTTTCAGGTGGAAGTCTTGACTTGGCATGAATAAGTACTACCACAAAATAAACCCAAATTGAACATTGTCTGGGGGGGGATGTTCCCACTAATATGTGACCAAGAGTAGTTGGGCTGGATGGACAAAGATTGAAAAGCATTTATTCTAAATTTTGGGTAGTGAAGATTTTATATTTTGTCGTCATTTGTAGGTCCGTTTGAGGATAAAGAAGAAGTCCACAAGCGCGTCTTGCAGACAATCTACAAGCAGCTGACAGGCAGTACGCTGGACTGCCCCCGGTATGGCGGGCACTGGGAGCAGATCGGTTTCCAAGGTAACGGATGAAAATCAACCCAATAATACCCTGATCACCCCATCTCCATTCTATGATGGCAGAGCCCTGAGGCCTGCAGAAATCCATGAGCAAGGAGACTTTACATTCACGTCATAGGCTATTGTAATAGATCTCCCTCCCAACGTGAAGTAGCTATGGAGTCCATGCACAAATACGCCCGAAACGGTTACAAAGGGAGAGTTTTGGTTTTGGAGACCACATGAATGAATTGCTTACGGCACCTACAGCCAATGTCACGAAACAGTGCGTAACTTACGCCATGCGTATTACTAACGCAACAAATGTATTGCACAGCTGGGCAATATACTTTTTTCATTTATTCATTCATTTATTTCGGTTCATTTGTTAAAAAAATGGTGACCAAAGAAAAAGTCCAAGGACCAAAAATATTTGGTTTACAGTAAAAGTTAATATTTACAATGATTGCTCAGCATTTTATACATGTAAACAGTCAAGCTTGAACAAACAAAAACAATAACAGTGACTAACATTACAGATAAAGATTGAGTAATTAAAATAAAATAAAATGAAATAAAGTAGGAGAAACAATTATATGAACACCTTAAAAACCACAACTTCTGAGAATTATTTAATATAATCATAGATGGGACAGGAGATTGTTTATATCTCCGAATATTAAACTTACGATCGATTTCATGAAACTTGGCGTAGCTGCGCAACATTCTAAGTAATCTAATCATCTTGGACGAGGATGATATCAACATTTACGACACCTGTTTGTGTATGATCTTGTTCGTTTCATGAAAAATGTATTGAATTACCTCCGCCCGCCATTTCAAAAATATATTTGTCCAACTTTCTTTGGAATTATGGGGCAACTCTGAAAACTTGAGTAAAATGCAGTTTTTTTTACTTCAAACACAAAGCTGCGAGTGTCTTGTATCATCCTTGATAAGTTGTGTATGCTTGTTTGTACCCACAGGAGCCGATCCAGCCACCGATCTCAGGGCTTGCGGATTCCTCGGCCTGATGACACTCCTGCATTTTGTCATGGATCCCGTCAGGCAGCAGCTTGCCAAAGACATCTACAGACTGTCTCTGCATGAAACACAGGTATACGATGTAGCTAAAAAAAAATTCAGTGACAAATTCAATTCGAAATTTCGGGTGCTTTCGCAGCCAGCCTAGTGTCGTCTGACTGACTGACTCCCCGACTGACTGACTGACTCCCCCCCCCCCCCCCCCCCCCCCCCCGTCTGTCACTTGTGACTTAGCCTGGTTGTTGGCTGGTGAGGAGAGCCGGGCAGTGCTATTGTATAGGATTGGCCCGTAATGGGCTAATCCGGCCCATAGTGCACACCAGATGCATGCAAAGACTTTCAGTGAATAACCATTCTGAATCGATTGAATTGCATTTTGTGCACTCTGGGACCAGCTCTACTTGGCTTGCCTTGTCTTTCTTTTATGAGATGAAATTTGCGTCAGGAAGATGTACATTTTATATTGTGGGGGGGGGGGGGGAGGAGATTTGGAGAGTGTTTTTTGTTTTTGCCCTTTTTTGTCCTGTTTCAACAGAATTTGATTTCAAAGATTTCACCAGAATTTGAATGAGAATCCGTAGTTGTAATTTCCCAGGCGGATGGTAATTGTGGGATTTTGTCTTCTCTCATGTTATTTTCTTCTTCAGAATTTCCCATTCTCAGTGATGTCCATCAACATGACCAGAATAGCCTTACAATCTCTCAGGGAGGGTACATTATCAAGGTAAGGTTCATTATCATAGAGTAATGGTTTGGTCAATTCATCGAGGCCAATGTGAGCATTTCACAATATTGGACTCCATGCACAAGTGCCCACTCGACGATTACAAATTGAATGTTTGGGGAGACCACTAGGAGGAACTCTTGAAACGTATTGCTGATGGCACCTGCGATGACACCTGCCACTCGCATGTAGATGCTAGGAATCAAATGTCGCGTGTATTTTGCACTATACTCGTACGTGTGAAGAAACATTATGCTCATTGTGTCCCTCCCACTTGGCCATCAGAAGTGGTCACATAGCGCAATTTACTTTTCATGCGCGAAGTCTATGGTGTGCCACAAAGAATTTGCAACAGAGAGGCCTTCTTCCCTATATCATGGTATAAAAAGTCTACACTTGTGTGCAAAACAGTATATCTTTTTGCAAAGAATCAGAGGTTTTTTCCGTTTTTGTGACGGGCCATTTTATGAAGTTGAAGGTACATTTTGCTGTTTCATATTTTAAATTGCCCCCTTTTGTGTTTAATCCATAAATCGGCACTAATGACTTTTTCTAACCCTTCATCTGCTGTTTGAACAGCCACAAGCAGTCGAAAAAAATGCACTAAGTACTTTTTCTAACCCTTCTGCTGTTTGAACAGCCACAGACAGTCAAAAAAAAAATCGATCCTCTTCCCCTGCCATGCCTTTTACTTAGGCTAGTCACTAACAGTTAGATCATATTTCAAGCAAGCACTGTGACTAGTCAAATTCAGTCAACAGACAAAAGCGGGCAAGAAGTAGGCACAGCTGGCTTATCAATCACCTACAGTCAAAGCATAGCTGTATCAAGTTACAAAAACAGTCACTTGATTGATTTTGACTGAAAGGATAACTTTGCCCAGAGTGTATGTTGGCATAGTGTTAATCCGCCCTGAACAAAAATGATGAAGATGAAATAATTTGTTTTTCCATCCTTTATTCGGAATGCTTAAATTCCCTCGCAGATTTTCCTAAATCTTTTTGAAATTTCTGGTGGTTGTTTACAGGGAGTGTAATCGACGCAAGCAAGTCTTTGGCGTTTTCAATGATTTCTACGCCGGTATCTTTCTGCAGCTGTACCAGATATGGAAACACCAACAGAAGACTATCAAAGACTCTGGATTTGTTATCAAAGGTAATAATTTATCAAAAATGTCCCTTCTTTTCAAGATCGCCCAAGCTCCTTCAATCCTTAGTTTTGAAAGTTCCTACAAAATCTATTGATATTTGTGTTTTAAAATTTGTTAAGACTCTCCATTAATTTCATTGATTTTAATCAATATATCTTTCCAGATGTAGAACAGGAAGCCAGAAAGAACCCCAGGGGTGTCATCAAAACCCTGGAGACCTACCTTCACGAAAGGGGTGGCAAACAGGGTGGGAATGCCAAGTCGGGGGCAGCCGGCGACGGTCCCTTAGAGTTTGCCGGCGTGCATGAACTTAATATAGAAGATGACTGATGAAGATGGGGTACTAGATTTCACAAAGCCTTAAACCTAATGGATCATTCCCAGACTAGACCTTGGAGTGTAGAAAAACACGCACAACAAATTCAGGTCAACTTTACTCACTCTTTAGCTGACGAAATTCTCCAAAATTTTCAAGAGGCAAAGACAAGGTGCTTAGTACTTCACCAGCCAAGTTTGAGGTGTCAAATAAATTGTAAAGGACATTTTTTTTCTCAATATTTTGCGCCCGAGAGTGGAGCCAGGTGATTTTAATTTGAGGCGTTAAAAGACATGTCCAACCACAGTCCAACTGTTTGAATAGACAGACCTCTTCATTAGTCTGGTGGCTGACTATGGAGTAATGCGTAGTTAATAGAGACTAGTTCCCGGTTCATGCCTGATGTTTCTTTTGGCACAGTTGATTGATGCAGTACTGAAGGGTTGTTGGACTGGTTGTTTCAGGTGCCAGTCTATTTCCTTGTGTTGCGTGTTTTCACTTCTGTAAGTTTTGGGACTCTCATACACAGTATTGAGAGTCCCAAATTTTCAGACTGGATCATTCCATATTTTGCCATAAGACCAGCACCCGATTTCACGAAGCGCTGCGACGCGTCGCAACTTGAGTTACGACGTGTAACACGTCGCAACTCGCGGCGCGTCGTATCATACATTTCACGAAAGTTGCGATGTGTTGAACGCGTCGTAAGTTCCTTGACAACGGCTTAAAACACGTCGCAAGTTACGATGTGTCTAGTGGTCATCGCAAATAAGAAGAGTCATTTTCTATAAAGCCAGTTTTATGCAATAAACATTTTATAAACGAGATTATAATACCGAGGCAATGTGTGTAAAGTTGTAAATGGAAAATTCATTGAATAATTATGAATTAGACCGGAATATTAGAGCTGTAATTTCAAAGTAGCTATACAGTCTAATGAGAACTTGTTTTCCTTTCAAATTGCATCGCACGGCCGCCATTTTGTCCTACGTTTTAACAAATTTCGAGTGGAGATCCGACGACTCTTTGTTGAATATCAGACGACTATTTACTGTACGCTGACTTAATACATAAAACAGTCACCGAGTTGTGCTATAAATACACATACGACGCGTCGCACGTACGACGTGTTTTGTGAAATGGATCGCAGGACGCGTCGCAGCTGCGACGCATCGTAGAGATACGACGCGTCACAGCGCTGCGATGCATCGTAAGTTACGATGAGTTTCATGAAATCGGGTGCAGCCCAGCTTTGCTTTGTGCACATTTCTCACCATGCTTTGACCAAACTGCCACAGTCAAATTATTAAAAGTCACTAGCTTTTGGTGAGTGTGCTAATTTTGAACAGTTGACAGGTCTTTACTGTGAAAACTTTGTCAAGAAAGTCTACGTAAATCTTTGCTGTAAAGCAAAGTATTTAACTTCCTGGAATTTCTGGGTACCATGCTTAGATGTATATATATTATAGTATTCGTGTGTGCCGTACAAATCTGAAATATAACTGCCTAATTTTAGACATGATAACCATGTGGTTTGTAAATTTTCGGTTTAGAAACTCTCTTGTGGCTTAGTTGTAGAATAAGGACTACAGCGTAAGACCGCTTTTGGTTTTAAGATTCTTTAGGGAAGAAACCCTTCATAATTTTTGTACATTACTTGTTTATGATTTTTTCTGTTTTACATATATGTGTGCATGTTACTGCCAAAAAGGGATGTTTATGTTGCGGTTTAAGCTTTTAGCCGGTCATCTTTAAAAATCCGTCCCGATACCATTGGACTATTTCTTCTAACTTAGGAAATCCCATGACACAACTACGGAATCGTTAAGATGTGAACAGAACTTCTTGTTTGAATGAAACACACGGGTATATGACAAAACGCAGGTTGAAGGAGTGTCTGCATTTTTATTCAATTTACTTGTGATCCTTCTAAAAACTTCAGAGAAAGCCCCGATTATCTTCTTTTTTTTAAATCAGTGTGTGTTTTTGTGTTCTTGGACAATGGAATTCCACCGTTGTAAAAATTAAGTTAAAGCACCTTGAGAATATTAACAATAACATTCAGCACACGTACATGTACGTTTGTTGGCCCAATTCTGTGCCTATTACAGTCCCTTAGTCTGGGGGGGGGGGACATCACATATCCCAAATTAGACATGGTCAATTTTTAGTTGTCCATTTTTAATCTTGGTACGTAACTGTCAAAAATAGAATTCTTTCATGCCTCAATTTTGTGCGTTTTCGAATAGAGCTTAAAACTCAAGTTAGGATGTGTCGCTTGACAATTCAAATTTCCAGACTTTCAGAATATGTAAGCACGTTCAAAAATCCAGCACAAAGGTCCCTTTGTATGTAATTATGTCCCCCCCCCCCCACACCAGGATGATTCTATTAGCTTAATTTTTTCTTGCTTAAAAAGTGCAATGTTAAATGCATTCTGTATTTATCCCACCTTAAAAAGCTTCTCAAATTGCGAACCTACAATTTGTGAATTTGCAAAGAAGGGTGATCAGTACTTGAAAGGAAAAACCAACTTAGTATTCAATCTTGTCTTTTGGTCATATTCGTGATAGATTAATAGCTACTTAAAAATAAATTCTCATGTTCAGGTGATTTGTTTAAATATTTTGTATATACTTGCATTTTGAAATTCTTTCTTAATTTATGAATAAAAGTAAACTTATAAATCATGTGAAAACTGACAAATAAATAAAATATTTCAATCTGATCAGTGATTTCTCCCGAGTTACTGCTCTCAAGAAAAAGAGTTTCTGACAAACCAGTTTTATGAGGTAGAGAAATATGAATGTTGGGAGATTTTTGGAACTTCACAGGAACCTAACATAATAAGTGAGACCCAGTGCGTGTGACGTATTTAAAGAGGAACAGACAAAAAAGCATTTGACACCCAATATTTTGTGACAAAAATAGTAGTGATTGATTTTATTCATATACAATCATTCACTTGAAATTTGTTTTCAAAAATGAAATTGTGAAAGACAAATCAATGCGTTAACGTATTTCAATAAATGGGGGAGGGGGGATTTAATACTGATTTGTGTGAAATCTTTCAACTAAGATCAAAGTTATTAACTAAGATCAAAGCGTTTTACATTATTATTATCCCTGATCATTGGGCCAATTAATCATTCCAAATACCATCTCAGCTCCCTGGGGAGTAAACAGCTTGATGCTGCCATTTCGGGCGCAAGGAAGCTAAATTAAAAATCAATCACAATAAGCATCTCTACCCTCACAGGTACCCATTTATTCCTGGGTGGGGAGAAAAAATGAGTGACAAAGTGCCTTGCCCAAGGGCACATGCACCATAACCCCAGGCTGGACTCGAACCCACAACCTGCAGAATTACCCGCAGTAATTTTAAAGGCAGAAAGTGTTCTTCCAACTTATAAATATTTAAAGATTAAACAAAATATATCTCTTTGAAAGACGGCTATATTTTTTTTTTAATCCCTGTTTTTACAGTCTTGAAGTTGCATTTTTGTCAATGATCATCAATGACAACAGAATGGAATACTTCTAGGTACGCCTCAAGTATTCTGCCTGCGGTGGGTCTCAACGTGGGATCCAACTCCTTGCACTGCTGATGGATTTTGAATAAATGAAACCTGACGATGTTGGCATGGGCAACATTTCCAAGCAGGGCATCGGTAACATCCGGGACTTTCCAAATGTCTGTCTTCTCGTCATAGGACGCCATTTCCTCATCTTGAAATTCGCGTTCAGGAAACGGCCAAAGTTGCTCTGGCGCCACAAACTCCCCCCACAGTTGTCTGTGGCCGCATTTGGCAAGCTTTCCCGCGGCGCGGTCCACCAGAGGCAAGGCGTCCAAATCGTTTACAACAAGCGTGAGATCATTAGTAATTAAAAATTGCGACAGCGTTTTATCCACGTCATTACTGTCGCACATGATGCGCATGCCGGCCGGCCCGGAGTGTAAATACAGAAGAATTCGGATGTAATCCAAACACAGCTGGAATCGTGTTTTAATTGTGTTGTTATCACGGAAGCTTTCTTGGGAGAGGATATCCTCGACTCTGTCAGCAGATCCGAGTTGATGATACTCAGTGACGATGACGGGCTTGTCAGCACGGAGACAAAGACCAATGAGTCCAACCACTAACTCGTGGGGCTGCAGTGCTTGCAGCATCTTAGCACCATGGAGAAAATCTTCAAGATGCTGTGATTGGATCAGAGAGGAGTAGGCAACTTTCATCCCTTGCCATTCTCCAAGATAAACCTGTATTAAAATCAAAATGAATTCCAATGTCTAAGGTTTTTCAAACACTCAAATATTTTAAAAACACTGGAAATTAAAATCCATTTCAGGAAAGGACAAGCGCCCTTTCTGTTTGTCTCATTTAATTCTAATATCTGTGCTTTTATTCTCTTTGCTAATTATTGAAAGGAGTTCCACATTTTTTGAACAACCGTTCTGATATACTTGAACAAACATTCAAAGAGTGTACTCTGCATAATGTAATAGGTTGTTTCAGGCATGCAACTTTTCCTTGGATCCGCTGATTTCCTTGTTTTTTTACTGCTCATGAATGCCATTACAAATTGAAAACACTGTACAAAGTCTTGTGTGGTTTGGAGTTTCCTCGTTTTTTCCCTAAATTCCCAGTTGCATGCCTGGTTGTTTGAATCTCACAAGTCAATCACAAACAAATAGTGAATAAATGCAAAAGTACGCCTGTCACTCTTCATTCTAATAGGTGAGCGTGGACATCGGTGGATTTTTTTACAATGGGTTATCTAGCTCCCAGACCTATGTTCTTGAAACTCAATGCTTCTTGAGTCTGGAGTGCTGAATGGTTTCACATAACAAGAAATGAAAACCAACTGGTGTGCAATTGAATAGATGTTTTCATCGGATGACGTACATTGTAATCCCGCCCGCACCTGCATGTATAGGTTGTCGCTTAGCTTGAGACTTGTGACTGAATTGAAATGACTTCTGAAGACTTGACCAAAAGTCTGACGGAAGGTTCAGAACAGGTGCAGCTGACCCTTACAGAAAGTAAACTCCTTTCCCGACCAAAGTTTTATTCAAATAAATTAAGTAAATTTTTATAATTCAATTTGAAGGAGAGGTGAATTTAACAGTACCTCTTTGACAGCCCCCTGCCCAATCTTCTTCTCCAATCTGATCTCCTCCATTTCCTGACAGCCAAGATAGGGACTTGAATTCTCCTCATCCCGGTCGCCATGGCAACTCCTCGCACGCATCAAAGAATCAACACCTCCGTCGATGCACGGTTCCTCTTGCTCGCGTTGCTGACACTGCGTATCTGACAAAGACAGCTTTGAGGGGTTGATTTCCTCAGGAAAGCTGGCAAACTTTCCACACCAGATGTAAGCGACGGTCAGTCCAGTGGTGAGCAGAACACAGCTGATGCCATATCGCCATGGTAATTTCATACTCTGTCTACATACAAAAAGGTACAATGACCAAATGCCTAAAGTCAGGCCAAGCCCAAAATATATTTTACCAGATCTGCCAGAATACTTTACAAAATACATGTACACCCCAACCCTAATTTTCTTTAGGCAGTGTATATTTTGCCGGAGACGGCAAACCTTTAGTATTCGTTAGTTTGCCGGATATGCACTGAACATGCGCAGTTACTGTTTTTTTGTACTTAAACATTTTCCCGTGACAAGTTTTAGTCTGGCTCCATGCCAAAATTATCGTTGTTACCTCGTATTCACAAGATGGGATTCAGACCATTTTATAATTTCGGACTTTATTTCCCTTTTAAAAAAAATCCTCCAGAGCCACAAATCTGAAAAAGAAAATGTAATACTCTGCAAAAACTGTTTGAGACATGTTAAAATAATAAAAGAAGAATATTCTTATTTATTTGGGGATGAGAAAAAAAAACTTAAAAATTGTGGTGCTGTCGGATTCGAACGCGAGTCATCCCGCTTACTAGAGCCTTTGCTTAACCATTACACCAAACGTGCTACACAACTTTTCATGGGAATTTAATACATCTTATAATTCAGCCCTATTTTAAAGAGTACAGCGCCCTCTGTTGACATGGATTGCCGCCGGCAAACCTTTAGTAATCGTTAGTTTGCCGTCATTACCTCCGGCAAAATATCCACTACCTTTTCTTTAACATTCATACTTAAGTAATTTCATACTCCATTTACACACAAAAACGTACCAGCTGAGAAATATCTTACCACTGCACAAGAATACTTTAATACGTAATACTCCCCTTCCCACCCCCCCCCCCCCCCCGCATGCCCTGTAAAAAGAACTCCAACATGATCAACTTCAACATGTTCAAGCACTGCACACTGTCACTGATTTAATCCCAACTTAAGTTTCAACCAAGTTATTCATCTTACACGTCTTATCACTACTTTGGTAGCAATTGCCAGCAGCACAATAAATAGAAACAAGAATGAACTCTAGTCGCGTAAAACTCATTAGTTTACTTTTACCTTCAAAACTGCGGCAGTATCTCGACTTTGCGGCTGTTTGTTATGATCAGGGCGCCCTCAAGGGGCAGAATTCCTGGCAATCCGATCCTGTACCGTGCGCGCTTCCAAGTAGTTTTTATAGCTCCATGGTTTTACTCATTTAGTAATTTTCGGTTGAGTTTTCTCGTTTTATACCAATGCTGTCCTTGACATCAGTTGTCCTTGCAAGTGCAGCGCATTGGCGACTTGGCAGTGCAGCTCTTTCGGCGGTGAAAATGGCTCAACAAATGCACACGACGGGTGCGAATGGAAGTAAAGTTGCTGTTGTGAGTATATCGCAAGGGCGCCCTCTTGCCAAAGAAGAAATTCCAAGTCTTCCCCCGAATTAATTTTTGTCTTTTCCTTATAACTTTGACCACCAACAACATATTCGTAATAGTAATACTAATAGGTTGTGATAATTTATAAGTTATGTGAGAGTTTCATCTGTTTATTAATTTGTCGGCCTCTGGTGACTAATGACATGACAGGGTTTGTTTCTTTTTTTGGTAGGGGCATGGATGGTAGGGGTGAGATCTTAAATGTTGATGGAAAGGGGGCGGGGACACGAGGGGGGGATAATAAACTTTAAATATCTCACTTCATATATATTTTACAATCTGGATGCAGGTATTGTCAGGCTGTGGTGTTTATGATGGCAGTGAGATTCATGAAGCATCGGCGTAAGTTTGCCATCATTTTTTTGTTTTGCCTCTACTCGACAAAGACAGTTACTTTACTGTGTGTTGCTTTTTGAACTTGCAGAAATGCAGGAAAATTGGGAAGATGATTTTTTTTCTGCTGCCATACTTGTAATTGAAACAACGTACAGCTGATATTGTAAATATGAGATGGTAAAGGATTTTTTAGGGCATTTTTTTTCTACTGGGGTTCCGCGTTTAAAACATGTGGCCTGATCAGTGTCCCAAGTTTGTGAAGCTTTTCAATTTGCTAAGTTCACAAAATGTTTTTCTTATCTCATAAACAGGTTACCAGCCACTGTATCATGCGATGATTTGTGCTTGTAACTGATTCCTGGCTGATTTTGCAGGAGCGAAATGTTGGCCAAGCAATGCTTTTTTAAAATTGGTCCAGTCACTTCAAAACTATATATCACTCGCTGGTTTAACTTTTACATTCTTACCTTAAAGTGATCTCTCAATATTCTGTGGGACAAGACATTAGAGTGTGCAGGGGGTGGGTCACCGAGCTGCTTGCTGGTTGCAACATGCAACCCAAATTAAAATATTTAATTGTCGTCTTTACTTTTCATATATAGCTTAATTTTAGAAATGAATACACCTGTAATTGATGAGATATTAATGTTGTCCTGGTTGTTAGTTGACTGATCTCTTTGGTTCTTATTTCATCTCCTTGTTTTTAGTATTCTTGTGCACCTGAGTCGGGGCCAGGCAGATGTGTCCATCTACGCTCCAGACATTGACCAAATGCACGTGATTGACCACAGCAAGGGACAACCTGCTGAAGGACAGACAAGGTCAGGGTTTCCTTATCAGAGCTCAGACATACTTGGAATAAATTTATTCGTACACATTGAACATTTTGTTAACAGTTAATGGACATATTTTGTATTTTTCACTTTGACAGGAATGTGTTGGTGGAGTCAGCTCGCATTGCACGTGGCAAGATCTCGCCCCTCAGTGACCTGGATGTTGCTTCCCATGATGCAGTTGTTTTCCCAGGAGGCTTTGGGGCTGCCAAGAACCTGTATGTCAGTTTGGCGTTTGTTTTTAGGAATGACCAAAATTGTGTACTTTCGTCAATCTGTATTTGTGTTTGTCTTTCTGTCAGCATTCATAATTAACTTTAAGTTAAAACGGTGACCGAGTTTTATGAAAGAGATCTTTGTAATTTGTTGTGTTTTTACACTGTTGGTCCTTAAGGATTTGTGATTTCAAAAAGAAACTTATGTAAATTAAATTGTAAACATGCAATCAATTTGACAACTTTCTTGACAACTTTTTCACTCCACTGCAATACTCAGTCCAAGAATAGGCCATTGAATTTAGGGGCCTCCCTCCCTGTGGGACATTGTGCTGCGGTTATCAAATGAGCCACTTTCCATGATTTAGTCTGTGTACAATATTAAACCATTTCTGTTTCCAACAGCTCTACCGTCGCCAACGATGGCCCTAACTGCACAGTGAACTCTGACGTAGAAAGGGTGTTGCGCGAGTTTCATCAGGCCAAGAAACCAATCGGGTAAGAAAGTGTGATACATGATACCTCAGAAGAGTGTTAGTTTCGTGTACAGCAAATCAAACTCATCCCTGAAACCCAGGAACTGCTTAGTCTTGTCTAGTTGACAGTATATCCTTTCTGTCTCACTAACAAACAAAGCATTAGAGTTGTAATCAAGTCAGTCACAAGTCATTACAAGTAATATCAAAAGTCATTACAAGTTCTCAGAAGTCATCACAAGTTATCAAAAGTCAGTCACAAGTCATCACAAGTTATCAAAGTCAGTCACAAATCATCACAAGTTATCAAGAGTCAGTCACAAGTCATTACAGGTTATCAAAAGTCAGTCACAAGTCATCACAAGTTATCAAAAGTCAGTCACAAGTTATCAAGAGTCAGTCACAAGTCATCACATGTCATCAAAAGTCAGTCACAAGTCATCACACGTTTTCAAGAGTCAGTCACAAGTCATCACATGTTATCAAAAGTCAGTCACAAGTCATCACAAGTTATCACAAGTCATCACAAGCTCTCAAATGTCATTACAAGTTATCAGAAGTCATCACAAGTCATCACATGTCATCACACTCTCGATTTCCAGGCTGTGTTGTATTGCCCCAACTCTTGCCGCCAAGGTCATTCCTGGCTGCGAGGTCACCGTGGGCCAAGACAAGGACGACGGAGGGAGGTGGCCATATGCTGGAACAGCCGGCGCCATTGAGCAGATGGGGAGTAAGCACATCAACAAGAACGTCGCAATATCCTTTTAATATTCCTTTGAAATCTTGTGGTTCAGGTTAAATTGAGGATTGTGCAACTCTCTGTTTGACTTAAAATAATCTCCACTTTACTTAAAATGGCATTTAAGTGCATCTTTCACATACCTGATTAATACTTATGTGACAATTGTGAGGACTAGCATGGTTTTCAATATGTATCGTAAATCTTGCCAATGTTCATGCAGTCAATACTTGTCCTTAATGAATTATTCAAGAGGTCCATGTGGATGCAGCCAATAAGATCGTTACGACGCCGGCCTTCATGTGCGAGACCAAACTTCACGAGATATTTGACGGGATCGGGGAGATGGTGAAGAAAGTACTCAGCCTTGCGAAGTAATTGAAATTATCGATACCCAAACGAAACTCAAGACACAATGTAGCCATTGTAACACTTTGGGAGCTATGGACTCTGTGCTGAAGAACCCCCTCATTGGTGAAAACGAGAGAGGTGCGAAGGACCACTCGGATGCCATCTTGCTCTCAATGTGTGAGCACGTTGGCTGATCATGATCTATCTGTATGTATGTTCACATGTACAGGCTCGACAGTTTACAGTTTTAAAGGCAGGACGTATTAAACGGGCCAGGTACCAGATCATCCCCCATCCCTGCTACATTCTACAACGACAAGAGTGCACGAATCAGTAAAGTGCATTATCATTGCTAGTTGAAACAGCGTCCTCTCTTGTTCACACATTACAGAGTCCATTATTTAATAAGGCTTGAATTTGAATAAAGCTTACCGTGTTTGAAAATAGGTATTACTCGGGATGATTTCTTGGAAACAAAAGTAGTTGTCATTCGATTTTCTCATATTCAAACTATAACAAATTTCGCATTGCCTTTTTTTTAAAATTCAGTTGTGTGATAAACTTATGTTATGTGATAAACTTACTTACATTGCTTGGGGTCAAGTCATTGAGAGTGTCAAATGTTAGATTGAGTAGGTTGCTAGGTAAGCAGGAAATTTCAACACCCCCCCCCCCCCCCCCCCCCGGCCACCACCACGGTCCACCCCCCACCCCACCACCATCCCCCTTTTGGGTATTATAGGGTGGTAAAGTGTACTTCTTGTACCTTTGTTATTTCTAGGTATTTGTCTGCATAGCGTTTTTCCTTTTTATTTTTTTGCTCCTTTTTCTGGGCTCAATTAATGCCGTATCATGAACTTTTACATCTAATTTTCTTCCATGAAAAGGCATTTTTTTTTACTTGAAAATATTTGGAGTTGATAAAAGCTGTCACTCTGAAACTGCATTGGATGTGGATCATGTTTACAGATATAAAGTATTAGATTTGAAAACAATAATAAATGCTGAATAGAATTCAGTGAATTTGTGAAACAGTTTTTGTTTTCAACCATGTGTCATATTGGCGTCATTCACAAGTATTCTCAGTTTTTCAAATCTCAAGTGCAATAAAATAATATACCCCATTAATTAATGATGCAAGAAACTATGTGAAATTAAGTGTCTTGTTTTAATATTTAATAGAAAGTTGGGATTGAACATTTAAAATTCCATTATGAAAAAGTGGTTTCCCCCTGAATTTTTAAGTAGCGGAAAACTACCGGTTCTAATTTGTACATTATTTTATGAAGTGTAATTTAAGAAAGAACTTTCTGCGATTGTTTACCTCCATGCTTCAATATAGGCAAAACTCCCCCTTAACACCTTGTTAGAAGCTTGTTTACATTGAGGTCCTTTGATATCAAATATCCTTTTGTAGTCATGTCTCGTGTGGTATCTTCAAACTGTCAATGGTCTTTCTTTTTTTCTTCCTTTTTTTAGGGGGGGGGGGGCTAATACGATAACCCAATAATCGTTTTAAGTGGTAAGCGTCTCCACTCTAAAAGTTTCGTTTTGTTCTGGCCATCCTCGATCGATTCTCACAGATAGTAGCGAGTCATTGTTACTTTTTTGGACATTTGCCCGGACACAATGTCAACATTGAGGACAATGAGGACAAACAGACAGTTAAATTTACTCACTTCGTTGAGAGCACGGCTGCCAAAGGATTGAAAGGATGACTGGAGGTGCCGCTTTGACAGCCGTGAAGCCGGCCTCAGGTCCACCTGGGATTCACTTGCACCGCGGGAACCGCCATGCTACGAGAGGCACATTTTGTCAAACTAAAAATCAGTGTCACTTGGCTGCTGCACAGACTTTAATCCTGACATGTGAGACTGCAAGAAAAAAATGTTTCACCTGAATCAAACGAAAATGAAAATCAAAATCATCTATGTTGTATCATACCTACAGTATGTATATCATTGTACAATGTATTACAATTTCAATTTGAATTTGTTAACTCATATGCGAATATGGGATGATTATAGGCAGCAATTGTGATATTATGACAATAATCTACCACATTTTTGAAGTAGGCCTATCTCAAGTCATTTTGTATTGGTAATAAGTTCAGGAGTTGTGCCCTAATGTCTGTCATGATGTTGACCTCAGTCGCGAAATACATCAGTGTGCAGCATGTAACTGTCTCATTGTGTGCGCTGATCAGAGGATCGTGATCTTGACCTTGATCTTCATCATGACATCAGTCGACGTCACTGCTGTTGCCTACGTCATGCTTACGTCATTAACATAAGATTATTAATCAATACATGCCTAGTTCTTTCATGTGTGACAGAAATACATACCTACACATTAAACACATCCATTCCTAACACATGCATAAATAGGCCTAAACGCATATGCAAACCTAATTCCTGTACATGCCTACGTCATGAATACGTCATAGCTGGTTAGTTTGTGATTTTATTTAGAAGCTACAAGTTCACGATCTTGATCTTGTGGGATTCTCATCTTAGGTCGCATTCAGGATACTCAGATCTCTGACCCTTGACCTTAGATTTCTAATCCCTGATCTTAATCATGATTCCTAATTAAACAGTCGTCGTCATCGTCTGTAGAATTATACTTCTCTTCTAAGATAACTGCCTCATGGCATGGGTTTTGTGTAAAACATATGAAGTTCTAGGCATACGACTACGAATTTTACCAAAATGCCCTTGGCATCTTTATTCTTTGAAAATTCTTGACGAATGGAGTTTTTTTTTAATTCACTCGGCTACCTAGTTCCCCCTTTTGAATTTCCCATGCCGCTGCGGTAAAATGTCAGGTTTTGCTTATCCAGTAAACCTAGGCCTACATGTAAAATCCATCTCTCTTTCTACGCTACGCTTATGATAAAACAACAGTGACTTACCATGTATAATGTCCCCGTCCCATGGACTCGGAGGGGGAGTTTATGAATATTCCTGCATTCTGATGCGCTCCTAATGGTGGACTCATAAAATTCGGTCTCCTATAAGTTCAAAGGTTAGTCTATGTAGAGAAAAAATAATTAATACCCGGTTGAATTCCTTACGAGAGGCCACAAGAAGTCGGGCGATAGTCTGGTGACTTTGAAAATCACCAAGTGCAGTGTCATTGCGTTTCTTAACTTATCGTGCGCTGCGCATTTCTCCAAGTTCAATATTACCGCGAATTACAGAGCAAAACGAAGCCACGACGACAGCTTAAAACTTCTCCTGGGTTACCTACAACTATTAATATCGTCACCGTTCTCATACACGTCAATTTCGTAAATAATTTATCACTGAAAAAGAAAGGAATACTTACACAAAAATAGTTAAAATGTGCAAATGCACGGCTTCCATCTTGAAATGCCAGTGAGTGGGCGAAAGTCAGACGACAAGTACGAGGCGCGCGGCCGTACTGCGGTTCAAAAATCCTAATCACTTTTTTATCTCTCCGCACATAAATAATTACCAATTTGTCTGTTTGTTTTTTTATTTCGCTGTATCTTCATTAGTTGTTCTCCCTTTTTTGGATATATTTCAACGATAGAGCGCTTCATGTTAAAAAGAAATTATCATAAACCATTTTTTGAAGAAATTGTTCAGAAAATGAGGTCCTACTTTTCTTCGCCTGCGGACTAACACAAACTGTTGATGTTTTCGCAGAACAAGTAAATGGGTGGTTGTGATTGGTCGAAAGTCAACAGGAATGTCTGGGGTTGACTGGGATTGGCCGACTACACAAAATTTGCATATGGCATATCGCATACCCTTTTATATGGAAATTATTATATCGGATGACAATCGTTTATGTGCATATTTTATCGAGAAACGTAAACCCGAATGGACCTATCTCGCGCGACGCCATCTTGAGAATCAAAGCGAGGCGTTTGTATTAACACTAACAGAAATGGCCGGGTGACTCTTGCAACGTGTTATTATGTGTGAAGTACTGATACCGGTGAGTTTTAGAGCAGTTTATTATACATGATCACAGCTCATCATTTCAAAATATATTTTTTAACAAGCATGGTAGGATGGAACGCCGTATTATCGCGGTACTTAGCACGTTTCTCGTTCGGAATAGAGATTGCCCACTAACCTTCCAGAATTGTCCTGTCTTATGTGTAGTATAACTCTTCCTTTTTAAATTAATATAAAAAAATCTGACGGGTAGTGTGGTTTATTCCGTGTACGATGCCTGTGAAAATAGACATGCGCGGCGTGTGCGAACGGAGGTGGACTCCCTATTATCGCGGTATGCGGGAAGTGGTTTTTATAATGATCCCAACTTTTTTGTTCATAGTTTATGTTTGACCAAAACACCCCCTGAATAAAGTCTGATATTTTCCCTGTAACGTTCAAGTTGATTAAAGACAAAATGTCTGCAGGATGATTTCTTAAGACCCTGCCCTTCCCCCGAAAGGAGAACACAAATCCCTCAGGCAAGTCTACTGATCGGCGATTGAGGGCGCCATTCACTTTACACGGTGTGCCGTTTTATTTTCGCTAACGCGCGGTGCTTATTTTGATCCCGTAAAAGTTGTTACGATTTCGCGCTGCAAATATCGTCGTTCGACCTCATTTTACATTTGCAGCTGAAGAATGGGAACCAGACAATGGAACTTTCATGGACAGAGCGCAATTAAAGATTTATGTTAAAATATAAACGGTACCTTTTAGCAGACACGGTGAGGGAAAATTTTGCAAGTTTTGGAAAACGTTAATATTTATTAAAATCGTTAAAAGTCCCGAAAGACACAACAGTTTTTAATCGTCCTTTTTATACAACTCGGTAGAAAATCCTTGATGACTGGTGAACTGGATAAAAATCGCCACTTGAAGGAGTTTTGACACTGTAAAAAGAGAAATTTCCCATGCCGCGATTAATAGGGATGCCGCGATAATAGGGAGTCCGACTATACTACGTAGGGACCAATTTGGAGAAGTTGCATGTTGATTTCTTTAAGTATGCGCGCTGCGCACTGGAGGGCCGGGGATACGATAATTAGAATCAGCCAGATTTCTACACACATTTTTGTTACGGTAAATATTAAGTCATCTTTCGTTACTGATGGCAGCCTATTACGGGAGACGCCAAATGAAAAAAAGTCCTCCTCTCCTTTGTTGTACTACAATTGGACACAAAACAGTTCGTTAGTAGTGACAACTTCTCGAGCCATTCTTCTTCCTAAGCCCAAGTGTCAATAATGCTCATTCCTCACTTATAGGTCATTTCTCACGTGGGGGCACGGGGGAAAAATGAGTACAAAACAAGTGCGTGACTTCTGTCTAATTCTTGCGCCTTGGGCTATAGGCGGGATAGGCCTATATATATACGTCTCACCCCAACATCATCGATTTTGGTCCAAAACACCAAGGTGCACGTTTCCAAGGACATTTTACTCTTGTCACTTCGGGCACGAACTGCCATTTTTCTCTCGCCGAGAGTTTGGGTTAAAAATAAAGGAGTGAAAATGGCAAACACTCGACGAATCGGGCAGAGGAGACGGAGCAGCCTCGAAGAAATGTCAGCTTTTTCAAAGGTACACGATTTAGAGTATTGTTTCTCATATTGCGATGATATTCCAGTAAAACTACGGTTAGTAACGCCCTCTCATGACCGTTGTGTTGTTTCTATGATCTTCTTTCATAAGGGAATCTCAGTATTGTTTAATTTTAATAGGCTGGGCGATAAAAAAAAAGGTTAAGATTGTTAAATTTCAGTCGCGGTAGCTTGGATGCAAAATAAACTGTTCTGTAGTCTTAACACTGTTCATGATTTTAACAAAGAAAGTATTACTCTAGGTTAAATAAAAATTGGGTTATTCTGGAGATGAAAACAGTTTAAAAATACGTCTACGTGACACAAAATTGCAATGTTTCTTCACGACGTCTGTTTTCCATGTATTTATCTTGAAGTTATTTAAAAAAAAAAAAAAAAAAAAAAAAAAAATATCATGGTCTCTCCTTTGGAACCCGCACTTTACCAAATCAACTTCCTCATTGAAAATTGGACTTTCGTGTAGGAACAGTGTTCCATGCATTTTGTGCGGTGGTAGGCCTATAATTATTTGTTTGCGGGTAAAATATATATATTTTTATCACTTTTACCCTGAACAGGCTGCCTCGGCCTCGAATAACTTAGCACAAGGAGGTCCGGCGGCGCCAGCGCGCGGGCGACGGGCGTCTATAGCCGTGGCACCTTCGGCTAACAGTATGGCACGATTGGTAAGTTTCATAATGGAAACTGCTTTGATCATTCAGTCATTGTAACAGCAATAATGAATTCGAAGGTAATTAAATTGTACTTTAAACGCAATGTTCACCCAACTAACTGCCAACCCAAGTTTATGACCCGGCAGAGTCCACACCCGTCCGTCCCAACCCTGCCCCTATAAACCCACCCCCCCCCCCCCCCCCACCCCACTTAAACTCACTCACCCAGAAGACACAAAATGAAAGAAAAGACACTGAAACTTTCAAGCAGGATTTTGCTTTCCAAATTATTTAAATTTGTTGTTGTATTTTTCAGGTACCGCCGGGAATGCATAACACTGACAGATCATCATTATTCCGAAAGGTAGGCAAAACTAATTTTATACGACTATTTTATGTTTCAATACGATATGTGATAAATATGATAGAGGTAACTTTATCAAACAGTCGTTGTTTTTCGCCTAGCAACAAAATGGCGTCCTCGTCGACGAGAAAGGGGAAGGGGAAATCGTCCCAAATTACCATTCAAATAACCGGGAAAGGGTCGGAAGCTTACAAAGACATTGACTGGAAAACATTAAGTGTAAGTTTGTGTTTATGTCCAAGTGATTTAGCGTCCATCTCCGTTGTTATACTAGATAAAATGCAAGTGAGTAGCGCCGCGCTGCCCGTCGTAACGTTACTGGCGTACGCACGGCCGCGGGGCCACCACGCACGGCCGGCGGCAGGCGGTGCGGCCTTTTTGCAACGTCGCTTATTTTGTCAATGACAGTTTTGAAAATGATTTGAGCGATTGATTGAGAATATACTGGGAAAGAATGTTGCAACCTGACGCTGTTTTTTTTCTTCATATCAATCTCAATGGCAATGAAAAACATTTCCAATTTTGTCGGGAAATATTTAATTTTCTTTTCTCTCAATCCATGCCATCCATACTCCTAGAACTATGAGGCTCCACGTAGTAGAGCCTCATAGTTCTAGGAGTATGCCATCCATTGACCTTTGTACACAACCACTGAAGTAGCGTCAGGTTGCAACATTCCTTCCGAATGTAGTAGTAGCCTAATAGTGAGTCGTCGAGGTGGGTGGGAAAGAAGACACCTTTTTTGGTCATTATAGACCAGTGATTGAGTGAATGTGGCTTGTATTTTATTGTAAACTAGGCCCTACAACTTAGTACAAGTACAACACCATGTTCACGGGGCTAGTACAGTGTAAGAAGTCGACTTTGCTTAGGCCAAACGGATGTCAGGCCTACCATGTTTTATTGTTTGCGGGTCCTAAAATATTTCTTAAGCCAACATTTTGATTTAATTTTGTAGGCCTGCTGCTATATCTTGTCAATTTTGTGTTAGCCTAGGCCTACTTCAACTGAAGTTATACAAAATCTGACGTTAGAGAAAAAAATATGTATTTTTCAAACATGAAATTGAAAATCTTTCTCAATCCCTAAATCGTTTTTCCCCCACAAGGACTGATCTTCAGTTAAGTGACATGAAGATACTTCATTGAATAGATTATTTTCTAGAAAAGGTTCTTTTTTTGGTCATAAATTTTTTTTGGAACTGTGTTCATTCCAAGATGACATATTTCCATTTTGTTTGTGCTGGTCTGGTTTAGGATGACGAAGCAAGGGCCATTGAGAAGGAAGCATCCTTAGCTTGGAAGGTTCTGTCCAACACCCAGACGCAAGCTCTTCAGGATGCATCAGTGGAAGATGTGGAAAAGTAAGCCATTGCAGGCCCATATGCTTGGGCATGTTTGTGGGGGGGGGGGGGTTCAGGGGCTCAAAAAAAATAATGGCCTTACAAAAAATTCAACATTGGATTCATGACCCATCCCCCTAACAAATCTTGCCTTCACGTTGCAAACACAAGCAAATTTGATTCAAAAAGTCAGGGGAAAGTGGCCAGGAAATGCCTCAGATTGCACTAGGGAGCATCTAGAATCCAAATCTGTCCAAGGCCCTAAAGCGCGCCCCGGACCCAACACCATAAGCGCTTGCAATGCATAGTATAAAAAGTTCCACTTTGGGATTTGAAAATTTGGGATTGCAAAAATCCCAGAGGCTCTGAGTATCTCAAAGTGTTCTGCTGTTAAAAGTCAGTGAAATTTTCCATTTAGAAAATTGTCGGAGATTCTCAAGCTGACCAACTCGGAGATCGACCTGTCGGAGTCAGTGCTTCTAGACTACTACGTCTGTGGGTTCTGGTGGGCTAAGGAGAGAGGCTTCACCACGCAGCAGCTCTCTGGGTTTTTCACCGTGCTGCATACACTCCTGGAGAACATCAGAGGTAATGGGAAACTTCAAACCTCCTGTAGGGGGCAGCAGAGGTTGAAAATGCCATTTTGGCAAAATTTTGTAGTGTAAACGAAATTGTAGTAGCATTGTCAAATGACACACTGTATCTGTTTCTTTTCCAAACGGGATTTGTGATTTTTGCCATAAAAACATTAGCCTAGAGAGCCACACCTGTGTAATGGCATACAGGATTTATCCAAAAATAATTCCAACGGTCTCAAAATTCAGATACTGGCAAGTGCTTTTTGAATTAATTTTTTTTATGTTCCTCACCAAAACTTTGGGTCAACAACACTTTGGCTGTGTGCCACAGAAATTGTCTTTAAGCTTCCACTAGCTTTAGGCTCATCTGAAAGTACAAAGCGACGGCATCTGTCATCAATTCATCACGAGGCAATCACAAGGCAATCACAAGCCAATCACAAATCAATCACAAGCCAATCACAAGTCCATTACAAGTCAATCACAAGTCCATCACAAGTCAATCACAAGCCAATCACAAGCCCCTCACAAGTCAGTCACGAGCCAATCCAAAATCTTTCACAAGTTCATCACAACTCAATTACAAGTCATTCACAAGTCCATCACAAGTCAATCACAAGTCTATCACAAGTCAATCATGAGCCAATCACAAGTCAATCACAAGCCAATCACAAGCCATTCACAAGTCAATCACGAGCCAATCTCAAGTCAATCACAAGCTATTCAAGTGAGTTGTGACAAAGGCATTCTTTTCTCCTTGTTCATCCTCCTAACCTTTGTGGACTGACTTGTGATTCAAAAGCACTTGTCAAAAACTAGTCCGTAGTAAGTCGAAAATTGACAATGGAAAAGTCTAGTATAGAATAAAATCCCACAAGATACAAAGATTCTGACACATTTATGTTAAAAAGTTTGGGGAAAAAAACTCTGTCACATATTTTACCTGTTTTCAACCAACCAGAAAAGCAGCTGTCTCTAGCAGACAATTTGTCGGAGTTCCGTAAGATGCTAGTCGGCATCGGCGCAGACAACAACAGTCCAAGCAAAGGACTGGATTTCTTTGACTTGGAACACGCTAAAGCCATCACGGACTTTCTGCAGGGCACGTAAGTTTGCAAGATTTTCATTGTCTCAAAAGGTTTTTAATAAAAAAATTGTATTTGTATTGTTGCTTTTGGCATTGGCTTTCTGAAGGTATAAAAGAAACATCAGATTTATCAAAGCATGTAACATGTTTTATCTTGTTGATGAAAGCATCCATTGGTTCAGGTTGTTATTTTTTGGTCACTAATTTCACCGGAAGACATTTGTTGAATATACATCGTGCATCTGATCAAAAACCAAAAAATTAAAATATGTGCATGTATTGGAATTCAAAGTCAGTTTTGCTGCTGTCCTTCTAGGATTGATCTGTTTTGAGTTGTAACTCGGACATGGAGTACAAGGACTTTTTTTAGAGCCTTTATAAAAATTTAGCCTTTTCGGCTTTATTTTACTTCTTTCAGGTTATTCCAGCATCATAAGATGTACGAGTTCCTGTTTCACTCGGAGAGGACAGAAGAGATTGTCGGGACAGAGGTAAGCTCCTCTGAATTTTTTTTCTTGCAATTCAAAAAATTTCATCAAAACAATGGCCTCTAAATGGATTTGAACCAGCAACCTCCAGAATATTGTGTCAGTGCACTTCGAACGACAAATTTTTCATTTATCTGGTTAGTTTGCCTTTGTGATTTATTCCTTTGACGACATTGTTTCTCAAAGTTGTATTCAAGTCCAGAAAAAAAATATGTAACTGTTTTGATGTAACTGTTCAGACAAATATTGGTTGGAAAATCATATATGTCACACTGTAGTATACGAATAACCCATGGTTTGAGGGTTGATATATTAGCTTCCTGAGGTATTGGAAATTGAAAGACTCGCCGAGCTAGGGAACTAGTCTGTCAACTTCCAATAGGGGAGATCTACCTGAACTTAACCATAATTTACGCATACGTTTTCTCGGCAACATGTTGAGCGCTAGTTCCACGATTGCTTCATAAAGTGCATGTGTAGTAGACTATTGCGCTGGTAGCCTGTGTGATGGTAGACTAAGCATGTGTATTTAACCTGTGCGGGAAACCTCGCATGCGCGCTTGGTAAACAGCAAAATTGGCGGCTGACAAGTGATGGTGAATAGACCAGTGAGAAGTCGGCTCTCGATCATGAATATGTATGAGGTATAGTAAATTCAACCTTTAGATCTCTGTCATTTCTCACAGCTGGTTGTTGAAGTTCTCCCGCCGGCAGCAATGCCCTACCCGCCCCCTCTGGACGAGGGCTTGAGCGAAGAGGTCTACCTGAGGCATGTGGCGCCTCCTCCCCCTACACCCACACCTGAACCCCAACCCCAGGAAGAAGACACCGAGGAGGAGGCGGGGACGGATATTAAGAGCGAGACCCCGAAGCTGATCGAGGAACAAGGTGAGGAGTTTGATGGACCGTGGACTGTGTACATGACAGTAGATGTTGCTATGACCACTCATAAGAGCTCTGTGTGCAGGACACACTGGTTTAACCCTAACATTAAATTTTGCAAATGTTTGAGTATTTTAAATAGTTACAATTCAAAGTAAGAGCCTTGCACAGTATACCTAAATGTGTAATCGGCAGCTTCTTTCAGGTCTTTTTTAAAAATAAATTGCGAGATTTTTGTTTAAATAAATTGCGAGATTTTTAACAATTTAAATTTTTTTAATTGCGAGATTGTTTAATTAAATTGCGAGATTTTTGTTTATACTGAGGCTATCCCATCAAAGAATTGACCAGCTTTGAAAATTGACCAACAAACTGATATGGACAACTAAAAATAAACACCACTTAATGGAATGATAATAATCATCATTTTCAATTTATTTGTTACTATTTTTGTATTAATAGTGGGAGCAGCTGAAGCAGCCAGCTTGGTTCAACCTGAGGCTCTCCTCGCCAGTGTTACGGCCGAAGAAGTCAAGACGATGTTTGACCGTGTGTCAAAGGAGCTGTTTGCTGGCCTCCAGGTACTTTACTATGCATACCCAGGGTTCTAGTCACGTTTTCACAAGTCAGAGTTGTAATGACTCGAGTCCAACTCGAGTCACAATTTTTGGTGACTCGACTCGACTCGAGTCCCTAAGGGAAAATGACTCGACTCGACTCAAGTCACTGCGAGCAAATGACTCGACTCGACTCGAGTCCCTCATCAGAATGACTCGACTCGACTCGAGGAAGGCTAATAAGACTCGAGTCCCAAAAATAAAAGCAAAACTTTGCGAAAAAAAATATTTGCAATGACTTACTCCGGTGCAGGTTTTTGTTCACGTCACGTTAGAATGCTAGCGAATAATGTATACATATACAGACGTGGTTTGATCGGTGTCCCCATTAGTTGAATGGCAATCAGCTGGCACCCCTCTTTTTATTTTCATTAAGAGTTAAATGTGGTTGTAGCCCGAATGTAAAATTTAAAAAAATCAAAAAGACTTTCTCTCTTGAGTTTGTTTATTGTATAGTGTTCAAATATTTGTGACTCGAATTGACTCGAGCTAAATACTTGACTCGACTCGACTACACACTATGACTTGACTCGACTCGACTCGACCTTCTTGACCTAATGACTCGACTCGACTCGAGTCACAAAAATCAGTGACTCGTTACAACTCTGTCACAAGTCCATCACAACTCATCCAGTCTCAAGTCAAAACACAAGTTATTCAAATGAACTGTGGCAATGGCATTCTTTTCATTTGGCATTGTGAGAATACTTGCTGCACTGCACCATCAGATGGATGAATATTAGTCGTTAAATCGTGTTCTTGTTTTCTTTCAGAGCGAAATTTCTGAGAAATTGTTGGAGAGAGAAGCAGAGATCATCGGCAGAATCAACAAGATACACAGAGTGGCTGAGGCTTAAAGAGGTCTTTACATTGAGAAAGTCTTGATCCAAAGAAAAGATGGCCCGGAATGGATTTTTTTTTCTGTGGGAAATCCTGGACCCTGGAATACAGGGTGATTGTGTAGTGTAGAGCCCTGTTCACTGTAAGGGAACAAAAATCCACTTCTGGTTCTTGGACTTAACCAAACTAGTCAGCGAAATTGCAACAGGCATATGCCGTAGAAACAGGGCAAGTTTATTATTTTTCGAGGGAGATTTTCGGGTAGAGCGACGATAAAGACTACTTAAAAAGCAACATGAAAATACAGATGGCGATCACCCCGATGCAAAGTGAGCACGCACAACCACGTTAATTCGCATGGCACCAACTGTTAAAATGCGTAAGAAAATCACATTTTCCACCGCAAGAAAGTGTTTAAAAGTACAAAATAATCATGTGATGTCATTAAAATTAACCAAAGTCTGCTGAAGGTTGAAAAGGTCAATTTGGAATTATTAAAATTGACTCTAATTTGAGGAAAACTGAAGAGGGGCCCAGGCCTACACTACACAGTCGCCGAATACTGCAGTATCAAAGGAATGCATTCGTCACAGTTCATTTGAATAGCTGAGTTTGACTAATTAGGACAGGATGACTTGTGAAATGGACTTGATTCTAACACTGGCTGTGGGTTCCAAAAGGTTGAAAGGTCATTGTTAGGCCAAATAAAGAAAAAATTGTTTATCGTCCCTGCCCGCTTCCTTTTTGGAGGCCGCCTTTTTTTTTTTTTCTTTTTTTCTTTTTTTTAACACGAAAAAAAGATAAATTTTAAACAGTGACATCATTTTGGCCTCTTTGTGTGTTGCATCTAGCCCATGTAAAGCTGGTATGTCATTCCTGAGTCCAAGTGGCGGCCATTTAAAAAAAAATCTGGCGGCCATCTTGAAAAATGGCCCGGACGGGCGGCCATTTTGGAAGGGGGAAAAAAAGGGCCTCCTTCCTTTTGTCCAAAGAGGCAGGATGCTAAACTTTTTATTTTTTATTTGGCCTTACATGAGGCCAACATGAGGAACTTTTTATTGAAACAACACCCCCCACCACACCCCAAAAATCAATCAAAATTCCCTCCCCCCCCCCCCCCCCCTTGGAAAAACCTACATGTGCCTGTATAAAAATAAGAACAGATCAATAACGAACATTTGTGATACAGCGAGTATACAGTGTGTGTTCAGTTTTGATTTAAATTGAGAAATTGTTTGTCATGCTGACTTTAACAGCTTCACACACAGATGTTCCTGCATTATTGATTGACTAGTTTCTCCATGCATAGCTCAGCTGTTCCAGTAAATGCATGGTCCGTGGTTATGTGGAATTTGTCGATAAATACAGTTGCATTTATGCACATCACATTTCCTTGTATAACTTTGTACAGATTTCCTTTTATAAGAAGCTTCATGTTTGTGGTATTTGATTTGTAAATATTTTGAGATGAACTGTAAATAAAGAGAAAATTCACATGAATCTTTCAAAGTTGTGAAAGTTCTTGTTTGTTTGTTTGTTGGGTTTACCTCCAGGAATGGTACGGTTATGAGTGTGTCTTTTCCCATCCCTTATGTTTTTGCTATTTTGAGTGGGCGGGGTAATTAATTATACATTGGCAAAAATTATTCATTTTGTTAAAAACAAAAAATTAAATCTCACAGCATGCACAGGGTCGGTGGTTTGTGCCTTTCACTGCGCAAATCAAAATCAGTAATCCATTTGAACACGGATGATCTCCAAGTTTAACTTTTTAGGATTTTGGTTTTCCAGCCTTTTGAGGGAAATTTATCAGTTTCAAAATTCTAACGTCAGCAGTATGATTTAATCATGGAGAAATTTAATATAACTTTCACCGCCGGTTCAATTTGGCGCGTGTGAGTTGTTCTTGAACTTTCTACGCTGCAAATGGCGTGACGTAGTTCCCGATGAAGTCTTATCACAAGATGGGCTGCTGTTCTTATTTGGACATATCTAAATATTTTGCTTGGGGAGGGCCCAATTGATGACGAATTGCCTTTGTATGGAGTGCAACCAAGCAAGCAACAAGTGTTCCTGTCTTTATTTTTATATAAATTGATCAATACTATGTGAAAGAGAGTTTGAAAAACGAACAATCTCAACAAAATGGTTTCATTTTGTTTTCTCTATTTCAGTCTCAGAGACGTATCAATGCGATGTGAGTTGCATTAGGAAACAAATATTTTTACCTTCCTTGTTTTAGTCACATGGGCGTTTTATAGTTTCCGACCACGACACGCGTTGCCTATCTACAAATTATACCCGTTCGCGAATGAAAGTATTTTGTAGCTTGGGCACGGGTGCGCTCAATCAAAACACGAAAGCGATGTTTTGTACACGTAAAGCTCATATGCTAGGGACACGTCATTAGCTGATTAGAATAAGACGGAGAAACCGAAATCTTATTTATTCCCGCTGAAAACATTCAGCGAGGATAGACGTGGAGTTTGACAACATCAATGTTTGCCAAGTGGCTGAAATTGCCAGTGGCTGATTGCAGCGGTGAACGTCAAGTGAGCGGATGGTGCACGAAGCTTGTGCGTAGGTTTTTTTGTATTCACAATATGCATTAACCAGTTATGGTATTGAGTATTAAAGGGCATCTTGTTCGTGTGTCATAATGATGTTAGCCCCATAATTAATAGCCCCATATGTGACCTATTTACTGGACTACCTCCGTAAACATAGGCTACACATCCACACATGTACAAAAACGTGTCGCTCTTTGCCAAATTTTGATTTTCACATTTAGGCTTAGTTAATATAGTCGTGTTCCCTAACGTGGCGCACTTCGAAGCTTACCCAACTTTCCTTGTGTAGTGTTGCCAAACCTCTTTGTTGATAAACCTCAAATTCATGCAGTGAAATACTGGTACTTTTACCTTTTTAATGCTTGCTATTTAACCTCTGTGAACAATTTCGGTTTCATAAAATTTAATCCGAAATGCAAAAACGGTCGCGTCCGGAAATTGGGCACAAATTGGCGGAGTGTTCCCTAACGTGGCGCACTTGAATAAATCTCGGAAAATTCCAAATTAACATTTAAGAATTTCTGTAAACTTGATAAATTCTGATAAATCATTATTATCTTTACTTACAAACCCAGCCAGATGTTTGTCAGAAAAGTATTTTCTTATTTTTCGGGGCATTTTCAAAGGGTTCACTTTGCACTTGAAAATAAAATCGGAAAATCACGCCAAAATAATGTTTACTTTTAACTTTGTAACGGGTAATAAACTTGCGATTTATGAACGGGAGTGTTTAGAACTTGATGAAATTTCACTTTCTGTGAAATTTCAGTTAGAACTTTTGCTCTAGCTAGGCGCTACAGGCGAAAAATCAAAGTGCGCCACGTTAGGGGCCGCGCCACGTTAGGGTACATCAACAATACTTTTTTTTTTTTTAATAATAGGGCCTACTAGTTGTTTTGCTTAAGTTTAGTCAGAAGCATACTGGTGCACCCTCTTTAAATTATAGGATGATCAGAAAGTGCTGCCTTGCTCAGATGTCTATTTTTCGTGAAATTTCCAGATTCATTTGCACACGTTTGCGTATCAAAATTTCAACATAAAATTTCACAAAAATACCGCAAAACTGAATACCGCAAAACCTTTTGCGTGTATGGTGGTGTTCCCTAACGTGGCGCACTTCGACGTTTACCCAACTTTCCTCGTGTAGTGTTTCCAAACCTCTTTGTTGACAAACCTCAAATTCATGCAGTGAAATACTGGTACCTTTACCTTATTAATACTTATACTTGCTTTTTAATCTCTGTGAAAAATTTCGGTGTCATGAAATTTAATCGGCAATTCAAAAACGGTGGCGTCCGGAAATTGGGCACAAATTGGTGGAGTGTTCCCTAACGTGGCGCACTTGAATAAATCTCGGAAAATCACAAATTAACATTTAATAATTTCTGTAAAGTTGATAAATTCTGATAAATTATTATTATCTCTACTTACATACCCAGCCAGAAGTTTATCAGAAAATTATTTTCTTATTTTTCGGGGCATTTTCAAAGGGTTCACGTTGCACTTCAAAATAAAATCGAAAAATCACGCCAAAATAACTTTTTCTTCTAACTTTGTAACGGGTAAATAAACTCGTGATTTATGAACGGGAGTGTTTAGAACTTGATGAAATTTCACTTTCTGTGAAATTTCAGTTAAAACTTTTGCTGTAGCTAGATGCTACAGGTGAAAAATCAAAGTGCGCCACGTTAGGGGCCGCGCCACGTTAGGGTACATCACCAATATACACCTCATCCGACGTGAACTGGTTAAAAGTAGCTTCCATCGTGAATATCCAGCAGAAAATAGTTTTGATTTTAAAAAAAATCCTCTCTTTCCTTAATTGTTTAAATATTTTGACTCCTAATTTTTATTTATTCCTTTTTTAGTTTTTGCAGGTCCAGATGTTCCTGATGATTTCTAACAGAGGCGTATTGCAATGTTAAGACAGGCAACACTCTGTCGTAGTCTTCTAGTCACTGCCATCTCTTTGGCTCTAGCTCATGGGGCAACCAGTGCTGAGAACCAGGCATCTAGCACGCAGCAGCAGGCTGTAGGTGTTGACGGTGGCCCTAAAGCGACTGTCTATGTGGAAGGGGCCAGAGTGGCAGCGTACAATACCTGTAGTGAGAAGACAGCTTCAAACCACAACCGCAGGTATGGAAATTTATTATTTTATAGGTTTATATCGCACAGCACCAACCGTAAACTGTGTACGAAAATCATAATTTGTGACCCAAGAAACTGTTCAAAATTACAAAAAAAAGTGTCATTAGAATTGAGAGAAGTCTGCTTTAGGTTGGAAAGGTCTTTTTTGCATGATAAAAACACCCTTGACTTTAATTTGATCGAAACTTAAGAGGGGCTCTAGACTACACGATTGCCTAGCAATTTTTTTTCGGACTGAAACAATGGGAGTCTGCAAAAAAGCTCCTGGGAAAATAGCTCACAAACTTGAAGAAATCTGTGGGGTGAAGACAACAAAGAAATGTTCGGTTTTAGAGGTGGAGGGAAAAGTCTTGATGATCACTCTGAGGAAAACCCACGGAATCAGGCCGGGACTGAAAACCCAATTTACCTGTTGGCCTGGGTGGAATTCGAACCAAGGTCACAGTGGTAGAAAGCGAAGAAAGTACCACTCTGCCGGGGTCTGAACCACCAGCCAAAATATGCAACTTATCAATTGATGATCCAATATTTTTTATTTAGGGATTTGATGCTTGTAAGCACTCTGGATGGCAAAGTCTCTGCTCTGGACCTACACAATGCTGGATCAGTCCAATGGACGCTGGATACCGACATCGGTCCGCTCATGGATGCCTCCATCAGTGATTTTGAGGTATGATATTTGTGCATTTAAATTTTGAATGTTGCTTTAAAGATCGAAAGCTTTTGTGCCAACAAGTTCCGTCAAAATGACAAATAAGTTGCAGGTTATATTTGCTGTCTTTAAACTCCGGCTTTTATCCAGATACCAGCGTGCGGTGATTTTTTTGTAACTTGGCTCCCAAAGTATCTGTTATGATTTTATTTGACCGAATTTCTCCTTCTTAAATTATTTATTTCTTTTCTTGTTTATTTCAAATGATCTTTGGATGCTTTCCTCATATGTTCTTTTTTTATACCATTGATTTATATGCACTTACAAACTTTATCTGTGCATGACCCAAAACAAAAAAACCTGCATTCTTAGCTGCGGGAAGGCAGCTCTACAAGTACTCATGTCTTTCCTTTGGTTGGTTGGTTGGTTAGTAACAAACTTCACCCAATGCCTTTATTGGCAATCAATCACCTTGTCCCTTAAGCCCTCGCAACAACACATGCTTCAGGTCTCCACTGACCAGAGCTACCAATTTATTGCAGTCGTGGAAAATTGGGTCACGAGGTCACTCATTTCGCATTGGGGCTATCACTGTACTACATACAAATTGGGTGTTCCACATGCTATAAAACGCTCCATGCACCAACTGACGTTCAACAAAATAATGAGAATCCTTTTCACTTGAGTAGTTGTGCATTATAAGAACAGACTTTTACATCATGTTCATGACTTACAGGGTGAGTCAAAAAAACGAAACCCAAATGTCGGGACTATTGTTTTATTGAAGTTCCACATGTAGCACTTTCTAAATCTAAGACATCAAAGCACAATTCATAGGCTTTCTTTTAGTACAAGAAGCAATCAAATCACGCATCTACTTTTCAAGTTACGGAATTTTTAACACAACCACCCTTTTAAATTTCTGTCCACGGATCCCCAAAAAAGGTGTGCATTCTTTCAGCAAAACGAAAACAATTCACACACATCCCCATGTGATTTTTTTCGTTTTGCTGAAAGAACACTGAACTTTTTTTGTGATCCTTAAAATTCTGTAACTTGAAAAGTACATGAGTGATTTGCATGATATTTGTACTAAAATAAAGCTTATGAATTGGGCTTTCATATCCTAGATTTTGAAAGTGCTACATGCAGAACTTCACTAACACATTGGTCCCAATATTTGGGTTTCGTTTTTTTAACTCGCCCTGTATAGGCTGCAGCAGGTCTAGAGTTGGGCCTTTGGTCTACAGATGGGCTGCAGCTCTTTGATCAATTCGAGCTTGTTCAAAGTCGAGTGCAGCTTTTCAGATATGTATTACAAACACAAGGCCTTACTCTGAGTGCATGATAATATTGAACGCCAAAGCCGCCTTCTATAGTTCGATTTCATTCCATAATCAATTTCATCATTCCATTCGGCGATTCCATCATTCCATTCGGCGATTCCATCATTCCATTCGGCGATTTCATCATTCCATTCGGCGATTTCATCATTCCATTAATCAATTTCATCATTCCATTCGGCGATTCCATCATTCCATTCGGCGATTTCATCATTCCATTCGGCGATTCCATCATTTCATTCGGCGATTCCATCATTTCATTTGGCGATTCCATCTTTCCATTCGGCGATTTCATCATTCCATTCGGCGATTTCATCATTCCATTAATCAATTTCATCATTCCATTCGGCGATTCCATCATTCCATTCGGCGATTTCATCATTCCATTCGGCGATTCCATCATTTCATTCGGCGATTCCATCATTTCATTCGGCGATTCCATCTTTCCATTCGGCGATTTCATCATTCCATTCGGCGATTTCATCATTCCATTAATCAATTTCATCATTCCATTCGGCGATTCCATCATTCCATTCGGCGATTTCATCATTCCATTCGGCGATTTCATTCCATTAATCAATTTCATCATTCCATTCGGTGATTCCATCATTCCATTCGGCGATTTCATCATTCCATTCGGCGATTTCATCATTCCATTCGGCGATTTCATCATTCCATTCGGCGAGTCCATCATTCCATTCGGCGTTCATCCTTTCATTCGTCTATTTCGCATTTGATTTAGCCATTCTACATTTCATTCAGCAATTTCGCCCCTTTTGCACTTTATGCTATTCTGCATTTCGCATTCTATGCAGCTATTTCGCATTTTATGCAGCTATTCCGCATTTCATTCGGTCCGGCAGCGTCCATCCGTACGGAAGCGTTAAAGGGACACAGAAAGTAAAAAAAAGAAGAAGTCATAATTAGGACTTATTATTAAGTCATTGTTATGACTTATATCTTATAATAATGACTTAGTGTTAAGTCATAATTATGATATGGGCAATTCTCCATGGGAGAGCAAAAAATGTCAAAAATAAATATTTACATATTAAACCTTTTTTGTACTTTTTCCAGACCTCAATTAAATGGGGAATTCAGTTCAAAAAACGAAATTGAAAAAAGATACATATTTCTGGTAAAAACAGTGATTTTTGCAATTTATGATTAAAAACGTTCAGATTTGGTAAAAAAATAAAATTTTGTGTATGTATTACTTTCTGAATTATAGGGAAAAGAATTGATTTATTTTATGATGTTACAAGTTACTAACATTACTCAGGGTCATTTTAAAAAAATATAAAAATATAAATATATATAGTGTAGGCCTTCATTTAAAAATGTCAAAATTAGCACGTAATTCCGTTACCAAAAAAATGGCAAAAGTTACTTATTTCACAAATTTTCTTGTTTTTTTTCTTCAAATCATGTATGTTGAGAAAAGACCCTACTATAAACATAAATGAAAAATAAAAACTTTAAAATAGTAATTTCTTGGCATTTTTCCAAGTGGTAACGGAATTACGAAACGGTAACGGAATTACGGTAACGGAATTACGCATGCACAAAGTATGCACATTTCCTCCAGATTATGTACATGACATATTAAATAGGAGATTTGCATGTAACCTTGGACAATAACTTTAAATACTAAATTACTTGTTAAATCATTTCCCTCTTTAATTTGCTATTATACAATTAAAAATAATCAGGTGTTCCATTGATATTTTTTACTTTTACTTTTTCTTTTTTACTATTTAAAAAATGCTAATAGTTGTTTGGATGCTTAAAGGGAATATACATCATTTGCAAACATCAGAAAATAAAACTACCAAGTTTTTACGAAATACCTTACTAGGATGTTGGTAAATGACAGTCTCAAGCATCATGTAAAATTATGGCACCTGGTGTGAAGTACTTTTCAGGAAAATAATATTTTTGTATACATTTCCAACGGTGGTCGGCCGACCACCGTTGGAAAAACCTAACTATTTTTCAACTACTGCTCCAACTTAACACTCTTTCCAGTCCAAATTTTGTTTGCTACCGCGTATCTGTTACATGTTCATGAACGGGTGCAGGCCAGCTAGTCTGGTTCCCTTACCCTCCAATTTTCCGGCATCTATACATTGATCCATTTTACCTTTAGTGGAGTCAAGGAACCAGACTACTTGAACAGTTTTGTTTTTCTTGGTTTTTCCAGCATTTTCGAACACAAAACTTCAAACATGTCAGTGTAACAATGTTTGATCTATTATAGGCCTACTAACCCCTCAAATAGTTCATTTCTGAAAATTACAGCAAAAGCCAATGATGTACATTCCCTTTAAATATGTGTTGCCAAAGCCGTTGTCTGGTACCCACAGAAAATATATTCCATAACAAGTATATGAAAGTTGAGTACCAGACTGTACTTGTACTTCTACTTGGCATAACTTAACATCTTCCCTTGCTCAGAGATGCCAACCAGTGCAGCTTTATTGTATTTTCCACGATAAACTAGTGAAATACGATAATACAATTGTTCATAGTAAAATTCGATTTTCGGTAAAAAAAAAATATACATTGCTAACAGGCAATGCAGCCATCACCAGACTGCTTCATTTGACCTTGACCTTTGACCTAAAAAGTGAAGCCCAGACATGTTTAGGCCTACATTTACATTTTGATCTGCTAATTTTCACTTAGCTTTCCCCTTGTGGCATTTTATAAACTTCTAAAATTTGTATTGTGATGAGTTTATGTTGAATTCAATGTTAATGTATTGCATTTACCTATTACATGTAAACCCATGGCGTAATTCCGTTACCGCCCAGGCGTAATTCCGTTACCGTGATTAAAATGCAAATTATGAAAAGAGTGATTATTTTTTCAACTTTGTTCTGCATTGTAGTTAACAACACCCCTGAACTCTACAAATAACAGGCAGTGTCCAATTTTAAAATTTCAAAACTTCAGAGAGTTTTATTAATTTATGCGAGAACTCAAATATGCTTGTCCTCCGTCCGTAATTCCGTTACCGATATTAAGCTCCGCCCCTTAAAGGGTAATCTTGTGGGATTTTTTTTTTTTAGCGGTCAATCAATTCTATTGGGTCTTGGCTCCCTTTCCATGTTTAGATTAGTTGCCTAGCATAGAACATATTTTCTTGGGAAAGAATAATCCTTGACAAAGTGACAAAATTCCGTAATTCCGTTACCAAAGAATTGCCCATATATATCTCATAATTACGACTTAGTAATTGTTAAATCATAATTATGACTTATATCTCATAATTATGACTAATTATTAAGTCTTATTTATGACTTATATGTTATAATAATGACTTAATACTAAGTCGTAATTATAAGATATAAGTCATGACTTAATAATAAGTCATTATTATGAGATATGTCATTAATATGACTTAATAATTAGTCATAATTATGAGATATAAGTCATAATTATGATTTAACAATTACTAAGTCGTAATTATGAGATACATATCATAATTATGACTTAACACTAAGTCATTATTATAAGATATGTCATGACAATGACTTAATAATAAGTCATAATTAAGACTTTTTTTTTTACTTTGTCTTATGTCCCTTTAACGCTTCCGTACGGATGGACGCTGCCAGACCGAATGAAATACGGAATAGCTGCATGAAATGCGAAATGCCTGCATGAAATGCGAAATGGCTGCATGAAAAGCGAAATGCAGAAAAGCATGAAGTGAAAAAGGGGCGAAATTGTTGAATGAAATGTGGAATGGCTAAATCAAATGCGAAATAGACGAATGAAAGGATGAACGCCGAATGGAATTATGGAATCGCCGAATGGAATGATGAAGTCGCCGAATGGAATGATGGAATCGCCGAATGGAATGATGAAATCGCCGAATGGAATGATGGATTCGCTGAATGGAATGATGGAATCGCCGAATGGAATGATGAAATCGCCGAATGGAATGATGAAATCGCCGAATGGAATGATCAAATTGCCGAATGGAATGATGAAATCGCCGAATGGAATAATGAAATTGATAATGGAATGAAATCGAACTATAGAAGGCGGCTTTGGCGTTCCATATGATAACAGTAGAATCCACAACTTGTGTTCTAAAACAAGCATGCCCAACCTTCATGATCAAGCCATTGTCTATCGGTCGTCATTTTCAAGTTTCCATCGCCTCTCTCTCCCCCTCCAAAACCCAGGTCATCGGGCCGGACGGCAACTACAAGGTGATCCCTTCCCTGGACGGAGGTTTGTTCCGCTGGGACGGCCAGAGCGTGGAGCCGGTACCCCTCAGCGCCGACATGCTGCTGAGCTCCTCCTTCAAGCTGAGTGACGACGCTGTGATGGTGGGGGGCAAAGAGACCAGCACCTATGGCATCAACGCTGGGACTGGACAGGTAGGGTTTGAACAGTCTGTGGGTTTTCCCAAATCAGTATTGGGTTTTTGTTTAAGTTTCTCATAGAGAACAGTAAAAAAATTCTCATACTTCAATTTTTTTTTTAAATACTCAAAACTCTCACAGGTTTTCAGGCTGCACAGAAAAATGATGATCAACATGTCGTCTTTCATTTTCCGTTCAATTTTTTGGTGGGTTGACCACTGACTTTTTGAGATATTCTCACTCAAAGAAGACTACCTCTAAAACAAAATATTTCCCAAACTGGAAAAGTAGCCATATTGAAAAAGGATCCCTCCACAACATGGCTAAATAGCATTGCTTTTGGACCAAATACACATTCAAAATTGGAAGCCCCAAGTCCAGGCCAGAGGTGCAGTGCCACGTGTCTTCAATCTTCAAATTCCATGGCTCTCAAAACTCTTTCATTTAGAATAATTTGAATTTATTCATGAGTTCAGCGGACGGCGTTTTGGCCTATTTACAATGTACTGGGGTGCACCTGTTTTTAATGTGTCAATAATTTCAAGTGAGTCAGTCACCGTGACTAGGTGTTGAATTGTTATTACATGGCTTCACATCAGTACGCGATTTCAATCAATTTGTTGAACCATGGAGCCGTGGTCAGAGTGTTATTTAGCATGTGTTCTTTGCTAGTGCTTTTCTTCAAAATGGTACAATGGACATGAAACTTTCACCAAATGTGTCCAAAATACCAGCCTATAGCATATCTCATTTGCACTTGTTTTGAAAATTGCTACATATTTGTAATATTTTCTTAAATTTGGGTCCAGATCATTCTGACCCACCCTGTACTCATGGGGAAGACCTTTGTTTCCCATCTTTTGTTTTGTTTTGTTCCTATTGAAATCTCAAAACTCCATAGTGTTTCCCTTTCTATTGTGTTTTTTACCCCATAAGAAACCCTGTACATGTACATGTACTCTGCATTGTGCAGGACCACCAGTAATTTTGACTAAAACCAAGGACCTTTAACTTGTGCAGAAGCGCAAGTACATGTTATAAGCATGTCCATCGATTCCAAATTTTCATTTTGATATATAATTGTAATTTTTGGTATATTATTGGTGGTGCTTTCTGGCAGATTGTTTACATCTGTGGCGTGAGCGGCTGCCACATGTTTGAAGAGCACGAGAGCACCGACAAGGATGACATCATCGTTATTGAGAGAGTACAGAGGACCTGTCGAGCCGTGGAACAGCGCACTGGGGCAGAAAAGTCAGTAAAACACACGACATGAGTGACCCTATCATCCCATAACATGATTCCTAAGGACGGATTGTAAACATTGTACTTATTCATGTGCGTTAGAAACTGAAAGAGCATTTTTTTTTAAAATATGCTTGTTAAGCCTGTATGCACACATCAAACAATAAGTTAGGAGAAAGTTTATGATTTTCTTCATTTTTGCCAGTTTCAATATTTTGTATCCATAAACTGAATTATGCTCGTTCATATAATGCTTAAACCTTTCTGTATTAACCCTCCAGCTGTTTAAACAGTTTAAACAGACATTCAAAATTCCATCCACTTCAACTGGCACGCCTTACCAACAATTAGATCATATATTTTAAACGAGCACTCTGACTAGTCAAATTCAGTCAACAGACAAAAAGCAGGAAACTGGTGGCACAGCTGTCTTATCAATCACCGACAGTCAAAGCATAATTGTATCAAGTTACATAAACAGTCACAGCCAGTCAATCATGCTTCATGTAGGCTGGTAGCTCTTACCTGTTGAAAACAGTCACTTTATTGATATTGACTGAAATGAAAACTTGGCAGAGAATGTATGTTTGCATAGGAGGGTTAAAGTCCAAAATAACTTTCAAAATTTCGTATATTTGTACTCATGAATTGTTTTCCCTCTGTTTTTGGTAAAACCCAGGTGGAATTTTAGCGTAGGCCAGCACGAAGTCTCCTACCTGCCCGGTTCCCATGAGGACGAGGACCTCAGTTCCTATGATGATGACTACGACGACGATTATCACCAGGCAACCGTCTGCGTTGAGGAGACGGAGGAGGAACGCGCCGCCAGGCGAGACCTGATGCACCCGGTCTTCAAGGTCTTCATCTCGCCGGGAACCGTGCTGGCATATAGCGAGAATGACCCGGGGCGGTTGCTATGGAAACAGGAGGTTTGTAAACTTTGGATTTTTGATTTGTCCATGACTTTTCGTTGCGATTGAACCTATTCAATGAATAACAAAAAAGAATGTAATTGAAAAGTTCACTGTAAAGGCCGGTTATACTCGGCGCAAAAATGAATGCGAACGCAAATTTGTGATGTTAGCGCAAGTTTTTGCGCTGCGAATTCACAAAAGTTGAACACATTTTAACTCCGGCGAATTTCGCAACAAATGCTTTGTGAAGTCGAATTCGCATCGCATTCTAATTCGCATGAAGTATGAACTGGGCTTAATTTTCAATAAGTAAACCGTTTTTAACCCTTGCCCTGCTAGATGCAACAGAGTGCATCAGGTGTAAAAGTCTGTGGGGCCTTGCTGCATTGAGCCATCGTCACCAGCGCATAAACGGCCAATTCGGAGACGTGTTAGCTACATGTAGTCCCATTGAGCAATGCCATAGTTGTTTCCTGCTGCAGTTGGTGACCAAAGACTCTGAGGAAGTTTGGCCTTGAGTTTTATTGATCATGATACACTGAGTAGGCTTCTCATGTTGACAAGTGTTGCATGTTGCTGTGTTCAGTTTATCAGCAGGGTTTGTAGCAAAAATACCCTATATCGGTTAAGGTTTAAAGTTGTTTAACCCTAACTCCCTAGGCATTTTTGCTAGGACACAACCTCAATCCTGCAAAATCCTCCAATTGCCTCCATGTCAAAATAGCATACAGCCTCAATCCTCCAAAATCATTCATTATTTCTTGAATGTGGTCCTCAGAGGGGTGACCACTGCCTCAATCCTGCAAAATCCTCCAGCAATCACTGTCAATATTCAACATATTGACAGTGATTGCTGTCAATATGTTGAGGCAGAGCCAGTGACATCCTGGAGCAGTGCAGAGGATTTCAAGTGTGATTTAGGTCAACATTTACAATGTGTGCACGGCTGAGCATAAACAACACAAGGTCCAGGACACAGTGCATCCTTCAAAATCAGCCATACGTTTTTGCCACATAGCCGCAATCCTGCAAAATCCTCCATTTTGCAAAGAGGATTTTGGAGGTTTTGGGAAGGTTAGGGTTAAAGCATTAAAAGGTATTGTTATTTCTATTTTATAATTCAGTTTTCAACAGCCATTGCAGCCGCCTGGACCATCAAGGAAGGAAAACTAGATCAGATTGATCTTTTTGATGTCAAAAACATTCCCCTGCTCGGAAACGATGGAAAGGAGCAGCCAAGCGCTCGGTTACAACCAGCCCTGTACATGGGTAAGCTGCTATCTTGTTACGCGCTTAGCAAAAATTACCTCTAAGCAGTCATAAGCAGTATACATCACATGACATTTTTACTGTTAAGTGTTTTTGCTACGAATTTTGTTAATTGTGTTCTGTGCTTAGATAATCCATATAAAGTTTATGAAATTGGTTTTCGGGTCCTGAAACCAGTATTTTCCTAGGGGTGCCGGTGGGTGTGAGGTGGTAAAAGAAATTCGGCTGAGAATGGACCCTGCGAGCGCAAAGCACGGAGCCCTTGCGGCGTGGGTCCAAGGCCTGCTTAAGGGCCCCTGTAGTGCAATCTGAGGCATTTCCTGGCTACTTTCCTGTTTACTTTTTCCAACAGTGGCTGTCAAGATTATAAGTAAAAGTTATACTTATGTGTTCAAAATATGTGATGCGATCGAGCTACATGAGCCGTTTGTCGGGAATTTTCATTTGGAGATAAAGGCCAACAAACGGGTCACTTCATCACATCACTTCATCACATCTCTTGGTGTTCTGACTTTCATAAGTTTTGAACTAAAGATGGTATCAGCATGCGGTTTTCACAGCAGTTATGCTGAGATTGTGCTCTTTTGAAATCTGTAATAATTTTTTTTCTGACCAGGGTCGACAAATGATTCATGTAGTTTGACCGCATCACATATACTCTTGTTTTCTTCCGTACTCAATCTTGACAACCATCCATTTCAATTTGTTGCCATTTACCTATTGAAAAGGTAGGTACGTGTGGGTCGCCTCGCGATTGAATGGGCAGAGAATGTTAGTGTCCTTCTCTCATAATTGAACTAATAATTATTTTTTTGCTGGGTACTCCTTCCTCTTAGGTGAGTACAACACGCAGGCATATGTGCACCCCTCCAAGGAACTGCAGCAGACTGTCAGTGACATGACCGCAGCAGCAACAGCAGCAGCAGCAGCTGCAGGCCGTGGTACAAAGGATTACGTCCCCGGCTTTCCCGCGCCCAAAGTGCAGTGGCGGCCCTACATGTCAACGGCGCCCTCCAGGACGCCCATCGTGGCCAACGATCAGAGCAGAGGGCGACATTGGGCATCGGACAGCAGTGCCATTACCGTGTGGTCCCAGTACCCATTTGGTAAGGATACATTTTTTGGTGTTTGTTTTTTCTAATAAAACAAAAATATTTTTGAAATGATAAAAAAATGTTGTCAAGACAAGTTCATGCTGGGCACGAAGATGCCAATTTGTGACCCCATGGGAAGTATTTATCACAGAAATTGACACAAGATGAATATGTTTCAACAAATTTTTATAACAAATTCGCTTTGTATTTGTTCAAATATAAACTGGCCTTCATTTATGAATTGAAATTTGCATTTTGGAACTCTGTTACTTTCAATTTATCAGAGATGCCACTTTTCAGGTTTTAACCTGAATTCAGGTTTTTTTCAAAAAATGTGACAAATTAAAAGTGCTGGATTTGGTCTGAAACATCCAGAAAACACGTTTTTGAAAGGGGGTAAGGGTAGTTTCAGGTTTTTTAGTAGTGTTTCAGGCTTTTTATTGATATATTGGTGGCATCTCTGATTTATGTGTGCTCAAGATTTTGAGTTTGAAACTTGTAGATATATTGCAATTTTTTATTTAAAACTTCTGCATTGTGCGTGAACATAACAGGTCGTAATTAAAGTTAATTTGTTCATTCCATAAATTCAGATGTTGGCTATTACGTGCTGCAACAGACTTCAGCCCACTATCAAGTTATGGGTCCTAAGAGAGATCCAGGCTACATAGACTCCAACGACAGTGGGTCGTCGGACCAGCACGACGGTCTGGATATATTACTTTCTGCATCGGCCACATTCTGGTGGTAAGTGATAAACGGATTTCTATGTGTTACACATTTCAATATGTTACAGATTTCAGTGTGTTACAGATTTCATTATGTTACAGATTTCATTGTGTTACAACTTTCATTGTGTTACAGATTTCATTGTGTTACAAAAGACAGATTTCATTGTGTTGCAGTTTTCATTGTGTTACAGATTTCATTGTGTTACAGATTTCATTGTGTTACAGATTTCACTGTGATACAGATTTCATTGTGATACAGATTTCATTGTGTTGCAGATTTCATTGTATTACAGATTTCATTGTGTTACAGATTTCATTGTGTTACAGACTTCATTGTGTTACAGATTTCATTGTGTTACAAATCTCATTGTGTTACGGATTTCATTGTGGTACTGATTTCATTGTGTTACAGATTTCATTGTGTTACAGATTTCATTGTGTTCATATTTCATTGTGTTACAGATTTCATTGTGTTACAACTTTCAGTGTGTTTTTTTTCAAATTTGTGTTACAAATGACAGATTTCATTGTGTTAAAGATTTAATTATTACAAATTTCATTGTGTTATTACAGATGTCATTGTGTTACAGATTTCATTCTGTTACAACGTTCACTCTGTTACAAATGTTATTGTTTTGTGGACTTGCGCGACCACTACTTTTTTGTTATCAACCGTAAGTATCACAATTCTGACCCCAAAGAAGACACAACATAAAACAATAAAAAAAAGCACCAAAAACAAAAACAATGGGTTGAGCCAAATGTATGAATGGACAGTCACCTGACCAAAAGTCATGATCTTATTGGTCAATGCGCACCATTTGATTGGTAGACAGGAAGGGTCCATTGCCTAAATTGCCGAATTTGGTTCTGTGCCAAAATCCTGAAAAATTCCCCCCTAATCAAAATACCTTTTTTGTTTGAAATGTGATTCTAGGAAAGAAATACTTGCCCTGAGTCTCGTTCTGGCCCTGGGTATGCAGTTCCTGTGTCACATGCTGAGGTCTGGCGCTACGTTGGACCGGGTCAACAGCCTCAGTCTCGCTGGCTCCGTCAGCATGCAGGAGTCTGTCACAGAGGACACCGGTGGAAGTGCCGAGAACCAGCCAAAGGAATATAAGTCGAGGCAAGTTTTTAAGTTTCCAAAACTCGATTTTAAATAAAATATTTAAATTAAACCAGTCTGACAAGGTACTTTTAGTTCCCGGAAATATTCAAGATTTCATACCAAAAATCGTAGATTATGCTATGGTTATTAGCATATTAGCTATATGGCGTTATTTACCAGTACCCAACAGAATCCCACTCTGAATGGTTTCAGTTGCCCGCTGAATCCAACAGAATCCAACTATGTTCCGTTTTAGTTACCTGTTGAATCCAACATATTTCAACAGGAATATATACAAGGTCTTTACTGCTCAATCAAACGAAAATCTAAAATACCAGGATCCTGTTAGATTGTGCAGGGTTAGAGATAACTTATTATGTTAATCAACAATGCAATGCATGTATGCTTTCATTTTATTTCATTGTGTTGGATTATATTTGTAATGTATTGTGTGTATTATCATTTGTAGTGTATGCAGGGCCCCAATGGAAACCAGTTTTAAACTGTTTGGGCATACCCTGGGGAAAAAAATATAATAAATAAAATAAATAAATATATGCACGAACAGTTTATTAGAAGAAAATTATAGCCCCAAAATTTAATGAAAATGGAAAGAAAGAAAAAAAGTGTTTGACAGTTTGTTTTATTTTTAAAAATTGTAACTTTGTAGATATTTGACTGACTTTGAGCATCAGCGGTGCCTTGGGAAAGGCGGCTTTGGCATTGTGTTTGAAGCCAAGAACGTGGTGGATGAGAACAGCTATGCTATCAAAAGGATCTGTCTTCCAAACAGGTATGAGCAAGGAATTTACTCAATCCAGAAAAGACCAAATTTTGCATTGAAGATTCAATGAATTAGTTTCGTTATTTAATGAAAATTTAATGTGTTGTCTTGAGTGATTGAGAAAAAAATCACTTAGGTCGGACTTGAACCCACGACCTCCTGCTTACTAGTGCAGACGTCTTACCACTTGACCACCGAGCTTGCCAGGGTCTGCTGGCTGGTTTGAATCAGATATAGCAGCGGGTACCGCAACCAAGGGCAAGTTCACGCAAGAACTATTGTTGACCAATGGTTAACCATAGTTCGACTAAAGTTAGCCCAAACTCTGTCTAGTCAATGATGGTTGACTAGGCTAGTCGACTATTTGGAACCAACCTACTGGGGCTGGTTGCATCGCTGGTAACCAATAGCCGCTCGCATTCATAACGTACAGCAGGGAGCCAGGACCCAGAAGTTTTGCGATGACATTTGACTGGTCAGCGTTTGACTAGAGCCGTTCGCACATTGCTATTAGTGCGCAGGCGTAAGTTACGTCACAAATCAACCACTAGTCAACTAATGGACCTTGCCCGAACTTGCTCCAAAATGGACCTACATCTGTGAAGGGCAAAACCCAGTATTAAATTTACATCATCCCGACGCAAATTCCATCTTATAAATTCATTTTTAGTATTGTTTTTCATCTATGAGTTGTGTTTCTGTCCTAGAACTAAAGCACGTGACAAGGTCCTCCGCGAGGCCAGGGCCTTGGCCAGGCTAGATCACAGCAGCATCGTCCGCTACTTCAACTCCTGGCTGGAGGAACCTCCGGCCGGATGGCAGAAGATTCAAGATGATCAGCTCCTGGGTGACAGGTAAAGTCTTTGAGTTCTTTTGTTCTTGTTTTCTTTGGGTACTTTATGCAACACTTTGAGCATTATTAACCCGAAGTCCCCAGGCATTTTTGCTAGGATGCAACCTCAATCCTGCAAAATCCTCCAACTGCCTCCTTTTAAAAATTGCATACAGGCTCAATCCTGCGAAATCCTCCGTCATTTCTTGAATGTGGTCCTTGGAGGGGTGACCACTGCCTCAATCCTGCAAAATCACTGTTAATATGTTGAGGCAGAGCCAGCGACATCACAGAGCAGTGCAGAATATAATCTAGGCCCAAATTTATGCACGGCTGAGCATAAACAACACAGGGTCCGGCCTTAGACCTTGACACAGTGCATCCTCCCAAATAGCTACACATTTTTGCCATATAGCCTCAATCCTGCAAAAAGCTCTGTTTTGCAAAGAGGATTTTTGAGGATTTTGGAAGGTTAGGGTAAATTTGAAATTTGGATGAACATTTAGGATTCATTAGGGCTAAAAAATCTTGACCGTTTTTTTTTTTTTAATTTTAAGTACACAAAAATATTCTTGGTGAATGTGATCATTCTTTATTTTCACCCCTTAATGACATTGCATCGATCTACAAACTAAACTTAGTGGTTTTTTTGTTAACTTTGCAGTGTCAATCCCAGCCACACCACTCTTCTATCGCAGTCCACGACAGCCAACTTCAACAAGGACAGTCTGTTAGTCCGAGACAAGGAGCAGTTCATGAGCCAGACCAGCTCCCACCTCAATCTACCCCGAACCGGCCGAGTCGAAGACCCAGAGAGTGACGTTTTCGCCGACAGAGATTCCGAAGACTTCTCAGTGGGCAAGGCTGACTATCTCTCCAATCTCCGCGACGAAAGCGGCTCGTTCAGTATTGAGTTTTGCGATGAGGGCGATGGCAATGACGACACTGAAGTCAGCCTGACACCAAGAGTTGAGGAATCGGCTACGTTTGATCTTAAGCCGAACAGCGATTCTGAAGTCCTGACTCCAGTCAACGCTCTGCCCCACGTTTCTTTCGGAAGATTTGCCCACAAGCCGCCGAGCCGCCAGCAAGCTATTCAAGAGGATTCTTTCCAAGTGATATTTGAGAACAGCACAACAGAAGACAGCACCGCAGCAAAAATCGGCAACCGTGACTCACTCGGCTGTGAGGATTCACCAAACTCCCCATCAGATCACAATCAAAACTCGGATTCTTTCTTAGTGGTTTTCCAAAGCGGCAACCCCGAACGCAGCACCCCCAAAACTGGCAATATGGACTCGGCCGGCCTCAATGACTGTCCACCCCAACACCAGAGCTCCACATCAGATCTCGGCCACGAACTTCCAAGAAAAGACGCCTCAGGCAAACGCCCCAAGGAGGGCTCTGTAGGAGGTGCAGGCGACGCCCAGGGCTGCCACTCGGTGCCCAGGGTCTACCTGTACATCCAGATGCAGTTGTGCCAGAAGGAGACGCTCAAGGACTGGCTGGGGGCCAACACGCTGAGCAGGGATCGGGTCAAGCAGCTTCACATCTTCCAACAGATCCTGGCCGCTGTGCAGTACGTGCACTCCTGCGGCATGATCCACAGGGACCTCAAGGTAACAAAACATTCAGTTACACTTGTGACCCCTCTATGAACTTCGTAACTTCGATAATTGTTGATTCTGGGATTGTTTTGGGGAATGGTACACACGTGTGAATCGTAATCAGGAATAGATTACGCATCTGCAGCTGCATTTGTCTTGCGAGCTTGTAGGCTGCAACCCTCCATTTAGTTCCCAGAAAATTTCCCCTTTTTGTGCACATTTTTGTCCATAAGAATTACTTCCTCTAATTTTCTGAAACTGTTCAGAAAGTCAGTTTTTTGAAAAGTTTTTCAGTTTTTTCACCGCCCTCCAAGTCTAGAACAGGGCCTAGGCGTTTAAGTTTGCGTAACCAAGAGTCAGTTCTTGGCAGATGTAATACAGGGCTCTTCAAAAAGGAGGAACATAAGCCAAGAAGCAAAGATCTTAACCCTAACTCTGTATAGGGTGTGTGAAAAATCATAGGAAAATTGGAGGATTCAGGACTGTTGGGGCTCATTTTAAGTATATTGTTTGTTCCCAGCCTTCCAACATCTTCTTCTCGGCGGACGGGACTGTCAAAGTGGGTGATTTCGGCCTGGTGACTGCCGTGGACACTCAGCTGGAGACCGGCGAGTCATTGGACGATGACCTAAGCAGCATTGACCTCAGTAAGAAGCACACCAGCCAAGTCGGTACCCAGCTCTACATGAGTCCTGAACAGGTATGATAAACAGAGTTTTTAAAAAATGTATAACTTCTACATGCTTACGTGGATTTTGATGAAACTTTGACGCAGTGACCCTCGGTTGGGAAGACACAATTCTTCATCGGATTACTGAGGTCAAAAGTCATGTAGGGGTCATTAGAGGTCATTGTTCAAATATGCTTCAAATGTTTCTTTGTCTACAGAATTTGATTGACTTTAATGTCACTTGGATGGAGTGATCCTTGGGTGGGGGTACATCACAACTCTTCCAAAAATTGGAGGTCAAAGGTCATGTAGGGGTCATTTTAAAATGCACAAAATGTGACCTTTTTTAAGAACACATAACGTAATAGAAAAAGGTGACACATTTTGTTGACAGACCACTTGTTTCATCATCAAATCGTTGATCAGACAATTTTTTTTCAATTTTTTTCTCTTGCAGCTGAGTGGAAAGACTTACGACCACAAAGTGGACATCTTCTCTCTGGGTCTGATCTTCTTTGAGTTGTTGCATCCCTTCGGCACACAGATGGAGCGCATCATGGTAAATCTGCTCTGTTGATATCATTTGCCCAGATTTTTCATTCAGCTGGATATAAAGTCAATACGGCCCTGCCCACTGTGCACATTGGCAACAACACATGAGCCTCTCCAATGTCGGCCAGCGGCACGTGCACGCACGTTGGACATTAATCATGGCTGTGATTGGTCAAAACACCTCTGGGCGGGGCTAAATGGATCGATCTATTGGAGTGTACCTGGACTTGAACCCGAGACCACTGGACTGTCTTTTTTGCTCTTCAAATTAAGTTAGCCAACCCCTTTTTGCCAAAACCGTAGTCAATCGCAATATTTAGCCAGAACTTACAAAGGTCACCATGATACATATACACACTAGGGTTCACATACAACCTGTGTCAAATTGTCAAAAATTTCATTGGCAGTTGCGGTACTTTTTTTACAGCTGTCCTTTGTTAGAATCCGACCTGTATAAAGTTGTTTCCTAGTCTTGACCCAACCCCACCTGGGCCCAATTTCACGGCGCTGCTAAGCAAAAAAAAATGCTTAGCACATAAACAGCCTGGCTTATAAAAGTAGTTTACCAGCCAAAACTCCTCGTGATTTTCATGCTATAGCAAACAACAGCTGAATACAAATTACGAGCAATATACATCACATGGAGTTTTGGCTGGTAACCTGCTTTTATAAGCCAGACTTTTTTTGTGCTAAGCAAATTTTTGTGCTTAGCAGTGCCGTGAAATTGGCCCCTGATGTTAGCCCAAGGTGATATCTGAATGAAATTGCCCAAACCCTGGCCTGGGTTCACATCCAAGCAGTTAAAACTTAATTGAAAAACAATTCCAAAAACAAAAGTTTTAGATTTGACTTGACAAACCCTAAGAAAATATCGACGTAATCTTTTCAGGTGATGACAGGATCACGACAGCAGAAGTTCCCTGACAGATTTGCAAAGGAACTACCGTCGGAGGTAGGCTTTTAATTCTTCTTTTTTTCAACAAAGCTGTGGAGTGGTTTACCAGTGTTAAATGCACTGCTTTTGATAATTTACTTGTTTTTTCATGAAGGCTTACTGTGCAGCTAGATGGTGTGGCACTACAATACACCTTTGCCTTAATAAAGTCTTAATGTTCAGTCACTCTCATTATAATGTTGACGCTATAATGAATTTGTAAGTCACCAAAGGTGTAGCTTTAAAGGGAATGTACAACATTTGCTTTTGCCGCAATTTTCAAAAATAAATGGATTTGGAAGTTTAGTATGTTATAGAAAATATCATTACACTGACTGGTTTCACGTTTTTGGCTTGTAGAGCTAAGAAAGCCATTCATGTTCTTATAGTCTGGTTCCCTGACCCCAATTAAGATGAAACAGAGCAATTTATAGACTTTGGGGGAATTGTAAGGTCAGAGAATCAGTCTAGCAGGCTTGTACCCCTTGACAGGTGCGTAATCAATTGCTAAGAAAATGCAGAATAACTAAATATGACAAATTAGGAGCAGTTTTTGAAAAAAAAGTCAGTTTTCTCCAATGCTGGTCGGCCGACCATCGTTGGAAAAATACACTTTTTCTTGGAAATGTCAGCACACCAGGAGCCACGATTTTACAGGATGCTTTAGACTGTCATTCCCTAAAAATCCAGTAAGGTATTTCGTGCTAATTTGATCATTTTGTTTTTTGATGTTTGCAAATGTTGTATCTTCCCTTTATAATACGCTACATGACCGTGTAAAAATTTGTGATATGTCTTGCTTTCCTTATGAGTTTCGTAGTAATGTGGTTTTTGTATGCTTTATCGCCAACTTGCTTGCAGACTGAGCTCATAAAGATGCTGCTGTCCAACAATCCCGCCAACCGACCCGACGCCGATGAGATCACGGAGAAAGACACCTTCGCGCGCCTGTACAGGAACTTCGTTCCGCCTGCTGCCAACAGCAACAGAGGGCGCTATTCTTCAAACTCCAGCAACTGATTGCTTACTTTCACCAAACAAAACTTTTCATCGAGATGTGTTAAACTAATTCTGATTGAGCGCATGCTAGTCAGAATCAACTACTGGTCAAACTTGCTGTGATGCCTTTGCATTTATTTTTTTCTTACTTTTTCACAGATGAGTGAATATTTAAAATACAGAATAATGAAGACACAGTACACAAGTTATTTACTTTTTAATTTGTTTTTTAATTGTCTTTCCTCATTCAAGTGTAATAAAACTTAACAAGTATGCGTGTCATTCCTGCTGTTCAAGTTTTATTTAGATTTTGAAAATAAACATGAATGTACCTTTTTCCAAAAACACAAAAACGTACCATTTTACAATTTTACTTTGCATGCATTTCGTTAGTTTGATGTGTTCCCCTCTATATTTCAAGTATAACTCTGCTTTGCCATTAGTCTCGGCCTGAGACTCTAGTGATTGACAGTGGCTCGTGCATAGTGCGCCCTCTAGTGGCACAATAATTAGATCAGCGCGCCTGCTCACACTAAGTTAAAAACAGTTGTGCGAGGGCCGAGGGCGCTCTACAACAATAACTAAAATCACTATTGATTACCGACGTCTTGAGCCAAGTCTACTTTGCCATGAAATTCAGACTCAGTTTTTTCCCCCTGAAATCTTAAGAATGATAGTCAAACAGATAATGATGTACATAAGTCTTGGTTGTTTATTACTTTTTAAATTATTTGTCAAATCCTGTTTGAATAATGCAGTAATTGACTTTTTTTCTCTCTTGCTTTCAGATTTTTCTGTTTGCAAACAATTATGTGCATGACTTTTGTTTTAAATAGTTAAGTTTTCTTATAAGATTAACTAACGAGGCAACAATTTAAGACACAAAACAGAACTTGAGGGCCACAACTTTGAAAGACATCTAAAAATGAAAGCGTACCGCGATATATTTTTGTATCTCTCTTCAGCTGACAATTAAGATTAATGGTTAACATTCCTGTGCAGTGTAACTTATTAGTTGCCGCAGAATTAGTTTTGAGCCAAGATAATATATATATGTATGTTTACTACAATATATGATATATCTGTCATTCTAAAGTTCAACAAAAAAAGTTGACTGGAGTTGGGTTTGAGCCTGCGACCACTGAATTGCCGTTCCGGTGCTCTACCAATGGATCTATCCAACCCTATGTTGGCGGTTCCGCGTTACTTTTAATATTCAACTTTAAAATAATTATAATGCCCCTACTCTGTTCCCTTACAGTGGTTTATTTGAAAATCTATAATATATCTGTTTACATAAACAAGGCTCAGTGGTGTCCGTAAAGTACTCGTAATTATTGTCACAATTCTGAGATACTGATCATACTGGAAAATGTACACTCGTTGCCTAGGATAGCGAGTTGCCTAAAAAGCTATTGATATTCTTCCAAATACCTTTGTACTATGTACAGAGTAAACTTATATATTTTATATGTTAATAACGTGAAATATTACTTTATCGCTGGCACTCTTAACAGTGCAATGTATATTTTTTCCTTGTAAATAATTAAAGTTTTAAATTAAATCTCACAGAAGAAAATATTAAACGAGTTTTCAAGTTTGTGTTTAGAACTCATCAATTTTCAACTTAAATCTCACAGAAGACAACATTGAACAAGTTTTCAAGTTTGTGTTTAGAACTTATCAACTTTCAACTTTGTGAGTTTGATAACAGCATGAACATGACTTTGTGAGTCTTAACACGAATTACAAAATACAAACTGAAACAGTCTTAAATTAACAAAAAAAACTTGTTTGCTAAATGAGAAATGCAAGTTTCATTGGTTTACCATCATTCAGAGGATATTTTTCCCCCTTTCGTTGGACTCATTTTTCTCCTTTGATTGTTTCTCCACACGTCTCACACAGGTCCTTGGCATTCTTGATCTTCTCGACCATGAAAGGGTTGAACTGGGTGGCCAAGTCCACTTGGAGCATGTGTGCCTGCACTGTGTAATGAAAAATGCACAATTGAATTCATTCTGCCGTCATGACGTGGGGCAGGATTTTTTGTTATACCTAGGGGGCCAAATTTACATGTTTTGAACTGGGTGGCCAAGTCCACTTGGAGCATGTGTGCCTGCACTGTACAATGGAAAAATGCACAATTGAATTCATTCTGCAGTCATGACGTGGGGCAGGATTTTTTGTAATGCCTAGGGGGTCAAAGTTACAGCACTCAATGCCACACGCTGGCCAGTTTGTTACCTTGGTATGAGAAGTTTACAAGCCTAAAACATGACATATTGCTTGTCAGTTTGTCAGCTAGTTTGGAGCAGGGAATGTAGGGAGCTGTTTTGTTATGTCTTTGGCTGGTACATGTACATCATGGTGAGCCTGCAAACTTATGATTAAACATACTCTAATTAAGTTTTTCTTTTTTATTTGTCTAAAATTTGTTCTAAAGATTGGATAATTCCTTCCAAATTTCGTCCCAATTGATAACTTTAAAATTTCATTTAAACAAGTGAAACATTTTGGAAAAATGTCCATGTGGTGGCCACTTACATTGGCCTGTAACCCTTTTTTAGGAGTTTATTCATGTTTGCTTAATTGATTATATAGGCCTATTTATTTATTTATTTTATTAGGCCTAATTATTTATTTATTTATTTATTTTTTTTGGGGGGGGGGGGGACCAAGCCCTTACAGCTCATCGTGCTGAGATGCTCTTTGGTCTTCTTGAGCTGCTTGCTCAGCATCTCCAGTTCCTCTCGTTCCTTCTGGTAGTGCTGGTCCTGCTCCACGCGAAGCATATCGAAAACTGTCCAACTAAAAGTTAAAAGGGATTGTCACGGATTCATTAAGGCTGGAGAAGTTTAACTGCAATTAGGCTAGTATTAATTAAAAAGAAAAAATATAAATCAGCCTAGGCAAAATATGTCTTCCAAGCCCAATGCCTTTTTAGCCTATATCTTCATTGATTTTGGCACTGGCTGAAGACAGCAACCATTAAGAAATTAGGCCTAGTGACATCCTGAATTTATTGTGAAAAATGAAACTTCTCGAACTTTGTACATTTGTAAAAGTTTGTTTCGGTTCATCGAACTCTCCGAGTGTTCAGCTTGTCATGCTTGTTGAAGACCGCAAACTTTATTGTTAAATAAGGAAAATAAATTGGAAGGATATCTTACTCGTGTTTGTTGTTTTAGAGCTGTACCACGTGGTCCTGAAGTGAAAAACGAATTTACATTTATTCATTCAACAAAATGTAACGACGACGACGTGGTCCGGTGACACTCAATTATCCTTTGCTGTTTGCAAGTTTTGGAGTTTACTTTTTGCAAGGAACTATGGGAAGGCTAGTGCAAAGTACTTGTGCATGAACTGCACGTTCTAAATTAATTTGTCGACATGGTAACAGTCAACATGGCGGACTGCAGAGGCCACGACTGAAAAATAGCGGCCTAATTTAACGTTCGTGTTTACACGGTATGGCAACATTTCGGCAAGGTTACACAAAGAAGGTGATAATTGATGTTCATTATTTAGACTTGAAGAAATTTAATGATAAACTCAATTATAATTTAGGCCTACAGCATGCGATGAGAAGTTATTTTTTTCGAAGTGGCTATCGTTACGGCACTCGTTGTTTAGCGCCCTCTACGATATTTTTTTGATACGCACGCAGGTATATAATTATTTGTTTCCCCATGTTTTATCGAGCAGTGCGTCAGCTCAGCCGATAGGGGGTAGGATTTTGCACCGTGAGGTTGCGGGTTCGAATCTCAGTTTTGCACTCGACTTTTTTTCCTTTTCTAACCTGAGGCTTTGGAGGATTTTTTTTAAAAGGGAAATAAAGTCCGAATTTCATAAAGTTCAAATTCACTTTTTTCCTTCTAATTTTATATTTTCTTGTCATGTTTTTTTATAAAAGTTGCCAGGTTGCAGTCTACCGTAACGATAGAAAATGGGAAATGCGTTACGGCTGCCGTAACAATAGCCACTGCGTATTTTTTTTGTTACTAACAAAATGCCGTTAACCGGTAATGATATTACATTATTAAGCCCTAATGGCGCTTCTCGATTTTGTATCGCAGCGTAAATTCCGTGTGCCTACCCCTCGTTGGAGATGCATCCAAACTACCAAGTTAGGTTTAAAGTTAATATATCTGCAATTATAGATCATTTATTTAATGTTTCCCAAATCCGAATGTTCATTTGATTTTTTTTTTAAATTACTGTAATGTCGACCCCCTAATTCGCAGTCCTATTTCTACACACTCACCTTCAATTTGTGTGTAGCAACGTGCGCGCATGGCAAGTGTTACCTGCGCAGATTTTGGAGGATCGAGGAATCGAGGATATGTTAAAACAGAATCAACAAGTATAGTCGGACTCCCTATTATCGCGGCATCCCTATTATCGCGGCATGGGAAATTTCTCTTTTTACAGTGTCAAAACTCCTTCAAGTGGCGATTTTTATCCAGTTCACCAGTCATCAAGGATTTTCTACCGAAATGTATAAAAAGGACGATTAAAAAATGTTGTGTCTTTCGGGACTTTTAACGATTTTAATAAATATTAACGTTTTCCAAAACTTGCAAAATTTTCCCTCACCGTGTCTGCTAAAAGGTACCGTTTATATTTTAACATAAATCTTTAATTGCGCTCTGTCCATGAAAGTTCCATTGTCTGGTTCCCATTCTTCAGCTGCAAATGTAAAATGAAGTCGAACGACGATATTTGCAGCGCGAAATCGTAACAACTTTTACGGGATCAAAATAAGCACCGCGCGTTAGCGAAAATAAAACGGCACACCGTGTAAAGTGAATGGCGCCCTCAATCGCCGATCAGTAGACTTGCCTCAGGGATTTGTGTTCTCCTTTCGGGGGAAGGGCAGGGTCTTAAGAAATCATCCTGCAGACATTTTGTCTTTAATCAACTTGAACGTTACAGGGAAAATATCAGACTTTATTCAGGGGGTGTTTTGGTCAAAGATAAACTATGAACAAAAAAGTTGGGATTATTATAAAAACCACTTCCCGCATACCGCGATAATAGGGAGTCCACCTCCGTTCGCAAACGCCGCGCATGTCTATTTTCACCGTCGGATTTTTTTATATTAATTTAAAAAGGAAGAGTTATACTACACATAAGACAGGACAATTCTGGAAGGTTAGTGGGCAATCTCTATTCCGAACGAGAAACGTGATAAGTACCGCGATAATACGGCGTTCCATACTAGGTACTAGCGACTACTAATAATACTTATGTAGCCGTGTTTAAGGGTCTGTGCGAGCGGTCATACTAAACAGCGTCAACACAGCGTCAACACACTCCAAAGCGTCAACACAGCGTCAACACAGCGTCAACACATCCAAAATGCATTAAAATTTACAAAAGCAGTATGTAACCCATACAGTATGGACAGAAACAAGATTTGTGCTTAAAATCAATAGGTTAAACGTCTGAAAATCGCGATTTTTAGTTCAAGAAAATTGGCTCTCCGTGCCGCTCCGAAATCGGCTGCCGAACACCCGCCATGTTGCCTCAGTGGCAGCGCAGACCATACCATTATTCTAAAGGGTGATAGCGTTGTACAATAAACCAACAGAGAGGGACGCGGCCGGGGTCGCCAGTGTTAAAAATATCTGCAAAGACCAAAACATAAACACAACTCACAAAATAAAGATCTACCACTCCTCCGATCCTTAGTCCTCACACAGATCTGGTATCCCTCTGTCTAGTCTGCAGCAAGGCGCCCTCTGTTGTTTATGACAAGATAATGTCATTACCTACACACCCCTACTTGAAATGGTGTAGTCCAAGCTTTGTGCGAAGTCAAGATGGCGGACAACGGCCGTGCAAGTTAAGGTCATTTTTTTCGCGTGAAAATACGATATTTTTAACAACGAAATGGAAACTCAATCCAATGGAAATTCTCTTTTATTGTATGTTTCACAATTATATGCCCTTTTTGTCAATTCAGAATGTGTTTTGGATGTGTTGACGGTGTGTTGACGCTTCTGTCATGTGTTGACGCTGTGTTGACGCTGTGTTGACGCTGTTTAGTGCGACCCCTGTGCGAGTAGTAATATATCTTGCTTCAAAACATGCTGTGCTTGAACCAGGCTGCAACTTAATTCAAAATAGTAATCATTAAGAAGTGCAATATTATATCATGACCACTTTGTTCTGTAAGTGTAACATACTTTTGTGCCTTTCCCTTTCAGATCCGTTTAAATTAAGGCCAAATCTTTGAAGTTTTGATATCAAAACAACCATGGCCATGGACCGGATGCCTCAACACCCTGAGCTTTTCCCTTGTGGGGACAGAATCAAAGTTCCCCAAGTTGGTGCCGATGCGAGTAACTTCAAGGGGAAGTTCAGCTTGGCAGACTTGAGGCCAACCCCCTACTTCAGTCAGCGACAGAATATGCTGAGAAGAGACTACCTCCAGAAAATCAGCTCAGATCTCCTGTTCAGCGAGGACGTCGTGAAAACCCATGCGGCGCACACGTTACCCTACGACAGAGAATCTATCCGAGAGGCGTATGACTACTCCGACATTGTCCAGAGAGAGAAGAAGCGTTTTGTTGGACCCGTGGGCAGGTACAACCCGAGGACCACCAATCAGCACTTGCCCTGCCACATCAAGAAACGCTCACATCATCGACTGGAGCCAATCAGAAAGCAGAAGCTCAAGCCCATCGGGGCGGCCGCGAACGAGGAGGACAAGGAGACGGTGAAAACAGACTCCGACTCCAGACTGGGTCCCAAATCTCCGGCTTTCCTCACCGAAGACCCCATGATCGAAGCCTCTGCCGAAGAGGCTAATGCCACGCAGGCCCGGACCAAGTACTCCCAGAACTGGGATGAGCACTTGCTGATGCATCTGAGCAAGAACACGGCTCGCTGGATCGTGGGGGAGCAGACGTCCGAAGGCCCGCAGAAGGACAAGCTGCATCGATTGCTGGTTGATATGTACGGGGAGCCCTCGGGTCACTTGGACACCCTTATCCATGATGAGGTCAGTGTCAGCGACATGAGCGTCAGCAGGGAGACAGTCCTGACTGGGTCTAAGACTGGCTCGAAGCAGTCCACAGGCCAGCAGCAGCAGCAGGAAGACGCCACCACCGCAGCTGGCAAAGATGAGAGGGGGCAAGTGGAAGACGATGTCAACTCCAGATCCCTGGCGGCATTCTATCGCCAGCCGGATGCCGTCCGACGGCAGCAGAAACAGTTGGCGAAAGAAGTGGCAGGTTAATAACAGTACTGCGCTTTTAGTCCCGAAATGGTGTTAATTGTTTTGTTTTTTTAAATTACACTTCGTATCATCCACAAAATGTATCGATTGTTGCTGAAATCAAGTGTGAAAAAAAGACGAAGTATTAATCATACATTGTACCTTAAGAACATAGTGTTACATGTAGCATTTCATTGAGAAGTAAAATTCTTTAATTTGTAAGAAAAGCCATAAATTCAGATTGAGAACAAGCAAGATTAGAGCTAACGATTAAATATTCACTGATGAGAATTCTTGGACTGGCTCATCTGATTTTTTTTTCTTCACTTTATTAGATTTAAAGGAGAATAAAAAAAGTTTGACTTTTAACCATTGTCTTTCCGCTTTTGCACTGAAGGATCCCTCAACAGCACAGCCAGGGAAATTAAGGTGACTCGGAAGAAACCTAAGCCGCCTCCAACTCTGAAGGATGTGATGAATCCGGCAGTGGGCGACACGATTCACGACACTCAGAACCAGTTTGAGCAGGAATGGCTTTCCGGTGAGATCATTTGTTCATCTAAATTGATAAGAGATTTTACACAATATCCTTATTTTCTACCTTCCTATTTTGTAGTTGCCAGCTTCGTATGACTTCGTAATGTTACTCCCTAGCTTGTGACCGAGGTGAAGAGACAGTTACATAGATACTACTTCGTAACTTTCCAAATAAATGTAGCTTGTGCAAAACCACAAGTGTGATCCAAAAACTCTTTTTGTACTAGTTAAAATCAACTACATTTATCATTGTCAATGGTTTCTGCTATTTTTTGCAAGGTTTCATGGTCGTTGCTGTCGAATGATGCATCAATACGTAAAGTTCACTTGTCTATCACTGGGTGAATAATAAGCACGGTTACTGCCCACAAATTTAGATATAGTAAAATGGAAGTTAACAACGTCTTTAACTCATGCATATTCTCAAAAATAAACCGTCTTCATCAGCACACCATATAGTAGGCTGTAACTCTGCTGTTAAGTATTTTGTGCCCTGGACAAGCTGTTCACGTTGTTAAACTTTCAGGGAATTTTCCAGAATCAGCTGACACTTTCGTATCTCACACACCAATTTTGAATTCCTTCACTGGACTACACTGTACATGGACACGATTGTTCTTTGTCAGTGAGGAAAAAAATGAAAGCAACTTGCTTTATTAGTTGAGAATTCTAGAAAAAATGGTGGAAAAGATAAAGACAGACAGGCTAAATTGTTTTGCCGTAGCACCCCCCTCCCCCACCATCTTTAACTGGGGGTGAGATTTGTCAGGCTTTTTCCTTAATTCTAGGTTTTATTAAGAATCCCTTTGGAAATCTGTCATTTGTGAGATGTTACCGTAATGGTCTCTTTATCCATGAAGGTATGAAACAAAAGACAGGGGTATTCTAAGGTTTTGTTGTTGTTGCTAATACAAGCAACATTGTTCTACAGACCTCCGTGGCCCCAACCCTTTACCGATTATGTTGGTTTTTCATTTGCCCCCCCCCCCCCCCCCCATCTCAACCCTCCCCCATCCTCCATCTCAACCATGTCTTAAAAAGTCACCTTAACGCTTCCTCAACATCTCCAAATACAGGTGCCCAACAGGTGCTCCATCATGACACCTCCCGTCTCTTGCTGGACACGGGCAACCTGTACCAGATCACCAGGCAGGAAGACTTCCCCCAGGACCCGGCCTCCTGGAGCGGGGAAGGAGCGTCAGAGAAAACTAAGCAGAAAGGGAAGGCACCGGGCCCGACGGAGGCGGCCACTCAGAAGGGCCACAGGGGGTACAAGAAATGGAGCCAGTTGCCCCAGGCAATTCAGGTATATATACAAGCTAACTGCTTCTCAAAGAAAGGCACATACTCTGTCCCAGTTTAAACATCTGTGCAATTAATGACTGTCTTTTATTTGATATTTTAAGACTTGTTTTATCATTGACTTTAAATTTGCCTGTTATCTGATTAACTTTGTAATGTGCTTAATTGTTTTATTTTAATGACGTCTCATTCTGTTTGTTTTTTACTTTACTTCTTTGAATTGTGGGGCATTTTATTCATTTATTTTGTTTTAAAGTGGGTGTGTTTTATATTGGTCATATTATGTTTTTACTTTACACTGCTGTGTGTTTGCATCTCTCCTGCAAATTTTGTTATTTCATTTATTTGCTGCTCTATTGTTTTAATATGTTAATGTTTGTCATAATGTTTTGTTGGATTTTGTTTTATTTTTTATTGCATATAAGTTATTAATTTAGCATGCTGTTACCTTTTATTGCTTTTTATTGCTTTATCCATTTGCTTAAACAGTTAACATTAATTTATGTTTATATTTTAATAACTGTATTTGTTTTAAATATTTCTTTATTTAATTGTTTTATAGTTTATAGTTTGTTTTTTGGGGGTTTTTTATATAATTTTTTTAATACAGGGCCCTCAAGGAAAGCAGTTTCTTTTAAACTGAGGAGGCCACCCTGTTTAAATAAGACTGCAAATAAAATAAATAAATGAAATAAAAAAATCTTGCTCAGCATAAAGATTATTTGCTGAGCAAAAATAGGTCACCAACTCAATAAGTTTGCTTAAGCCCAAAAAGTTTGTAAAGCACGAACAAATTTAGTAAAAAAGGTTAACAGCCAAAATTGCGAATTTGATCATCATAGATAAGTGGTAAATAAAAGATAACATTTTGTATTTCTGATTTACTTTTAACTGTACTTGATTTAGGGTGATGTCTCACTGACCATCCACGAAGCAGGCTATGACCCTGAGGCACACAGGGAACCAGACCCATCAGAGATGAGGCAACACAAGCAGAACCCGGCTTTGGTCAAACTTGGTAAGATTCCTCAAAGCAGTGGCGTGCCTAAGGTACTTTTTTGAAGTCCTTATTTTCTGGAGGGGTACTCAGTGCAATAAGGCCACATAAAGTTCTGCTTCCGATTACATGCCTTTCACAAAAGGGTCAATTGGTCGGAAAATCTGTTTACTTTAATTGTCTCATTTTTTGTGCCGATTGAATGGAGTATATATATTATGTGCATTTTGGGTCTGATTAATTTTCATTTCTCTATCAAACTGACCCTCAAAAGAGATAAAACCTTACCTTAAGTAATGTGAAAATATATTTCAGGTCGACGATTCTTAAAGATAACGGAGAATTTAAGTTGCGCACACCACTGTGCAAAACGTAATTCGTGATGACCACTGGCCGTATATCGCGTAGTATCACAGCGTGCATGACTGCACTGTCTAGCGCGTGGGCAGCGACCCGAGTGCTGCCAGCAGTAGAAAATTTCGCAGAAACTCGCTACGCTGTAGCGCTTCAGGTACGAGTGGTATAACCTCGAAATAAATACATTAATGCGGAAAACATAAACACAGAAAAGAGAGATCCTGTTCTTTCTCTGTCGATGTTTGTTTGGCATTTTTACGATGTGAAGTACTCAAGTAGGACCTGTTACGCTTTGTCGGCCAATGATTGGTTCAGGTCTTTAACTTTGGCATTTTAGCACACTGCGGGAACCAGTCTAACATTGCAACATGCATATGACGCATGTGCTTTCACCATCACCACGAAGCCTTGCTGATCGCATCGGGGGAAAAACAACAATGGAGGTTTCCTCAGAAATATTACCAGCGTATTTGACGTAAAAAGGTTGTTGAGAAACGTTTTTGTGGAAACAGAAAGTACTTGGTACTTGGTTGGTTCTTCTTCTAAGGACTTCCACAAAGGAGTATAACTAGGAGGCCAGAAACACCGGGGCAAACCCCTTCTCTTAGCGATAAGTGTTACTGGGTTCTTTTACGTGCGTTAGGCCTTATACAACCCACGTGACCTCCGGCTTAACGTCCCATCCGAAGGACGAAGCAATAATGGTTAAGTGCCTTGCTTGAGGGCACAAGTGTCCGGGCCCGGGCTCGAACCCACGCTTCTGTTGCCTCTGAAACACCAGAGCATGAGTCCGGTGCTCTTAATAACCGCTAGGCCATGACACTCCATAGTACAACATGATTAAACAAAAAACAAATTGTTTAACGTGATGATAAAATTAGGGTAGATCAGGTAACCGGAAGCAGAATGTTTATTGGGGGGGGGGGGGGCGGCTAATGCATTGTAGCCAATTTTGAGGTGTATGCTGTTGTTCCACAGGGGAGTAGACCTCATGCGCCTTCATTGTTACTGAATTAAAAACAGCCCTGATTTTTTTTCCCCTTTCTTTTGTAACACGTAGTTGATGAGTGGAGAACCAAATGGCACCTTGGCAACAAGTGGTATGACAGCTCCATCGATGATCTTGTGCGTGACATGTCGGACATACATGAACATGTCCGACTGCAGGCCATAGCGACTATTGCCAAGGCAGCTACCTACCGGCCACCAGCCGAACCCGGGGTACCAATCAAAAGTAAGCAATACTACATCCGGTGAATCCAAGAAAGGCTGGGGACTTTTTTATGTAACAAAACATTGAACTACATTTTAATTGAAAAAATAATAAAATTACTGCAAACTGCTCACTGACTGGACAGACCTGAAATATACAAATCAAAAAGTTAGAGAGGCCTGATATATTTCGTCTTTTGCCTCTGAAGAAGTCTTTGCTAAAGACGACATATATCTGGCCTCTCTAACTTTTTGACTTCTTTATTTAAATTACTATTTTATTTTTCAATAAAAAAATCTGTGATTCCCCTTTCTTATTAATGATTTTTCTCTTGAATTTTGTAGGGAAATACACAAGGCCATTGGGAAAGTTGATCACTAAAATCGTTTCAATGGGCTAGTAAATATTTTGAACCATATGACGTAAATGATTCTGAATTCATGTGTCAAAAGTTGACTGGGCAACCCCCAACATAGGGACTCGAGTTGAGTCGAGTCATTTGCTCGCAGTGACTCGATTCAAGTCGAGTCATTTGCCCTTAGGGAGTCAAGTCGAGTCACCAAAAATTGTGACTCGAGTGGGACTCAAGTCGAGTCATTGACTCGAGTCATTACAACTCTGCCCCCCCCCCCCCCCCCCCCCCGCCCACCAATTACAACTTTGCCCCCCCACCCATATGAAAGAGAAAGCTTATATTCAGAGTGTGTCTTCCAAACGTCTCTTTCAGGTTCATTTGCCAAGAAGGCCCTGGCCGCCATCAACCAGCGCAAGAACACCAGCGACTCGGAGGGTGTGCTCCCCGACGCCCTCCTGCAGTGCGTGGAGAAGGTCCTGGGGGACACCAGCAGGAGAGTCCAGGTCACTGCAGCCATTGCTCTGTACACACTCAACAAACCCAACGAGGAGGTGAGTATCAAAGCTGGCTATTTTCTTTATTCTGACTTTAAATGAAGCCGAGTTGTAAACAAGAGTCCACCCCCAACTTCAGGGCCAGAAAGTTGGTCCAGTTTACCTGGCATGTAGTCTGTTTTTAGAGAAAGTAGTTTTTTATTAAGGACACAGAAAAAAATAGTTCTGCTTCCGGTTACCCTACCTACCCTATTTTGACAGCCCCTACCCTAATATTTGGTAGGGAAAATGAGGAAGAAAACCTGAAAGTCATCAATTTCTACCTTTTACCCTTGACTACACATGCAGACATCTCCATATGATTGTACACACACAAAAATGCCCACAAAAACACAATTCCCTACCTATGTACCCTATTTTCAAATGCCATGTAATCGGAAGCAGAATTTTGATATATTTTGGGGCCTAATACACAATATCGTATGGTTCGACATTATTTAAAACCAGGTGGCAGGCTCTGGAGACAAACTGACGTGAGGTTTTAAACTGCTCACATTGGCTTAATATGCCAAAAGTGACACAATTTCACTTCAATGATGGTTTTCCTGATGGTTTTGTCAAACACCCCCCCCCCCCCCCCCAACTCACAAACATGGCGGGGAACGGAAGAAAGAAAGGGAAAGCGTTGCATGCCTCAAACGACGAAATATTCGGGACAAAGTTAGATTCCTGGAATCTAAATATTACCATTATTTGAAATATTGTAATTATTATTACAAATAGTTATATTTTTTAAATGTCAATTCGTTCCGATTTCTGCGTGCTCTTGGATAGCCATCTAATGTTGAGGTTAGTAATCAGAACAACCATTTGATCAAATTTGTGGTCAAATATGTTGAGCACCTAATCTTAAAATGCACTCTTCATTTACTGACAATTTTAAATTTGTATTGGTTTTGCACTGTCCCAATAAGCTGCACCTAACAATTCTGCACTGCATAACAAAACAAATATAGTCCTGTCAAAAGTTTCTAATTTTTGTTAAACACTGGGTTTGTGTACTTATTGGCACTAAATAATTTACACCAGTCTTATATAACTATTAAAATGGCAATAAATTCAGTTTTCACCATTGTCGGAAAGCAACACGCACCCGCACAAAGAAAATATCCACTGTTCTTGCGCCATTTTTTAATGTTATTTTCCCAAATCTTAATATTGTTTTTCTTGTTTTGCACTTTGGTCTTGCCAGTAATTCTATTGTGTTTATCTGCTCATTGAGAAGGATGGCAGTTGGTGACTGTATTATGATGAACTAATCACTTAAGGATTAAAATGATTTTACTAGAATTGAATGCTCAGCACTGCTCAGTTATCACCCATTATTTAATAATGTAAAACTGCAAAGAATTCTGAATTATGTAACAGTGGCTTTTATTTAAAACTTTTGCTTTTCTAAAAATTCTGCAGATTTGAGATGACTCATGGAAACAAAGCAAACCTTTTGAAATAAAAAGGATTTCCGAAAATCCTCCCTGTTCATTTTGGAAAAGCTAATATACATAGCTTTAAATGATGCTTTGATTTGTCTTACAAGTCACTGTGTGACAAAGTAACTTCCCCATACAATTCTTTGCATTTGTTTGCTTTGTACATTTGATATTATGTTGTTTGCTATTATTTCTTTTGACCAACTCTCACAGAAATATCCCCCAGCAGTTTTTGAGGGCACAACCTGAATTCAGAATGTTCTTGTACGAAAGCAGTCAAATATAGTTGAAAATTGTGTAAATTGTCCCACCTTACAGGCCAGGAGGATCCTGAACGACGTCATGCGTGCGGGCAGCGAGCCAGAGCGCTGGGCGGCAGCCCAGTGCCTGGCCCACGCCGGGGTCTGTGACTCCTACGTCGTCAGCGAGCTGATCCAGCAACTCCTGGCCAGCGAGGATGCCATCAAGAACGAGCGCTGCGTCAGCCTGCTGGCCAGGCTGAGCGCCAACTCCTCCGTGGTCCACTCCATGGTCGGGGAGCAGCTCAACAGCACCAGCTGGCGGCATCGGATCATTGCCTGCCGGGTCTTGCCACGGCTCAACGGGACCATCAACAAGGTTAGAGTCAGGAGTCAAGCATGAGTCCTTCACCAGTCCAGCAAAAGTCATTCACAGGTCAAATCATGAGTCAATCACAAGTGTAAACAAACATGTGTAGAATCTTTGGGCTTGACCCATGATATGACAGGGGACTGATTTGTGATGAAATTTTGGTCTGCATGGCGACAGCTTCCAATGGACATGTGATTTAAATTGGGACAGATGTTATTTAAGTTCTGGTCAGAGCTTAACCTTATTTGTCTAGCTTGTACACGTTCATAGATGTGTAATCGATTGCCAAAAAAATGCGGACTTACTAAATATGGCAAATTGGGGGCAGTATTTGAAAAGCCAGTTTCTTCCAACGCTGGTTGGCCGACCAGTGTTGGAAATTGATACAAAAATTCAACATGAAAATGACAGCACACCAGGTGCCATGATTTTACAAGATGCTTTAGACTGTCATTCATTAACAGTCCAGTAATGTATTTCATAATAATTTGGTAGATTTGTTTTTTGATGTTTGCAAAAATGTTGTACATTCCCTTTAACTCAAAACTAGCTCTGCCAATTTCTGACTTGTTTCATTGGCTGGTTTACAAATGTCACACAACCATCAAGCCCCCACAATAATCGTCCACTGTTCAGTCAACACCAGCAAACTAAACGGTGCAGTTTACTCCTACCAGGATATTACGCACAAGCTGAGCAACCTGATGTGGAACGACTGGCACCACGAGGTGCGCAAGGCGGCCGCGCAGACCATGGGCCGGACAGGCCATGGGAAGGAGGTCCACGACGACCTGCGAGACAGACTATTGGAGGGCAACGAACGCGACCGCATCGATGCTCTGAACAAGATTGCACACTTAGGTCAGGCTCAATTCTTTCATTTACCTCCCAGTTCCATCAAAATTAATGGATGATTTTGCAGGATGGAATTTGTTTTACCTTGTTAAAGGGAATAAACAACATTTGCTTTAGCTGTAATTTTCAGAGATGGATGGATTTAGGGGGTCAGTATTTTATAGCAAATATTGTTACTTGACTTGTTTGAAGTTTTGTGTTCGTAGATGCTGGAACAAAATCAAGAAAAACATTCATGTTCCCTGACCCCACTTAAGATGAAACAGAGCAATTTATAGACTTGTTTGAAGTTTTGTGTTTGTAGATGCTGGGGAAAAAAAACAAGAAAAACAATCAGGTTCCCTGACCCCACTTAAGACGAAACAGAGCAATTTATAGACGTCAGAGAATTGTATGGTCAGTAAACCAGTCTAGCTGGCTTGCACCCATTCATAGGCATGTAACCCATTGCAAACAAAATGCGGACTAACTAAATATGGTAAATTGGGGCCAGTATTTGAAAAAAGCCAGTTTTTTCCAATGCAGGTCAGCCGACCCGCATTGGAAATTGATGCAAAAATATCACTTTTCTTGAAAATGCCAACACACCTGGTGCCATGATTTTACAGGATGCATTAGACTGTCATTTACTAACAGTCCAGTAAGGTATTTCATAATAATTTGTTATAATTTTGTTTTTGTTGTTTGCAAATGTTGCATATATTCCCTTTAACAACTTAAATTGTAGAATAGATTCTCAAGCCTGTTTAACCTTTGAATTTAAAGGGAATATACATCATTTGCTTTTGCTGTAATTTTCAGAAATGGATGGAATTGGGGGGTTGTAAATATATAGCAATTATAGTTACACTGACTTTTTGAGGTTTTGGGTTCGAAAATGCTATAAAAACCAAGAAAAACGATCATTTTCCTGTAGTCTGGTTCCCTGACTCCATATAAGAAGAAACAGCAGTTTACATACATTGGGGAATTGTAAGGTCAGGGAACCAGTCTAGCTGTCTCGTACCCGTTCATAGGTTTGTAATCGATTGCAAACAAGTGGGATGGTCAATTGGGGCCAGTATTTGAAAAACAAGCCAGTTGTTTCCAACGCTCATCGGCCGATCAGCGTTGGAAATTGATACAAAAATACCACTTTTCTTGAAAATGACAGTATACCAGGTGCCATGATTTTACCGGATGCTTTACACTGTCATTCACTAACAGTCCAGCAAGGTATTTCAAAATGATTTGGTAGTTTTATTTTTTGATGTTTGCAAATGTTGTATTTTCCCTTTAAGGTAAAGTTTTCCTCAGGAAGTATTTTCCAACCTAATATCAAATAATATTTTCTCAGGTATCATGACGGCCCGCCTCCTACCGGCTTACCTGCAGTGCTTCAGCGATGCCTACATAGCGGTAAGGATTGCCGCAACCAACACGGCTAGTCTGCTGTCGCTGGAAGACCCCAAGGTCACCCAGAAACTGCTCTTCCTGACTCAGTTTGACAACAACTGGAAAGTCAAAGCCCATGCAGTCAAAGGTGATTTTTTTTCTCTCTGTTCTGGTAATTTTGGCCTTTTCCTTTAGTTTCAGGCTGTGTAACATGCAATTTTTGTTGTCATTGAGTTGACTGTGTTTAATGATGCATTAAGAGAAATAAGTTGTGTTCTAAAGTGTGCAGGGGTTCAATTCCAGCTGCTGGTCATATGTTGTGTCCTTGGGCAAGCCACTTCACCCCCAGCTGCCTCTCTCCACCCAGGGTCTATTATGTGATAGACCCTGGCGAAGCCGGCCATGGTCTATGATATATAAGCAGATTCGGCGATTAATTATGCAACTAGACTACATATGACCTCAAGAAACTGACCAATCAGCAGGCGCCTTCTATACACGCGTAATGCGAGCTCCCCGCATGCGTAAGCATCACGCCCACGATGAGTATAGCATTTTTGTACAGGTTGTTGTGTTACAAAAACGTGGCATCGAAATGGACCGATCAAACTCTTAGTCCAGATTTCGGAATGAAATGACGTCACGCATGCTTGGATATATCAGACGTTCTACAGAGATGGGCTCTGTGGAGAGCGGGTGATCAGACTACATTCCATCCTTGGGGGAAGAGAATATTTCTCAGTCATTTTATGCCACTGAAACCGGAGATTAACGCTGGCATGATGTCAGACTTTACTTATTTATTAAGGCAATATTAAGAGATATTATATGTTGTTTTTTTCCAAAATATGTCCACTTAAACCAGATGCTGGATGTGGCGTCTGTCAAAAAAAGTATCCGCTTTAACTTCAAATACCAAATACTTGACAAAATATTTTTCTTGCACTTTCACAATATGTAGTATATCTATTTGTAAGTGCTGTGTTAGTATATGGCTCCGCTTTCTGATCTGTATCACTGTACTTGTTTTACAAAACCCCCGAGGACAGACACACAAAGGGAGAACAACAGATCCGTTCAGTCCTCGGGAGTTGGGTCTTTTGTTTTGTCCTCTGTAGTAGGTTTGTGTGGTTAGTCTATGGGAGAGTGTTATAGTACAGGGACAAAGGAAAACACAAAGCATTGTCCTCGGGAGTATAGTAAAACAAGAGTGTGTGAGCTGTAAATAGTATCCAGGATATCCGGTTAACTGTAAAGAGTTCATTGAAGAATAATTCATCAAACGCTGCATCAATTCCCGTCCAATCAAAACCCAGCTCTCGGAGACATCGGCAAGAACAGCGAGCCAATCCAGGAGGCCGTTCTGTGGGCGGTGCGCTTTGAGTCGGAGCCCGGGGTGCGCGCCGAGGCCCTGCAGACGTTGGTCAAGCTGAAGATTGGCGGGAAGCACATCGCGGCCATGCTGCAGGACAAGCTACTGGTGGAACCCGACCAGCTCGTCAGAGTGTGAGTTTTTGTTTAATTCTTGCAGTTAGCAATTTGTATTTCCAAGTTTTTCTTCACGAACTTCTTAATTGCTCAGTAAGGAATATTTTGCTGGGGTCTACTGAGTTTATTGTACATCTTCAGTCATTCAAGCTTGTTTAATTTATACTGCTGATCAATTGCAATGGTATTAGCTATTTATGATGCATCTGTCAACGAACTATGGACTTTATCTAAAATTGATTTCAAGCCCATTTTATCAATTATTTCTTGCATTAGTTTTGTAGCTAACCTTAGAGGAGGCTTATCTCCTCATTAAGTTTTTGTACATAGTTTTAAGTGAAGGCCAATCGGGTAAATTATGTCGTAAATGCTTATATACATAGCTGCCAACTAGTACGATTTTTTCGTAATTATTACGAATTGTTTGTTAAATTACGAAAATACGATTTGCCACTAAAACATTACGAATTTCCCATTTTCTACCTAACGAAAAAAAAAATACTTGTAAAGTATCGTTTTTGACCGAAAACTTCTGGCGAAATGTCGCGATAATGAATGGACTGGTGACAAGTCTAATAAGAATGCAGTCAAGCCCCTGATAGACATCAATGCAGTGTGCGCAGTGGAGTACTTGAGGACCAGACTAAAACTATTTTTCAATGGTGTGTCATTTGTGTGCATCTCGTGGATGTGTGGTTGTGTTTACTGTATGTGAGTACTTTTCAGTGACGATCGTGAGCACATTTAGTCGCCTATTGCCGGGATGAGACCCATCAGTGCGAGATTTTAATCATGGAATTTAATAAGAGTATGGTTGGAATAATTGGTAATAGAGTTTGAGTTTGTCACAACGTCCAGAAAAAATAAATGAGCATGCGTTTGCAAGGTATGTTGGCGGGATATTTCTATTGCATACGGTGGCCCTAAATCATTGTGTGTAAAAACATGATACGAACTCGAAACTCCACATCGATTACTCCTAGAACTAGTATGAGGCTCCACGTAGGCATAGTTCTAGGAGTACACATCGATAGCATGCATCTCAAAAAAAATATGCACACATGTTATTGTTGTTATTATTTATTTGACTTCAACAAACAAATACAGACATTAAAATAAAATTAATTAAAAAAAAAAAAAAAACTTTTTTTTTTTTAATTATCTTTTGGCCTACAGTACATTATTATTCACAACAAGAAGGGTATGCACATGTATGTGTACATGTAAACCATGTACCTGTACTCGATGTTGGTAAAGCTTTTGATAAAACGAGAAGTTGAAAATGACCGCGCGGGTTGATTACTAATTGGGATTTTGAAAAGTTGGCAGCTATGTATATAGCTCTTTCCATCGTATCAACAATCTCAAAGCGCTTTACAATTATGCCCCTGTTCATCAGGCCACGAGACCACATGGCAGCCGATATCAGACCTCTACCCTCACAGATACCCATTCATACTCCTGGGTGGAGAGAGGCGATTGTAGTTAGTGTCTTGCCCAAGGACATAAACACCATGTTCCTGGCAGGGTTCGAACCACTCACACACCGAGTCAAACACTAACCACTGGACCATGGCATTCTAACATAGCTTTTTTAGTTTCCATACATGTTTATGCAATGGCCCTATTCATTTTAATTTCAAATAAAATTCCTTTAGAACCAGTGAATGACAAATTTGTACATAATGCCTAAGTTTTAAGTACAAATACTCAATTTTATGACCATGGCAATTTTTGCAGTTGAACTTTGAAAATCAGCGTAGAGACACACAGTAAATATTGAGGGTTTTCTCAAATCGACACACAGACAACTGGCAATTGCCCTGCAGTCCATGGGAGTCAGCCCCACGGGAGACATGGAGATGGTCCAGCAGATCAAGGACGAGGTGCGCAGGCTGTGCACGCGCTACAACATCGCTGCCAAGATCACCCAGAATGAGATGGAAGAGGGCCTGAACGAGCAGCGAGAGCGTTTCTTCAACGAGTCGCCCAGGACGCCAGACCCCAAGGTAACACGGAAAAGGAAAAAAAAGAAGAGCAAGTCAGTATAAATGTACAGGGATGTAGTCGAATGCATCTTAGGTCCCTGCAAGTCCATCACAAGTCCTCCAGTCCCAATTCAAATCACAAGCTATTGAAATGAGCTTTGACAAAGGCATTCCTTGTTCTTGTTCTTGTTCTTGTTCTTGTTCATCCACTGTTTCTTGCGACTGGAATTGTGAATGGACTTGTAATTTACCTGTGACTGAACTTGACTACATCTCGATAATATAGTGTCAATTTACTCACCTCACAACCGCCACTAGAAGTTTTAGCTTCCCCGACTTTTTGGACCAATATTACAAACAGGAATACATTAAATATTGTCCGCTTTGAGGAGCACCCCAGTCAATCAGATTGTGTCCAGCCCCGCCCCCTCCCTTTTTGATTTTGCGGCGCCTGGGTGACTGGAAAACAAAAATTGCTTTCCCGTGCTTTTGCCAAAATAACTCTTATAAAATATCATTTTATCCTGTCATAAAAAGTCCTGGCAGAATTGTTAAGTGAATTTTTCTGATTGAATTGGCTGTCTTTTCCCTGATTAAAACATCGGAATATATATGGCAATACTTGTTTTATTTCGAAAAAAAAAGGTGTTTAAATCCACAGTAACAGGTGATGTCTGAGGACTGGTTGTAAAATCTGCCTTGCTTTTATTTACGATTTCTGTTTCACTTTCATTTTTGACAGGCTAAGTCACGTAAGAATATCCCTCCTCGTTCCTCCATCTCCACCAAGCAGAGCCAGCGGAGCATCACCACCCCAAGTATTTTTGTGGATTCCGAGGCTGAGGAAAGCAAGACCAGCGATGATGAAGACTTCAGCCCCACCAAGCCCACCCCGGATATTGCCCTCCCGAGAACCCCCTCAGCTGGCCAGGACAGGGGGTCGCTACTCAGCCCCCTGGCGACATCCAAGACCCCCGGCAGTGCTTCCTCGAGAGGTCGCAGCCCCGTCGAGAAGCTGGAGAAGCTGATCGAGCTCTACGAGGGATCCTGCTCCGTCAAGGAGTACAAGGATTACGTGAGGCCAGAAGGAGAGGAGGAAGATGCGGACGTTGAGCAGGGCGGATCCAAAGATCCCGCGGTGAAACTGGAGACTATTGCCGAGAGCATCGAGGAAGAAATCCGTATCCTGCGGCAGGAGTCTGCCAATGCCAACCGCATCCCTGAGGAGCCAACTCCAGAACGACAGGAACAGGCGGCTTCCCGGAGTAGTCCGATTCAACAACAGCCTGGCATGACCCCAGACCCTAGCCCTGCAGGGGAATCACCGGTGCAGGTACCCGCATTGGACATCAACTCAAACCCTGTCGTCTGCGAAGATGAAGTTCACGTTGCGGTGGCTGATAAAGCAGCAGGCAAGGTGGAAGCTTTGGTCACTGGAGATCCAACAGAAAGGATGTCGGTTGAAATCTCCAATCAGACAGAATCCCAGGACACATTGCAGGGTCCAGATAGCCCCACTGATGATTAGCAAGAAAGCCGGGGAGGGGGGGGGGTATTTAAGGGGTTGAAAGATACATGGAGAAGTGAGGGAAGGTCAATCAACTTCATACTTCCGTTACACAGATGTAAAAAAAAAAGGAGGCGTCTATCTGTAACCAATAAGTGTACCTTATTCTTTAGGATGGCTTTAGCAGCTTCCAATACATGTACAGTACAATATACTACATTCAGGTTGAGATGTTTTGTATTTCAGTGTTAAAAAAATAATGTAAAGATTATGAAAAGAAGGAAAGACAATAAAACTGTAAATGAGTCATAGTTTTAATTTTTATTTATTACTAGAAATGTACAGATTGGATTTTAATTAAATGACAATCTTTGGAAAACATACGCTACACACTTGTAAATTGTGTCGTGCTGGTGTATTTTGTGTTTGTTGTTTCTGGTCAAAGCTTTATTGTTTTCTCATATCTTCGTTGTTTTACTTTTCCATGTTTTGCAATAAAAGGCTACCGTGTACTGGTTCACACACATACACAGTAGACAGATTGCCCAACAGTGTTCACAAAACCTGGGTGCACACAAAGAAATAAAACGTGCACGATAAAAAATGGCATTGAAGTGTGTTCACTTATGTAACTTTGCATTGGGGCAATGCCAGGGTTATGAAAGGCAGTGCCATGTCCTTAACACAACCAATTAACCATCATACGTAATGATTTAGAGAAATGATCCAAAACTCCTAGTCTGTAATCTCCTTGACCATTACTAGATAATGGATGAAATAGATTAGAAAAATACATTTTCAGGTTTATTCACTGAACTCGTAACCACTTCGTGCTAGTATTATTTTTGCCAAAAATTTAGATTTTCACTATTTGTACGATATTTCTTGCCGAAACCTTGTATGTTTCGATACTCTGGGGTGTGCAACGGAGCGTAAATTGTACAATAGACCGTGCACAGTGGCCAATTCGAGATTAACAAACAGTCCACCTCCACAGACTTCACGGACTGTGTGTGCGTACAAAAGACATGAGGGATTAGCGTGTTTAGATGTCACCCGGAGGCGAGTCGAGGCAATCTTGACGTTGTAACCCGTCAGCCGTGCCTGTGTATAAAAACAGCCAGTGCGCGTTATCATGTCCTTCGACATTAACTGGTTAAAAGCTCTGGTACGGACATTACATAGCGCTGGAATTACCCACTGGGGAAATGTAGATTTTAATGTAATTGAATAGCATTGTATTCTCCGTGCTGTCACACCTAAGTAATCTTGTGTGGGTTTTTTTCCTCAGAAGTTCTAGACAGCGGTGCTTACAAATAATAATAATAATGTATTAATGTATAGTTAATAATGTATTACTTTTTGAGAGCGTGTTGTTTTTTTGTCAATAAGCAAGGATTTCCAATAGTGATTTTGAGGATGCTCGTTTGCTTTATAAGCTTGGCATTCCGTGACATGGCCGCACACCGTAGCAACGTCCATGCAGTAAACACTAGGCATCCATTTTATAAAGCAAACATCAAAGTGTTCTGGAGATTGTAGTAAAGCATGGGTTCACAGTTAACTTAAATTTCACCAGGAAAGGGCAAACGTGCATTGAGCTACTATCTGTTCTAATTCAAAAGACAAACAGTTCCAGTTCTCATAAGTCCTTTCTTCTCTTCAGCGCATAATCCCCGGGGAAAAAATGCAGGCCCTTGTAGTTGCGGTCCTGGAAGGGTTCCAGGGGGTCGTCCGGGTAGTAGCGTCGCTGCTTCCAGGAGCTGGTGACCATCAGGTCCAGCTTCTTGCATTGGCTCCTGCTGCAGAAGACGTGCCACTTGGTGCGGCGTTTGCGCTCGGGGGTTTTCTTCCAGCGCTTCTTGTTGCGGCCAGCGATGGTTCGTAGCCACAGACCGCTGGAAGGGAGATTGAAATAAACCCTAGATAACTTGTTTGGAATTGTTTAACTTATGACGGAGGGATATCCCCAATATTTTTTGAAATATTGAAAAGCAACATTGATTGTTATAGGTTTGAGATTTTGGACACAATAGTTTCAGTTGTACTTGTAATTTTAGCTTTTCAGGTGTTAGCCTTCCAAGAAAGCCCTGTGAGTAGACTCAATTTTCACTATTAACACACAACTATGAACCAATAATCCAAACAATTTTTTTGTAAACTGGAGAAGCAAGCCAGGTACAATTTTTTGTTCCTATAATAAGATTGCTGACTAATATCTGTCATAAAATATGTGGGCTAAACAATAATAAGTCAGGAACCAGTCACAGAGTTTCTGGAGTGAAGTTTTGGATGAGAAGTTTTTGTTTTAGCTTAGCAAAGTTTGTCCACGCTTAGCGAAAATCTCTGCTTCACAGCTATATAAAATCCCCCCCCCCCTCCCAGTCTGGATCTTTCCTTGTGCTATTAGGTAAACCCCTGAAAACGTGGAGCAAGACTCAGCTGACAGACTTACTTGGAGAAGCGGTAGAAACGATCCGTGACGGCCTTGACTGTCTTCTTCTTGCCTTTGTTCCTGCTGAATCTTACCACCGTCCGACTGGGCTGATGCTGTTGGGGCAGCGCGGCACCAGGAGCTAACATTAATCTAATAGGGGAAGGGTGTAAAATACAAGGCTTAGTTTAATATCGAACTTGAATGTCTCATTTAGTTCCTACTTCCTAGTATGTTTTAGTAGGAATATTTGATGCAAATTAATACAGCGTGCAATTCTCGCCAGTTCACATTCACTTTTCACGTGACGTTTGGAACCAAACACTGACTGGTCTAATCACAGACTCCCAGGTTAGAATTAACCCAATTGTTATCTGTGTGATGGATTACATTGTACACAGAAGTTGAGGTCAAAATTTTGCATTTTATTATAGTCGTCGATTCTTAATATTTTCAATACATTGTAAATTATAACTTTTTTTTTCTTTTACAGAGTCCATCTACTGCCCTATCATCATCATCGTCGGGTTTTTAGGCCGTTGCCTAGTCTGTTCTGTGTTGGCCTGCTTTCTCCCTATGGCTCCTCTCCCTAATATACAACATTTGCTTTTGCTGTAATTTTCAGGAATGGATGGATTTGGGGGGGGGTCAGTATTTTATAGCAAATATTGTTACACTGACTTGTTTGAAGTTTTGTGTTCGTAGATGCTGGAAAAACCAAGAAAACAATCATGTTCCTGTAGTCTGGTTCCCTGACCCCACTTAAGATGAAACGGAACAATTTATGGACGTCAGGAATTGTAAGGTCAGGGAACCAGTCTAGCTGGCTTGTACCTGTTCATAGGTGTGTAATCGATTGCAAAAATGTCCTTATGATGTCGGTATACCTGTAAAATCTTGCAGATTGTTTGGGTCAACTTCCACGCTCTATTATCCTGAACCAATAAATCTTAATTTTTAAATCTTTGTTCCTTCATAAAAATCCAAACTTTTTTTTTTGCATCTGATAACATTGCTCTAATAGTTACACAATGCAAATCAGACAGTATAATGGCAGTGCTACATGCCAGTGCAGTGGAACATGCCGAATGGTCCATCTGCATGCTTCACGTTTTCCACAAAAAAACCCAACTTTTACAATCACCTTTGAAAGTCAAACTACAGTCCATAAAGGATTACTTCCTACGTTTTGGCTAACTCTGTGTGTAAAAACGAGCAGCAAATTATGAAGGGCCTAAGACGGTTTATAAGAAAGGTTTAAACAAACCTTTGAAGGAGGCCAGTCCTAAATGTCCCCCTATCACAACAGCTGCCTGTGAGTAATGAGTAGGACCTCGCTTGTGAAAACGGACCAGCCTGCAGTAATGATCTTCCTGGACTCAACAGAACTGTCGTTAATTCTGGCCTTGATTCATGGTAGAGTCCGGCATGCGCATTCCTGGATGGAGTGGCCGAAAGCCTGGTCGCTAATGATCTGGTGTTGATGTTGGTTCGGTTGCAACATATTCTTGTTGCTGAAAGAATAAAGATCACATATGAAGTTCAGATCAAAATGGTGAAAAGGCAGGCATTTTAGGGGCCAATGCAATGTCTTTTTTTTAATACAATCCTTGAAAATGCACCTTTGGGTCCCATTTTAACCATATTTTCAATTTTCATTTCGCCATTTTCTGGGTATTTCTGTGTTTTTTTTTAGTTTGTATGCTAATGCAAATTTCCATATTCATGAGCAAAAGTGTGATGTTCTGCAGGCCGAAATCTGTGTTACAGCTACTGCAGCACCAAAAGTCCCCCCCCCCCCCCCCCCCGGAAAGAATGTATTATCCTGACGCCACTTAGTGATTGAGTACAAAGCCTATGGAAAGTCTACTCCTAGAACTATGATACTCCGCGTGAGCGGAGCATCATAGTTCTAGGAGTAGGAGTATGGAAAGTCCAGACAAATTATTTCCTAACAAAATTAGAAAATGTTTCTCAGTCCCAGACTGGCATATTCATGTCTTTTCAACATTTTTGTAATGACTGACCTTGGCTTTGGCTTTAACATAAATGAAGAACAAAAAGAGGCATCAGGTTGCAACATTCCCCCCCCCCCCACCTCGACAGTCAATGTCGATGCAATAGCCATGCCATGGCGCTAGTGAACAGGTGAAAGGAAAAGCCTATGCCAAAATACATTGATTGCTCCTTTAGTCTCTTGACTTTCTTTTCCGTACTTCAAGCGTGTCTCAATGGGTTTTTTACGTTTAAGTTATTCTAGTAGCACAGAAGTATGCATAAACCAATTTTATAAATGTAAATATTGTCGATAATTGGAGAAAAAGTACCTGTTTTTTGAACGTAAGAAAAAACACTCCTCATGGGCGCCGCCATTTTGTAATCGCCTGTTCTACGGAGGCCTAGACTGGTAACTGTACTTATAAACATATCGTGTGGCGCGTGTATACGGAGCTTTTAAAGGGACATAGAGGGGAAAAAAATTGAAAACATCTTCGAACGAAACAAATCTGCGTTCGAACGAAAAAAATCTGCGTTCGAACGAAAAAAATCTGCGTTCGAACGAAAAAAATCTTCGTTCGAACGAAAAAAAATCTTCGTTCGAACGAAAAAAATCTGCGTTCGAACGAAAAAAATCTGCGTTCGAACGAAAAAAATCTGCGTTCGAACGAAAAAAATCTGCGTACTTGGGCTGCCAGCCGGAGACACAGACGCCATTGCTGACGACGTGGTTAATTTAAAAGTTAATTCCAAGAATTGGTTATATTTTACACCAATGGTGTCGTCATATATAGATAACGGGAAAAAAATCAAGATTAACACCGTTTGTGTCATATTTAACACTCCAGGTTTGGCAGTGTGGAATGTACATACAGAATGTAGTATTTGGTTTGGTGCTTGATCGAAATGAAAGAAACAAATATGGGATAAGATAAAAAAAAAAAAATATGGTTCTCATTAGGATTGAAACCCATGACTCTTTGCAAGGGCCGTCACAGCCTGTGTGGCAGGTAATTCTGTCCCCCGGTAAAAGTGTCCGGGGGGACAGAATTACCTAGGTAAAAGTGTCCTCCCTGGCCCGTTAATTCTGTCCCCCTCCAGGTAATTCTGTCCCCCAGGTTTTTTGTCCCCCTCTTTTGAAACCCAGAAGGTTATTGTTTTGATGAATTCACTCTACAAGGTATACATTTTGGACTTTTAGTCTGCCCTTCATGAATATAAAAAATATTTAATTTAGTCTATTAGATGATACGTGAACACAATATAGTTTCGATTCGGAGTACGGTGAAGTCTATCGCGATTCTATCGCGATAGGCCAACACAGCGGCGATGCATGGCGATGGCCCTCGCCGCATTGGTAGTATGATACAACGTCTCCTTGGATTGGTCTGTGTTCCCATCATAGCGCGTAACGAAATTTCCTATTGGACGAATTTCCATTGTAGAGGGAGACGCATATACACATGTTACATGTATAATCACTGCCTCAAATCTTGCAGCATGTACTGGCGCGTGCAACACGCTGCTGCTCTCATTACATACTGCATGGGGACACATTTACCAGGGGGACACTTTCACCGTTGGGCAGGGGGACATTTTTACCTGGAGGGGGACAAATTTACCTAGGTAAAAGTGTCCCCCCGGACACATTTACCGGGTCACGATCCGGTAAATGTGTCCGGGGGGACACATTTACCCGGGGGGACAGAATTACCTCTCACACCTGCACTATGAAATTAGAGAAGGAAAAAATCTGGTGGTAGTCCCCCTGGTCAGTGTTTTAACTGTGACATAACTGATTGAGTACCCCCCCCCCCCCCCCCCCAAGAAAAACAGGCCCCCAAGTGCCCCCTGCAAATTATACCCCAATTATGAAACTGGTCTTGGTTTGGAATCCCGATGATGAACAGGTGCTTTTCTCTCCCATGTTTAGTTCGATAGTGATTTGGCACCACAATATTTCTGGCCTTTCCTGCAAAGTAGGGTCCTGAAAGGGTCCTGTTATTGCACAAGTGTAAAAACCTTTAGCCAAACCACGAGTACTTTAAAGTAAACAGCAATGTCAATTTGCAAAAGCTTTAGGCTTTAAAATAAATACCAATTACAAACTCACAAAAAGTCACCGAAAACCAATGATTTAATTTCATGTTTATAAGACCGCTTTTCTTTATTTGCGAGTCTGTAAGGCTCATGCATAAAGAAAGCCCAAACAAACACGGCTTAAGCCATTAGTAGATATACTTAATTGTTCAAAACATCTTTCGGGAAAACAACGAAAAGTTTTGTTCGTTCGAACAAAGATTTTTTTCGTTCGAACGCAGATTTTTTTCGTTCGAACGAAGATTTTTTTTCGTTCGAACGCAGATTTTTTTCGTTCGAACGCAGATTTTTTTCGTTCGAACGAAAATTTTTTTCGTTCGAACGAAGATTTTTTTCTTTCTAACGAAGATGTTTTCAATTTTATTTTTCCTCTATGTCCCTTTAAAAGCTCCGTACGTGTACGCTTGAACAACTGAAGAAAACATTCAGAACAAAATTATGGTGAAAAGTATACACCACTTGGCGTGCTCCCCAACAGGGACTTTGGCGCGCACTTTCCGTTACTAGCACGTTGTCGTAAGTTGGTAAGGCTTGATCCCGTCTTAACTTATTCTTTAAAATGGGGCTTGCGGTCGCTGCCGACGTTAATTGAGCGTCATAGGGAGTAATAAACAACTGTCTTGATATTTTCTACACAAACCCCTGGTGTAGGGGGTCACTTTGCATAGAAATTTTAAAGATAATTAACCTTTACGACAATGTGTTAGTAATGTCGACATTTCCTCCCGAGTCCCGACTTTCTTCAAGTGGTTTCAGAGGCCTAAAATGTTCCCAAACCAGTTCTAAACGAGCTTCAAATTCATCCAGTTAAAATACTTTGAAGTTAAGACGGGAAGTCAATTTAACTGGTTGTCTGGAAATTGGGCGCAACGTACATCAGGCGGAGGGTTCACGCCTGACTTGGCGCAATTGAACAAATCTCAAGAATCCCTTCCCTTAAATTGCAAGATTTCGTACAGTTAAAAATTAGGATAAGGCCTAGTTTCACTCTCATTTGAAGGGTTCGCTGGATATCTGACAATAAAATCGGGAAATCGCTTCGAAATAAAGTGTTCACTCGCAAAGTAAAAAAAAAAAAAAACATTTTTCCTCACCTCAAAAAGCTAACTTTTTCTGGATGTCGCTTTCATAAAATTAATACATAGAACAAGTTTAACATGAATATTTTAACTCTACAAAGGATTGCTAACTAAAAGCTGGCGGTCATTTTGAACCGACTTTAGCGGCCATTTTGAATTTAAATATATACTTGGCGGCCACTTGGGAAAAAAAGAAAAAAATAAACAATAAAAAGGTCCTCATCCTCCTCTTTTTGAAAAAACCCAGACGATCAACACTAGGCCTACTGTTTCCTTTCTTACTTGGCCGAACGGGTCATCACAATCAACATTTTTGTACCTGGAAAGGCATATTATAAACTCGCAGAAATTAACCGTCTGTTGTGTAAAAATCAAAGATGGTTAAACAAAATCCTTTCTTTAGGGTGAAAGTTGTGCACAGGAAATGTGTTATTTAAAAAGAAAATAAATCGCAACGTAACAAGAAAAAGTCAATGTTGACAAAACAAGACAAGGCAATTGTTTCCATTTTGACTGCACCATTCAACTATTTTATTCTCAGATATTTTACAGCAGCTTATTCGTTCAAATACACACCGAACAATCAGTATCTAAAAGCATAGCAGAGTCTATGATACATTTGTTTCTGTACATTCGACATATCAATTTACAACACCAATATATCTTTCAATGTAACATTTCGATATAATATTTTACATTTGGTATATATTACACTTTACATAATACATCTTGGACAGTGCCTTTTATGCACTGATACATAGACATAATATTGTTGCGTTTCGACCGTGCGAAGACTATCTGCATTTCGACATAAAACACGTTTCAGACATACATTACATTGTGTACTGTTGTGAAACTAACATCACAATTGAACATTATTGGGGGCCTACATGCCTTTTCATTGTTACCTGTTTGTGCAATTTTTTTTTTACTTCAAGGCACAAAGAAAACATGCATCCCCGACGCTATTTGTCAAATATTCTTTGAATGATTTCCTTTAAAACAAAACCGAAAAAAAATAACCCAAACTGCTACTTCGATCCTGCAATAAAAAGTCAACAGAGAATATGCAAATAAGACGCGGTGCTGGGTTGTGATTGGTCCGGCCAGGCGCATTCCTTAACATACATTCCTTCGCTGTCATGCGCATTATAATGCTGAGGCCTTATTACCTTAGATGAGCTCAGTATACGTCAATGCACGATGTAAGATGATTCGCCCCGAACATTTAATATTCAAGACGGATGACATTTGCAGGCTCACGGCAAGTGGCGCCATATGCTAGCCAGCCGTCCGACTTCTCTCACAGCGTTCGTTATAAGATGAATTGACTCAAACGGCAGGGGACGAGCAGGGCCGAGCAGGGCCGAGTAGATTCATGCATGCGCACGGTGTTCTTATGCACAACTATAGAAATTCCGTTTGCACAGATGGAGAGAACAACATCTGGTTGTTGGATATCCGACATGATGTACGGCTTCTTGACATGTTCATGACAACTGCCAATCGGTTGTATTTATTGGCTTGGAAATGTTCACACCGAGTACCAGATGTTCCATTTTTTTTGATAGACAAAAGTACTAAATAATCTCCCATCGATGTTCCCATAATAATGTAATATGATACCCTTTTTCTTTAAAATCATAAAATAAAAAAAATACAACGATTAATCCTTAAATTGTTTTTGATTCAAGGTAAATATATATTATGCTTAATTACAATAGGGCCAGTAAGGTATCTGTGTTGTATTTTTTTTTTTACCTTAATGAGGGTTTGACAATATTATTTGTGGTATACAATTTCAAACCCATTTATATAGGCCTATAGGGATAACATTAATAGAAAAAATAAAGACCCACCAATAATAAGTAGGCAATATTGACACTCGGGAAATAGTGACTAGCTATCGTCTGCTCGGACTCCGTATAATACGTTTCGCGTATTTCATTTGTTCATAACTCGAGGTCGAAAATTAATAACTCATAATAATATTTACTTCGTGAACTGAATCCAAATAAGCCATCGGCCGACTCGCACCGCATGTGAAAATGTGCAAGCATTGTGAACCATATTAAACTTGTGGACGCGACAAGAGTTTATCCAAGCCTGAGGGTGTATTTTTAACCAATCTTCTATCTCTGAGTCATGCAAGGCTAGCCGCTGCAGTATTAGCATACAAACTATGCAGACCGTAGCGTTTTTCATTGCATGTCCCCGTGACATCGAGGCAGACATGATATTCTTTCTTCTGGGATTA